TCGCAGTCGTCGCCGCCGTTGTCGAAGCCGCCGCCGTCGCTGCAGGTGCCGCTGGCTCCGCCACCGCAGCTGTCATTGTCGTAGCAGCCGCTGACGCCGTTGTTGCCACCCGTCGCCGATGTCGCCGTTTCGCACTTTAGGTAGAAGCCACAGCTGCTGCAGGACATGGGGGTGCAAGGGGTTGGGGTTGTTGCGTGTGTGGTGTGCTTGCGCCTACCAAGCCTAGGGGGTGTGTCAACTTCTATATGCTGTGTATATATATATATACATATATGTATATATATATATATATTTGTGCAGGCTTGGTAGGTATTCTAGAATTCTATATCCTACTGTAGAGGGGACAACCCCCCTCGTACATCTCTCTCTTTCCTAGTCGATTCTCTTTTCTCTCGCCACTTTCTCTTCTACCTAGCTTAAACCTCCTTCTAACATATGGGACTCGTATAACTGCCTGTACTGCATTACAGGGTCAGTTATGTGCCCTTGCTGTCGTGACGAACCCTTGAAATTCTGTCGGTTCGATTGTCAGTCAACGGTCAACGACCGTTGCACTCCGTACCTCGCGTCATAGGCTTGGACTCGACAAGGGTTACAGCTCGAGTGTCACTTTCAGGAATGTAATAATTTCCTTATCGTAACACTCCCCTTCATTGCTGAAGGTGCTCGAGCTTGGCGCGCTTGGAGATTCCACAGAGCTCGGCGCAGAGCAGGTACTGTTGACGTGGCAGCTTCTTGGTGAAAAATTCGGCTGCCATAACGAGGAGCAATGTGTTTTGTGCGATTGACGAAGCCGATCTTGATTGCGCTCCGGTTATCGCAGTGTAACTTGAAACTAGGCGAAGTATTGAGTTTCGCCTCCTGTAGCAATTCATGTAGGTAAAGGCCTTCGCGAACAGCGGAGGTTGTTCCGATGTACTCTGCTTCAGCTGAGGAGATGGCAATCAGCTCCTGTTTCTGTGAGTTCCAGAAGATAGGTCCAGTAGGCTCCAGTTGGAAGAGGAACCCCATGCGAGAGCGGCGATTAGCGAGGTCTGCGGCATGGTCTGCGTCGACATAGCCACCGAGTTGGAATATGGGTGTAGTTATGGTGGAGTAGGTGATATCGACGCGCTGTCCCAAGCTGAGCTCAAACTAGTCGAACAAGTCGGGGTTGGTCGTCGACATAGACCGTGAGGAGGATGTAGTGTCCGTGGAAGTGGAGGCGGTCCATCCCGGGATTGTGGGGCAGCTGGAGGAACCCTATTTCCAGTAGGATCCTGTTGAGATGTTGCTGCCAGAGACGGGGTGCCTGCCTTATCCCGTAGAGGGATTTTTGCAGTTGGTAGACGCATGGGTCTCCGTCACCGAAGGTGTGGGGCTGCTCTACGAAGATCAGAGCGTCAACCTTTGCATACAGGAATACGTTTTTTACTTCGATCTGTCGGAGCTCGAGGTGTCGACATGCTGCGATGGTGAAAAGGATGCACACGGTGGTGTGGCGGCTTACAGGCGCGAAGGTGAGGTTGAAGTCGATGGCGTAATATTGGTCGTAGCCGTGTATGACCCATCTAGTTTTGCAGTGCTCGACGTTTTATTGGGCCTCTGTTTTGACGTGGTAGACCCATTTGCCGGAGAGGATCTTCCTCCCCTTTGCGGCTGCGTGGTCAACTAGGACCCAGGTATCGCGGGCGCGAAATGCGGCGATTTATGCGTCCATAGCTTTGCGCCATTCGGCGCGGTGTGGGCTGGTGAGAGCCTGCCATGGTGTCTTAGGCTTGATCACGGAGGGACTTTTGTGGACTGCCGCATGGAGTCCGAGAATGTAAAGTCCAGAGAATCTGATATTGCAGTGCTGTTCGTCGGCGACTACTTGCACATCGTCATCAGAGTCGGTTGCTGGTTGTGGATCCGGGGACGTACCAGTGATTCCTTCATGCAGTAGATTGTCGCGAGAGGGTTCAAATGGAGCATCATCCATGTTGCCGTCGTCGTCGACGCGAGGATTTTCCCCAGGGTGTTCATCAGGTGGGTCTTGGTCCAGGCAGGCAGCGGCATCTTCATCTTCAGGAGAGGCGAAGCTGCGTTCGCCATGCGCATAGGCTGCTTGGCGATTGGCGCAACGGTCGTCCTGGAACTGCTTCAAGGTGAGTCCTTCGTAGAAGAGGACTTCTTGGAGGGTACGATGGTTGAGTTCTCCAGGTCCAGGATTATCCAGCCTTGCACTCGTGAGAAATACCGAGGTGCACCCCCCAGCGAGCTCGCCTTTCGAACTTGCCGGTGATGGCTTGGTGAGGGCAATATTGGACCATGAAGCCCCAGACTTGCAGCATGCTGGTGTTAGCTCATTTTCCTGTCCAGGCCATGTAGGGGGAGAGTTTTCTGTCATTGGTAGTGGTGGGCAGGATGTTGCGCAGTCTGACTGTGTGGTGCATGACGAAGAGCCAGTAGTCTGTGGGCAGTCCGGACTGCAGCATCATGGCTCGTACTTTGGTCTGTAGGGTGCGGTTGGTCCGTTCAGCGATGCCCTGATATTGGTGAGCATAGGAAAGGGAGAGCCCGTGCTCGATCACAAGTTTTTGGAGGTGAATCTGTTGCTCCTCACTTCAAAATTCCCGAGCTCCATCTGTTTGCCAGTACTTCAACTTCTTTCCAGACGGGCGTTCAGCGAGAGCGAGCCAAGGTTGGAAGATGTTGAGTACTCCCCCTCTATTCTGGACATTAACTGCCCAGACGTAGCAGGTGGGGGCGTCAATGAAGGTAGTCGCTATATACTTTGTGTCCTACTTGTGTAAGTACGAGGTAGTCGCTATAGACTTTGTCCAGTGGTGTGTAGCGGTTGAGGCAGTGAGGGAGATCTCAAAATGGGCTGTGTGTGAGAGCAGCTTCAGGGCTGACTGTGCTGGTGCATGGTGCTTGGCTTACTTGTAATGCATACCCGTCAGAGTCTAGGAGTGCTCCAGGGGCGAGAACGTTAGCACGGATTGAGTTGTTGAGAGTGACTCTGGAGGGGTGGCCAAGCCGCTGGTACCAGATATCCCTGGAGGTGCGATGTCCTCGAGTGCACTGGTAGCGCTGGCAGGAATGGTCAGGAGGAGGAGCTGGAGGTGTGTCTACAAACAAAGGGGCTGTAATGGTGAGAGCAAGGAATTGGTGGTCTATGAGGTCCGCTCTGACTTCTCGGTTTCGAAGAGAGCCGTCTCGTCCAGCTGCACTCTTTTCTAGCCCCTCGGTATTGATTTGCTGAGGGAGATGAGGAAGTGGTGGTCCTTCAATGATGCTGGTCTCTTGGAGCAGTGGAGGACCATTGGGGGTTTTGATGGTTTCGGTCTCTTGGAGATCGGTTTCAGCTTCGAATCCGACGGGAGTTGGTTCTAGGGGAAGAGGACTTTGAGGCTCGGGTGGTGGAGGCACGTAGTTGCTTCTCCATCAGGGATTGCATCGTACTCGGCCCAAGTGCTTGAGGAGGAGGACCAAGGTGAAGATACGTATCAGGTGCGACTCTTCCCCTTTCGCCTTTGTCGTCCTCATCATCCCCTTCGTTATACAATTCCTCGTGGTCCAGACGCCAACGTCCTGTGGCATGGTTGCGGAACCAGGGTCGCCTTGGGCCTCTACCCCATTCTTCAGCTGTTGGTGCAATAGGGCAGGGTTGTTGGGGAGGGTTTGTTATGGTATCCCATTCGGTGTCTTCCGCGGATACTCCTCCCCAGGTGCCTCTACTTGGGGATGGACCCCAGGTGCTTGATGCCCTGAATGGTGATGCATCAATTTCGACCCTAGGTTTGGGGCGTGATGGTTCTTGTTCTTCCGCTGCTGCTGCCTCCTCTTATGTTCCTTCTGTTGCTGCTGCTGCCGCCGCTGCTGCTTCTGCTGCTGTCTCTATTGCCTCTACTTTGGCTACTGCCTTTGTTGCTTCTCGTGCTGCTGATGTTGCGACCATAATTGCTTGTGCTGCCTCTGCTGCTTCTGGTGACGTCGGTCCGTGTTGAGCAGCGATGGTTATGAGAGAGCTTGCTCAGACATCCATATTAGATGCAAGTTTTGATGCCAGATCTGCTACTTCTCATGGCGTGGGTTCTCTCCAGTTGAGGTTGAACGCCATGTGAGTGTGTAGCTCCCATGGGGTTGGTCGCCTTGTTTCGTCAAAGTAGCCAAGCCCCACATAGGTCAGAATGCTTTGGAGGCATTGACGTGAGTCTGTGCCCGTCGTTCCTGAAGGAGGAACGATGATGATGGCTGCAACAAGTTCTGAGGTTGTCATGCCGACCTCTGTCTCGTCTTCCTCGAGAGTTTCGAGTCCCGTTCCAGTGATGTTGCTGGATGAGGCTGTCGGGGTGCGACAGGTACGGCAGATGCCGTCTGGTCCAGGGTCGTGTAGATCCGTCTCAGATGGGTGCATATGGTGGGTGGTCCACCAGCAACCATCTGGGTGTTTTCACTCCTTCTCCTCCTGGTAGGCGAAGTCGAGTGGAACGAGGTCGATCAGCTCATGGTTGTCGCCGTTGCAGTTGGGATGTCGAAGTCTAGGACGTAGGCATGGTCGACTGCTGTAGTGGGTTTGGCTATTCGCTGGTCTGGTGTGGCTTACGGTAGCGTAGTAGAATGTCCTGTGATTGGGGGTCGGTGCTGATGTCGATAGCGCATGACATCAGCTGTGCCCTTGAGAGTAATTTATAGCACAGGTTTTGAACAATGAGCACGTCGTTCAGGGTGATTTATGTCAGGGGGTTATGTGCCTGCAGGACAACTATGCCCTCTTGCCTTGCCACAAGCCGTTCATTGTTGGAGATGGTTATGTAGGCTGTGGCGAGGGTGGGAACGGTATTGGAGATGTAGCGTTCAGAGCCGACCATGCGCTGTCTGCAAGAACTGTCCAGGTACCTGGTGTTGTAGTTGTCGCGGTTGTTGCGAGCGACCATTGCAATCCTTGGAATCACCAGGTAGAGTTTGTTTGATGGGTGCATGCGATGGTCCCTTGGGAAGTCATGCCAAGTTTGCCCGTCGCCTCCAAAGGTCAGGTCGATGATGTAAGGGGTCGGCTCTAGGAGGGGAATGGGTAGGTTTCATTACAGCTCCTCTTCATCCATCTCGTAACTGTCGTGCTCATTGTAGGGGTTGATGTAGTCCTTAGCCGTGATCGCTAGTTCAAAGTTTCCTTGGCTTGGGTGCAGCTGTGTTGCGCGCGACATCGATTTGCTCGGCGTGTGGGACCCCGAGCTCTCATTGCCATGAAGACTTGGCGATGGACAGGTTGACCATGAGAGCCTGGGTGAGTCGGACGAGGGTCCGATGATGCAGGAGGGCGAGGGACTGGTCGTTGGTCTATGTGGGACGGGCGATGGGTCTGGCGCGGGTCCTGGGTGGAAGATTCGATGGGTCTCCTCTTTTGGGTGTGACCCCATTGACTTCCACTTGGGTTAGGCGTGTAGGATGGTCTTGCACTATTTGTTGTTCGATTTTGACACCGCTCATTCGAGTGTTCGAAGGTTATGCAGTGTTTGCAAAAGTAGCGGTGACTGCGCATGTCGTAGTGTGGCTCCTTTTGGCCCGAGTAGAAGGCAAGCCTCTCTTTGCGCGGAGCTCTTTCTACGTAGAGGTCCATATCCTGCTGCTCAGCCAGCAGTGTTGTGCAACGGTTTGCTTAGGATATTTCACCCTGCTGGCGGAAAAGTGCCTTGCACCGTCGCCATTCGTGGGTAAGTCTAGTGAGCACGATTGTCACGAACATATCTTCGGTGATGTTGTTCCCCAGCTCGACGATCTGGTCGCGGATGCTTCAGCAGCGATTGATGTAAGTGTTGGCCTTTTCCCCTGAGGCCATCTTCACTTCTAGCAGTTGACCAAGCAGTCAACTCGACGATACAGAGTCCTTTGGCTGGTAGAGGTTCGTCAGGTATAGCAAGGAGTCACGTGCCGGAACGGCGCAGGTTTTGAACGATCGCATTCCGAGTTGTTCGGAGATGGATATGTTCCGCAGAGGTACGCTGTACGCCATGAGCGATTCGTTATAATATCGCTGCTTCACGTCTTCGGTGTCGATCATTGATCCAGGGTAAGATCCATCGAAATGGGGTAAGATTTGAGTGCTCTGCAATAGTAGCTCAAACTCTGAACGTGTAGAAATGGCGATCGTCGAAGATGGAGCTTGTTCTGATCTTATAAACAACGTAGAACTTCTAATGTGCTGTCTGCAGGGCTTCGCCACCTAATCGTATGGTACGGCAGATCCTCTAGAGGTTCGGTCTCCAGTTCTCCTCAACACAGCCCACCCCTCCACCTATGGATCACAAGCTCTCTGCTCCTATTCCGGCTGAGCATGTGGAGGCTAGTGGTCCATACGCAGAGCTAGTGGGGTGCCTCATGTACCTGACGACCTACAATTGACCAGATCTAGCGTACCCTCTCAGTCTCCTTGCTCACTTTGTGGTGACAGGCAGGCATCGACAAGTCCACTGGCCGGCTGCCAAGAGGGTACTGCGGTATCTGGAGAGTACATCAGGACTGGGGCTTGTGCTAGGAGGACGGGAGCCAGTGGTGCTCAGTGGACACACAGACACGTTGTGGGCCGGCGACTTGGAGACCCTGAGGTCGTCTCAGGGCTACTATTTTAGTCTTGGTGCTAGTGCAGTCTCGTAGAGATCCACCAAGTCGTCATTTGTAGCTCTGTCTAGTTGTGAGGCAGAGATTTACGCTGGGGCCATGGTCGCTTAGGAGGTCCGCTGGCTGTCGTTCTTGCTCACTGACTTAGGTTAGCAGCATAGGTCTGCCTCGATCCTGTTTGCTGACAATAGGGCCATGATCCTCCTATGTCAGGAGGCTCGACTTGAGGGCAGGGAAAAGCACATCCAGCTGCGGTACTTCCTGCTGTATGAGTTGCAACAGTGCAGTCAGGCTCGTGTGGTACAATTGGCCTTAGAGGCCAACACCGCTAATATCTTCACTAAGGCACTACCACCCCGTGACCATCAGCGGTTCTGTACTCAACTTTGTCATAATATACTTGCTTGTTACTTGTTGTTCTATACCTGCTTGTTTTGCTACACCTGCTTGACTGGCCTTGTGGCCTCTTATCTCAGGGGTCAGACTAGTAGTGTTGCCCTGAGTTACCTTGTTACCCTCACCAGAGGTCAGACTAGTAGTTCTGCCCTGGTGTACTTTTCCTTGTTATGAACTGCCTCTATCTCGGCTAAGGGGTGTGTCAACAAATATATATTTGTTATTGCCTTAGTTAGTTCACCTCTTAGAGGGTACAGTCCTATCTTAGTAACCCTCAATATTTTTCCCTAGTCCACTCTTCTCTCTACATCCTAACAAGTTCCGCGAGGGGACATGTCCGCCGGCCCCTCGCGCCCCGCCTGGCCCTAGCGCCCCGCCAGCCCTTAGCGCACCGCCGATCCCTCGCACGCCCACCAGTCTTTTAGCGCCCTGCCGGACCATCGCGTCTCGCCGGCCTTCCTCTCGCTCTGCCGGCCCGTCGCGCTCTGCTGGCCCAGTGAGCCCCAACCGGCCCTGTGAGCCCCAGGACCTGTGAGCCCCGCTCAACCTTCCGCTCAATCTTCCTGCCGGGGAGTTCTGTTGCTGCACCACTGTGCCGCTCTGTAGCTGTGCCGCTGTGTCGCTGTCCCACCGTGCCGCCGTGGTGCTGTATTGCTGAGGTCGCACGATGGCAGGCTCTGTACTCCGCCTGGACGCGCAGGGGCATGCGACCGACTTGGCCACCTGGCTTGTCGATCTACGCCGTCACCTCACAGGTCAGCGCTAGGATGGGTACTCCCTGGCTATGCATATTGATGGCTTGTTTTCCCGCCCCCCCGTGCCTGATCCCCTCCCTGCTGACCCCACCATTGCTCAGCGTGAGGCCTTTTCTGCTGCTGCGCATGCTCGCGATGTCGGGGATTCCCGCGATGCTGTAGCGCAGCTACCCTTTAGTTATGCTCTTCCCCTATCTCAGCGTCCGCGCTTCACTGCTGACGCAAATGCCAAGGGCTTCTTAGATGCAGTCGTTGAGCGCTACTCCACGCCCACCTCCGCCTCTGCTGGCCGCCAGATCCTCCCTATGTTGTTCCCTGATCTTGCCGCTTTCCCCGCTGTAGCTGACCTAGCCACTCATCTCCGTGCACTAGAAGCTAGCTACCGCACCGCTAGCACTGCCGCCCAGCTCAATGCCTTCCCCCCGCCTTTCTGAACTACCCTGTACCTCATTGCCATGCGCCTTCCGGACAGTAGCAACAGCCCGCAACCACTTCCTAAGTCAGCACCCAAGTGACCTCACCCTTACCGCCTTTGTCACCGCCTGTCCGAGATAGAGACTCGCCAGCAATAGAGACTCGACTCGCTCAGTCGAGCGGTACTGCAATAGTCCCTATCTTTCAGGGCTATACACCCTTCCAGTGCACGTACGCTAATGTTTCAGCCGAGGTCGTCGCGACTGCCCCTGCCGCTGAGACCGCAGCTGCAGCGTCCACGCAGCCACGCCCGTGCCAGGGCCGTCGTGGCACCAAGAGGAGGGCGTGGTGGTGGTGGTGGTGGTGGTGGTGGTGGTGGTGGTGGTGGTGGTGGTGGTGGTGGTGGTGGTGGTGGTGGTGGTGGTGGTGGTGGTGGTGGTGGTGGTGGTGGTGGTGGTGGTGGTGGTGGTGGTGGTGGGGACAGTGGGTCCGACAAGGGGATCGGGGATGGTGCCCCAGGAGCAGCAGCAGCTACAGCCGCCGCAGCAGCAGCCATCTTAGTAGCAGCAGTAGCAGCAGTCGTGGGCCCGCCTCCTGCCGCGGTGGCCTCTGGCGGTGGTGGCCGTGGTGGCGGCCCTCGCAGCTCAGCTCCAGACCGGCCCCCTCCGCGGCACTTTATGTCGTCGCCCGCACCCAACCGCCCGATGCTTCCGCCGCCTCGACGACCTCTTTCGTTGTCGCTTCGGCCTAGCCCCGTACCTCCCTGACTGGCCCAGTCTGCTGCGCCACGGGACTTGGTGTCTGGCCTGTTTATGCTGGACACTGCTTCCCCCTTGGTGGGCACGTCCTCCCCGGATCCTGCATCTACTTAGGTTGCTACGGCTTGCTCGTGTCGGTCAATCACTCACCCGTCACTTCTGTGGCACCACCGCCTAGGTCACTCTGCACTCCCGCGTTTGTGTCACATGTCTCAGCACGGTCTTATCCTAGGTCTCCCTCCGTCGCTCCCGGCCCTCCCTCCCTCGTCTACGCTGCCGTGCACTCCCTGCGTCGAGGCCGGCTGCGCCGTGCCCCTCATTCCTCCTCGCTTCGCCCTACCATCGCGCCACTCCAGACCCTGCACCAAGGCATATGGGGCCCAGCCCCCATCCCTACCCGCATCGAGAGCTCTAATTTCTCGTGCTCGTCGACGACTACACGCACTACACCACGGTGTTTCCCCTAGAGCGGAAGGCCGACGTGACTGACGTTCTTATCCCGTGGGTCGTAGCTGCACGCCTCCACCACAGTCTCCCTGTGCTGTGTCTCCTCTCCAACCATGGAGGCGAGTTTGGCTCGTGTGCTGTGTCTCTTCTCCTTTCCTGCGTCTTCCTTGGTTTCCCCCTTAGCTCGGTTGACTGACACTTTTACCACCCGCCGTCTCATCGCTTCTTTCACTCCCGTAACGTCACTTTCAATGAGTCTGTCTCATTTTACCACCGCTTTCTCCACCTAGGTCTCCCGGTTCCCCCCTCCCTGTTTCTGGTTCCTACTCCCCCGGTAGCCTTTGCTCTCCTCCCTCCCCGTCCTGCTCTGTCTCGTGTGTCTCACGTCACCCCCCTCTCGTCGGCTGTCAGGGTCGAGGAGTCGGCTGACTCTGGTGGCCCCACGACGCAATTCAAGCCGCCTGTTTCTCCCCCGGTGTCTCCTTCTCCGTCGTCGCAGAAACCGCCGCCATCGACGCCGCAGCCGTCGTCGCAGCCATCCGTCGACTCTGGGGGTGCGGGCGTTGAGGAGGGTGCTAGTCCTGGGGTTCCTGTTGTGGCTTGTCCCGGCGGTCTCGGGGGTGGCGCCAGTTCTCGTTCTGGGGGTGCTGGAGTGGAGCATTCCGGAGGTAGCCATGGTGCAGCTGGCGGTCCTGGTGTCGGCGTGGAGCAGCAGCAGCAGCGGTCGCCGACGGTGTCTGCCCTTCGCCTGCTCTGCCTTCCCTGACCGCCTGCCTGTGCCTTCCCTGCTGCGTCCTTCCCTCCCTGTCTACGGCCTTGTGTTTCCTCCGCCGGACTCGTCATCAGCTCGTTTTCCCCCTCGTTCCCCTCTTGTGTCTCCTCCTGTGTCTCCTGATCCGACGCCTCCGTCCCGCTTCCAGTCTCGCCGTCCCTCTCGCGCTCGTCATGTCTCTCTTGTCCAGCGCTCTCTTCCCATGTTGCTTTGTTCCCACGCGTCTCGTCCTCCCCTCCTCCCCTCGCCTCCTCCGTCATCGCTCGTTGTTGCTCTGCCTCCTCTGTCTGACTACCTTCGTCCTCTTGTTCCTCGGGTCCTTACCTCTCTCGTTACAGACCTGTCTCGAGTCTTTATGCACTTGTCGCTGACTTCGCCTCTACCCGCCGCCTTGACTATGCCACAGCTCTGGTCTCTGGCCCTGCCTGCCCTCCGTCCGTCGGGGGTGCTCCAGCCCTTGGCAGTGACGTCCTAGAGGAAAGGCAGTACGAGCTTGCTTTCCTGTCAGAGGCTGCTCCCCATCTCTGTTCCATGCTACTAGTCCCTGAGGCTGACCCAGACGCCCTTCACATCCCGACCCCTCGCACATACGCTGAGGTGACCTCGGGGCCTTGGGCCTCTTAGTGGATAGCTACCATGGAGCAGAAGGTGGCATCTTGGAGATCCACCGGCACCTTCGTCGACGCAGTTCCCCCACCTGGGATGAACGTAATCGATCGCCAGTGGCTCTTCAAGGTGAAGCGCCCCCCTGGAGAGCCGCCAGTGTTCAACGCACGCTACGTGGCTAGAGGCTTCAATCAACGAGAGGATGTGGACTTCTTTCAGACCTTCGTCCCGACCCCGAAGATGACTACTCTTCGGGCGCTACTACACGTAGCAACACTGCGTGACTACGAGCTACACTCTCTCGACTTCTCCATTGCGTTCCTTCAGGGAAGCCTACACGAGCAGGTCTACTTGCGCCGTCCACATGGCTTTAACGGTACCTTCCCCCGTGGGACCCAGTTGCTCCTCCGGCGTCCGGTCTATGGCATGCGGCAGACGCCTCGTGAGTGGCACGACACGCTGCGTGCTACGCTAGGTGACCTGCTGTTCTTCCTGTCGTGTGCAGACCCCTCGCTCTTTGTTCGTGCAAGCCAGACCCTGTTCTACATCCTTGTCTCCGCAGACGACCTGGTCTTGGCCACTGCAGACAGAGATGCATTGGTCTCCGTGAAGGCTGAGCTGCTGAAGAGACACACATGCACTGACCTAGGAGAGTTGCACCGCTACCTTGGCCTGCAGATCTCCAGGGACAGAGCAACGCACACCATCACTCTCACACAGTCACACTTGGGGCACTAGGTCATTCAGAGGTTCGATCTTCAGTTCTTCTCTGCACAGCCCACGCCTCTGCCAGTAGACCACATGCTCTTTGCTCCAGTTCCTGAGGAATCTGTAAAGCCTAGTGGTCCTTACGCAGAGCTGATGGGTTGCCTCATGTACCTGATGACTTGCATTCCTCCAGAGCTCGCATACCCTCTTAACATCCTTGCACACTTTGTAGCCACAGGGAGACAGCGACCACAGCACTGGTCGGCAGCTAAGAGGGTTTTGTGTTATCTAGCAAGTACATCGGGCATGGGACTTGTGCTGGGAGGATGCAGGCCAATGGTCCTTACAGGGCACACAGACGCTTTGTGAGCAGACGACGTTGAAACACTCAGGTCCTCCCAGGGCTACTGCTTTAGCCTTGGTTCAGGTGCCATCTCGTGGAGGTCCACTCGCTCCTCATCTGTTACGTAGTCTAGCTGTGAGGCTGAGATCTATGCCGGTACCATGGAAGCACAGGAGCTCCGCTGGCTGACCTTCTTTCTCACCGACTTTGGTGAGCGGCCCAACTCTGCCCCGGTTCTGTACGCTGACAACAGGGCCATGATTCTCCTATGTCAGGAGCCTCGACTCGAGGGCAGAGCGAAGCACATCCAGCTGCGGTACTTCCTCATGCGCGAGCCATAGCAGCGCCGCCAGGCCCGCGTAGTACACTTGGCTTTCGGTGCCAACTCAGCTGATATCTTTACTAAGGCGCTTGCGCCTAAAGGTCATCAGCGACACTGTTTGCAGCTTGGTCTGGTTCTTGTAGCTCCTCGATTGCTAGGACCCTGATTGTGTACTCTTCTTATATATATATTCCTTCTTGAGTTGCCTTGTGGCTTCTCTTCCTGTGGCCGGACTAGTAGTGCCGCCCTGGCTTGCTCTTGTTGAGTTTGTACTCTTGTTGACTGGTCTTTGGACCCTCGTCTTAGAGGTTGGAATAGTAGTGCCGCCCAAAGTTGCTTGTCGCTTGCCAGGCACTGCCCCTTGTCCATTCTATGGGGTGTGTCAAACATATTTGTATATGTTATCGTAGACTAGATAGGGACATGCCTTAGTGAGTACAACAATTTAGGTCAAAACCACTATGTACCCTGTCTTTCTAATCATTCTGATACTCTAAGGAGTTAGTTCCTGATTCTTGTGAGACAAGCGTGACTATTGCGTTGAAGGGCATCACATTGTGAAGGCCAGGATCTAGAATCGGTGGAGCCATAGAGTAAAATTCAGCTGCCAGCATGGGAGCCTAGGGGCACAGCGTCAAAGGAAATCTGCACCGCAAATTAAGATGAGGCATATGCACTTGTAACATAAGTTTCTGAACATTCTGTTGACTTTCCGTTGGACGCTTTATTGTTCTCAAAGCTGTTAGCTGTGGTGACAAGATTCCGTTGCTGAACATCGTGGAAAACCAACGTCCCTCCTCGACTCACCCTTCTCCCACCACAAGCCCACTTTTCACTCTCGGTACCACGCGTGGGTCTATTTGAACAGCACACGTAGACTGCTCCCCCCAACCCAAGGTTCCCTCCTCTCCCTCACGTATGTTGCTGTGAGTCTAGGGTGGATCCTCGTCATGCACGCATCACATCACGTGAGCTGGAGAAGAATCGTGTAGCTCGGAGTAGAACATCCAATCGAAAATGCGGAAACAAATCATCGTCAGAGCCTAGTTGGCATTCCCTCACATGCCGTGGCTTACTTCGCTTCAATGTGCACATTGCCTTTCTGTACCAGCTTGCAACTTTTGGATCCATCTGCGGTACTCACGTGTATAGACCCCAACTGGGATGACAATAGCGAGTTGATGAGTCAAGCCACATCACGACCACGGCATCAAAAGAGTTTTTTCCTGGTAGAAACGACAAAACGGAAACTGTCACAAACCCATGCACCTACCCAAGGAGTCAAGGCGCGTTCTTCTGAATCTCGTACGTTACTGTAGACTCGGCAGGCCTGCAGCAGTACACCTAGCCCTCGGTAATTTGGCGGCAGCAGAATTGTTTTGTTTCTACCCTGACCATTTCTGAGTGCGTAGACAGTACTCCCTTGTTCCTAAGGCCTAAGCGCGGCAGACTCCACGTGGACAAAACTTTGAGCACTGCCTAAGATGACGTCGGGTTTCCTAAATCATGAAAAACTAAATCGAGCAGCAAACTTTTCGTATAGACTCCAAAGCGAAATTTGATTTTCAAGGGTATCCGGTTCTGATCCTCAGGAGCTGCGTTCAGGGGGTGAATACCCTCTCCTCGGCCACCCCTGTGAAAGTACTCGGTGTTGAATTACCGCGGGCTAGGTGTACAAGTCACCTTACCTCACGACATTCCCATCTAACCGTCCGTTTCGATCCGCGCCCTCCCACATGCGCACACGCAGCATCGCGTCGGTGGGTTCGGCAGACTCCTTGAGCTCCTCGCACGCGTGTCCGGAGCAGAGCTCAGCAGAGCAGGGCAAAACCGGACCTTCCGCAGCAGTCACATGTGTCCAGCATCCGCGCCGGAGCATCCGCGCAGGTCTGCTCCGTCTTCCGGGTTCCACCGCGTTCCGCCTCGTTCCGCCCCGTTGTCCGTCGGGAGGGACTCCGCCCCACTCCACTGGGGGTCAAAAGGTGCTTGCATGCAGCGAGTTCGTCTCCCCTCTCAACCCATTTGTGCGTTCACTCAACGCTGTTCGTGCCTCACCCTGACCTCCTCCCCAGCTTCCTGCTGTGGGCCCCGTGTCTGCGTTCCTTCACTCCCTCCCTGCCCTCCCAACATCATCTTCATCCATTTTCTCTAGCCGGATGCAAAGCTAGAGTAAACGAGTTAGAAGCGATAGCAGCATTTCGCGTGATATCGCCCCATCTCACCTCCGGCCCGTTCACCGCCTAGACGCCGCCACTATGTCGATCACCAACACCGTGCTCAGCTCCACCGTGATCGACGGCGTCCGCGCAGCCATGGCCAGGAGCTCGTCCTTCGAGGATCTGTCGTCCGATAGCATCCAAATGTTCGTCGGCTCTCTCGCCTCGCAAGTGCTAAGACTAAAGGCCTCCAGCCGCGTTGCCTGCCCGCGCCCGTTCCGCAGCGTCGCCAGCGGCTGCGCCATGCCCCTTCCCCCCACGCAAGAAGACCGCAACGAACCCGAGCTCGCCTCCGCGTGCCCCTTCCCCGTCCCGCACTCCGCCCCCCTTAATTGCGACGTGGAGGTGGAATCTGTCCTTGAGCCCACGGGTTTCGGCTCGGCGCGCAACTACGCGGACGAGGCGGCGCTCTCCGCCACGCTGGTAGAGGCGCGCGCGGGACTGCTCTCCGGTCACGTGCCGCAGCTGACGTCGGACGGCTCCGGCGGCACCTACATGCTTCGGAGCTCCGGCGACGACTCGGCGAAATCGGAATTGGAAGCGTCGCGCATCGTGGCAGTGTTCAAGCCCATGGACGAGGAGCCCCTCGCGTGGAACTGCCCGCGCGGCATGCCGCCCAGCGTCACCGGTGAGGGCTTGAAGCGTGGCACGCGCGTGGGCGAGGGCGCGTACCGGGAAGTCGCGGCGTACCTCCTCGACCACCCCGTGAACGACGGCGACTCCCGCGGCTTCGCCGGCGTTCCGCCGACGACGCTGGTGCGCTGCTCGTCGGGCTTCTTCCCCGCGGCGGGGGGTTCCCCCGTGACGCCGCTGGACGGTTTGGAGATGTACGGCGTGGACGTGGGCAAGGTGGGGTCGCTGCAGCAGTTCGTGCCCGCCGTCAGCAACTGCGAGGATATGGGCCCCGCGCGATTCCCCGCATCCGACGTCCACAAGATCGCCATTCTCGACATGCGGCTCGCGAACACGGACCGTAACGGCGCGAACATCCTCGTCGCAAAGGAGCCCGCAAGGGACGGCGGCGAGTCGAGTCTGAAGCTGGTACCCATCGACCACGGGTATTGCATGCCCGAGTCGCTCGAGGAGTGCACGTTCGAGTGGCTGTACTGGCCGCAGGCCAAGCAGCCGCTGAGCGACGAGGCTATTAACTACATCGCGAAGTTGGACGCGGAAAATGACCTCGCGCTGCTGGCGGCGAGCGGGTGGAGCGTGCGGCCCGCGTGCGCGCGAGTGCTTCGCGCTTCGACGCTGTTGGTGAAGAAAGGCGCGGCGGCGCGCAAGACTGTGTATGATATGGGTAGCATGATGGTGCGCGACGACCCCGACGAGAAATGCGCGCTGGAAGCCATGATAGAGGAGGCTGAGGCTATGGCTGGGAGCGGCGGCGAGGACGCGGTGATGGCGTGCCTGGCGCAGGTCATGGATCGCCACTTGTAGTCGCCTCGCCATGGACTCAGGGATGCAGCACAGTACAGTACCCACCTTACTTGGTTCCTGTCCTTGGGAGTTCCGTAACTGCCAGATGGTTACAAACCGGGCTTTCTCTCGTGGTGTAATGAAGTATCTGGTGTCATGATGGTGTAACCACAGGACACTCCATGGACTTTCACAGGATGGCTTGGATTGGAGATGGTGTATGTGATGTGGTCTCAGTGCCATGCATTGTAGCAGTCCCATCAATGATGTGCATTTGTGCAGATAGCCCAGTAAGGGCATTGATTTGATGTAAAAATGACCCTCTACAATGAGATGGATATTCATTCCCGTCATTGTAAGTTTTTGGTAAAATACACAAGGGTACGTGGGTGGTTGGTAACACCCAAATGTGGTGGTTGTGACTTCGCTGGTTATCAGTTGGAACAATCTGTACGCGCTATTGGGTTTCCCACGACGTCAGCCCCCGCACGTCTGGCACAAGAGTAGCGCTGATCTGTCCGAGTCAATGGTCAACGGCATTTCCTCCCCATCCCAGCAGTTTCACGGCTGCTCTGCCCTGGTCATCGCATGTCAGCAGGGTGCGGGTGAGTGCAACTGAGCGCAGGCGGAAATGGGGATGCCTGCCTGTCTGAGGGCATGGTGGAACATACAGTTACGAACATCGGTCGAGGCGGAGTACGGCTTAATACGTTTCAGTAAAACAATGGCGATTTTGAAATGGGTTTAGCGTGGTGGAAGTACGAACTTGTGTTTCTTCTTGGAGTTGAAGCAAAAGCGAAATTCAGGCTGCTCTTGGACTTATGAACTACACGTACTAACATGTGCGAAACGAGTTATAGACGCGGCGCTGACACCCCTTCCAGCGCGGCGCTCGCGCGCACTCGTGATCGGCATCGCGACGGCCACGTGGATCGTGCTGGCGGTTTGCAACCAGGCGCCTTTGCTCTGGAGGTTAGGAAGCATCGCACGTGCTCGTATGATTACTAGCACCCCTGCTTCTACCGTTCAGTAGGGTTCCATTCGCCGCCGCGCTTCTATTTGAGAGCTCCTCTAAGCGTGACCGCCGTGCACTCGTTCGTTGCGAGCTGATTCAGTGGGTGGACTCGCGCGTCCTGTCACCACGACCTCCCCCGCGTTGCGCTCGTCCGCATTCCAGCCTGCAGCGTTCCGCTCCCCCTCTCGTCCCTTCTTCCCCGCCTCCGCGCGCGCCAAGCCATGGCGCTCGAGGCGGAGACGCTCTCCGCCAACCAGCGGGTTTCCGCCACCTGCCTCTTCGCCTTCGCGCTGGCGGAGGTGGGCGAGCGCAGGCGGGGGAAGCCCGCAGAGGCGGAGGCGGAGCGGATCGCGGCGCTGGAGCGGGCGGCGGACGGGGGTGAAGTGGGGGAAGGGTGGCGAAGCGCGTGGCCGTGGGGGGCGCGGCGGGGGAGCGGGGAGACGTGGACGCGGGGAGAATGGACGGAGGGCGAGAAGGCACTGTGCCAAGCGGTGCTGAGGTGATTATAGCGGGGGTGGTGCTTGGCGTGCATGGTAGGTGACGGACGCGAGAGCGGAGGGCCGGGCGAGGGGGGTACTGTTGGCTCGAGGGTGTGGCATATTGGGGGGGAGATGGGGTTGGGGTTGGGGGGAGGACGGGTGCATGGTTGGGAGAGATTAGATGGGGCGTGGGCAAAGAGGCCGAGGAGTAGTACAGTACTGGGTGCATGGCTGAAGGGCGGCCGTGCCTGGCGCGGAGCGAAGTCGCACCGTGTGGGTGTACAGTCATTGCGCGATGCTGCTGCTGTGTTGCCATGCGAGACACATGCATTATGTGTCAGGGCGATTTGAGGGTGCCTATGTTGCTATAGTAAAGCAGACTTGAAATGCGATCCATGTGGTGTGGTGTGGCGTGATCTGGTGTGGTGTGATGTGACGTGACATGGCCATGCTTGGTGGCATCAGGAGAATGCGCATGGATGCATCACAAGAGGCGTCTCTGACTGAAATCGTCCCACTGACCTCCCGAACCACCCACATCCCCCAGGTATGCCTCAGCATTCACATATCATGCATCCATGCACCCAGTCAGTTCACGGCCAACTTCAGACTTCATGTCGTCCATCCATGCATGCCCCCCCCCACACACCCATCCACTCACCCATACACCCATCCACTCACCCATACACCCATCCACTCACCCATACACCCATCCACTCACCCATACACCCATCCACTCACCCATACACCCATCCACTCACCCATACATCCATCCACTCACCCATACACCCATCCACTCACCCATACACCCATCCACTCACCCATACACCCATCCACTCACCCATACATCCATCCACTCACCCATACACCCATCCACTCACCCATACACCCATCCACTCACCCATACACCCATCCACTCACCCATACACCCATCCACTCACCCATACACCCATCCACTCACTCACCCATACATCCATCCACTCACCCATACACCCATCCACTCACCCATACACCCATCCACTCACCCATACACCCATCCACTCACCCATTTCCAATTGCTTTCTCTCTCCCTGCCTCCTCCTCTCCCCTCCAGCTACTTCGCATGTTGCACCCCTCCTCCTCCCCCTCTGCCTCCTCTGCCTCCTCCTCCTCCCAGCCCCCCCCGCCCCACTCTCCTCTCGTCACGGCGCTCTCAGCCGTGGTGCACCGCATCTCCTTCCTCCACGCGCGCCTGCACGCCTCCCACCTCGCTCTGCTCGCTCGCTCCAAAGCCGACTCCAACGCTGCTGCTGCTGCTGCATCACCAGCACCAGCACCAGCATCACCAGCAGCAGCAGCAACAGCTGCTGCCAACACATCTACCACCCCCAGTGCACCCGCGCATCCTCACTCGTCGCTTCATGCCCCTCTGGATGCTGCTGCCGCACATGCCCATAGCACATCCTCTGCTGCTCCCTGCGCCTCACCCGCGCAGGGCAAGCTGCGGCAGCAGCAGCATGGGCTGGCAGAGGTGGCGAGGCACGTGGAGGAGTTTGAGGCCAAGCTAGTGGCACGATTGGACGAGCTGGCCCGGGGCGCGGAGCGAGAGGCGGGGGAGGAGAGCAGGGGCGGAGGAGCGTGTAGCAGCAGCAGCAGTGGTGGTGGTGGTGGTGGTGGTGATGGTGGTGGTGGTGGTGGTGGTGGTGGTGGTGGTGGTGGTGGTGGTGGTGGTGGTGGTGGTGGTGGTGGTGGTGGTGGTGGTGGTGGTGGTGGTGGTGGTGGTGGTGGTGGTGGTGGTGGTGGTGGTGGTGGTGGTGGTGGTGGTGGTGGTGGTGGTGGTGGTGGTGGTGGTGGTGGTGGTGGTGGTGGTGGTGGTGGTGGTGATGCTGCGACTGGTGGCAGTGGTGACCGTCACTCTATGGCATGGCATGCGCCTCCTCCCTCTCATCATCAGCCGCCTCCCTCCACGCACCACCCATCCCACCATCCTCCCCAGCAACCGCCTGCACAAGAGTCTGCACCTCCTCCCCTGTCAGCCGCACCAGCCACAGCAGCCTCAGCAGCAGGCACCCGTGGCAGCAGCGCCACTCCTGCAGCCCCATGCTTAGAGCCAAACCCTCTCCTGGACTTTGACCTGCCGGCGGGTGACATGGCGAGTGCAGACCTCGTTCTCGACCTCTCCCTGGGCCCCCACGACATGCCTCACGCGCTGCTGCTGCCCAATGCTGCCCCACTGGGCGGAGCGGGGGGGATGGGGCAGGAAGGAAAAGGGCAAAGCGGGAGCAGGGGGATAGTGGGCGGGGGACAAGGCGGAAAGCGGGAGGGGGGGCCAGGTGCAGAGAGGGGAGGGAGTGAGGTGGTGCAAGGGAGGAGGGAGCAGGGCGGAGGTGTGAGGAGGGAGGGTGCGGGCGTGCTGGGGTTGGGGGGTGTGTGGGAGAGTGGGGAGGAGGAGAGGGCATACCATGAGATAACGGGGAGGGTGCCGGAGAGTGTGCGCGTGGCAGTGCTGTTTGAGGTCATAGCAGCGTGTGTCGTGGCGCAAGGGGATGGGGACGACCAGGGGAGGAGGGAGGGGAGAGGGAGGAGGGAGGAGGGGCAGGGGCGGAGGGGAGATGGCGCGTGCAGTGGCGGTGGCAGGGGGGAGGTGGGAGGCATGGGGAGGCAAGTCTGTGCAGAGAGTGCAGGGAGTGGGATGTGGGCGTGGTGGGGGAGGGGGGACGGCGTTGGGGGGGTTGCTGGGAGCGCAGCCAAGGCAGTGGAAGGGGTTAATGCGGGCAGAAGAGGGAGCGGGAGCGGGAGCGGGAGCGGGAGCGGGAGCGGGAGCGGGAGCGGGAGCGGGAGCGGGAGCGGGAGCGGGAGCGGGAGCGGGAGCGGGAGCGGGAGCGGGAGCGGGAGCGGGAGCGGGAGCGGGAGCGGGAGCGGGAGCGGGAGCGGGGGAGGGCGCGGGCGAGGGCGAGGGCGAGGAGGGTACGATGCACGGCAGCGAGCGGCAGTGCGGCTCATGGCTGCATGGATGGCCGTGCCATGGCCCCTCGTGGTGAGTTGCCTCCCTCTCACGACGTACAGGGAAGGGGGAAGGGGTGAGCGAGGGAGAGTACTTAAGCAATGAGTAGAGTAGAAGGCATTCGCGCTCATGGTGGATTGTGCGTGATTGTGCGCCACTCTCCTCTTCCCTGCTCTTTCCCATCTCTCGCCTTAGACTGCACCTTGCCCTTCCTTCACCTTTCTACCTCCTCCTCCCTCGCCCTCGCCTTTGCCCTGTGGCCCTCTCTCGCATCCCCCAGGCGGCCTGTGAGCTCGTCATCGCTCGGCTGCTGTATGCGCGCTCCAATGCCCCACCACCAAAGCCACCACAGGCACCGCCGCCACCAGCAGGAGCAGCAGGGGCGAGTGGCAGCAGCAGTGGCGGGTGGCGGCGGTCGTTGAGCATAGGAGCAGCTGCTGTGGGCACTGGCGCACTGCTGGCTGTCACTGGCGGTGAGACTCGTGCTGTGGGTGCTGCAGTGGCGTGGATGTGGTGGGTTGGGTTTGGCATGGGGAACGGTTGCTTTGCCAGAGCTACTTCTCTCGTTTACCCCATTCTCCCTGCCCTCGTTGCTACCCTGTCCTTGTGTATCCAGGCAACGCCTGTGGCGCTCTGCCCCAGATGTATCTGACACTTCGTTCTCTGCCGCTCTCATCACGCCCCTCCATCACTCACTCACCCTGCCACTCACCCTCCCAATCGCACCACCGCCTTCCACTCCCGTCACACCACCACACCGCCACACCACCACATCACCACAGCAGCACAGCAGCACAGCAGCACACCACCGCACCAGCACACCACCATAGCACCACACCACCAGTCCACCACTAGTCGTCACCTGCCAAACGCCTCCAAATTTCATTCCCCGATGCCCTTCCAACCCACCACCCAATTTCCCCTCCTCTCCCCCCACCCCGGCAGGGCTGGCAGCACCGGTGGTGGCGGCAGGGCTGGCGGGCGTGGGGAGCCTGGTGCCCGTGGCGGGAGCCGTGCTGGTGGGGGCAGGGCAGGTGGCGGGCAGCGTGGCAGGCAGCGCTGCCATCATGGGGGCATGCGGACGTGAGAAGGGGAAGGGGGGGCTAGAAAGGGGTTTGGGGTGGGGGGAGGGGATCGGGTGGGGAGGAGGAAGTAAGGGGGAGGGGCGTCACCGGAGAGAATAGAAGGGTCAAGGAAGTGGCCATGCTTTCACGCCTAGTCTCTCGTCGCGCTTCTCCAATGCCTCCCACCACTTGCCTCCCACCACTTGCCTCCCACCACTTGCCTCCCACCACTTGCCTCCCACCACTTGCCTCCCACCACTTGCCTCCCACCACTTGCCTCCCACCGCTTGCCTCCCACCACTTGCCTCCCACCACTTGCCTCCCACCATATGCCTCCCACCACTTGCCTCCCACCATGTGCCTCCCACCACTTGCCTCCCACCATGTGCCTCCCACCATTTGCCTCCCACCATGTGCCTCCCACCACTTGCCTCCCACCACTTGCCTCCCACCATGTGCCTCCCACCACTTGCCTCCCACCATGTGCCTCCCACCACTTGCCTCCCACCACTTGCCTCCCACCACTTGCCTCCCACCACTTGCCTCCCACCATGTGCCTCCCACCACGTGCCTACTGTAGGAATTGAAAGTGATCATTGGTAGGAGGTTTACATAGTTGGAAAGGAAGAGGGGGGGTTGGTTGGGTCCTAGGCCAAGACTATTGGCCCTCACCAATAAGTTGCATTGGCCAAATTATTGGGGGCCCAATAATCCTGGCTAGAATTATTGGGGGGTACCAATAGCTGGGGCTCAACTCTTGATCAATAATGACCAGGAGGGGAAACCCAACCTTTTGGGAACCCAACTAGGGTAATTGCACCCTAGTTACACTAGGTTGCCTATAATTACCCAAGAATGCTAATCTATGTAGGATAGTAGAATGGAGTTATATTCTATCACCTCCCACCAAGTGTCTCCCACCACGTGCCTCCCTCCACTTGGCGTTCCACACCCAACCCTCTCTGTTCTTCCCATCACTTTCCGCTCCTCTGCTTGTGCCCCTCCCCTCGTCCACCTCCCCCCTCTCCCCCCCAGTGGCGGGGTACCAGATGGGCGAGCGCAAGATGGAGCGGCGCCTGGGGGAGGTGCGCGAGTTCGAGTTCGTGGCGCTGCCAGGGGGGGGGGCAGGGGTGGGGCAGAGGGCGCAGGGCGGCACCGGCATGAAGGGCAGGTGAGTGCCCCATGGGCGAGGGAGCACAGTAGTCGCAGTGGGTTCAGTGGGCGGTTGCCGTGCCATGTGCCGCTGCCATGTGCCTTTCCCTCTTCTCATGCTCTCCTCTCTGCCACACGCTGCCAGAAAACCCTGCCAAGTATCCACCTCCTTTTTCGCCTCACTCTCCCCCTCTCGCTCCCCCCCCCCACCCCTCCCACCCCACCCCTCCCCTTATTTCTTCTCCTCCACATCTTCATCTGTTCCCCCTCTCCCCTTTCCCCCCTCCCTTGGTCTTTATCCACCTGTTTGTTTGTCCTGTTATCTTGAGTGGTGGCAGAGGCTGGGTGTGACAATAGGGGTGACGGGCCATGCCATGGGCAGGGAGGACTTCACACGGCAGTGGGAGGGGCTGGGATGGGACGCTCACAGGTGAGTGCCACATGACGTAGGTGCTATTTTTGAGGCGCCTCAACAGTAGACTCTTGCCACATGACGTATGTGCTTGATTGGAGGCACACAGGCATGCATGGTGCATGGGTGCGTGGTTGCATGGAAGCATGGGTGGATAGAGGCATGGGTGCATGGACGGAAGCATGGGTGGTCCAAGCATGGTAGAATGGCAGCACAGCTCACTGCCATAGTACTGACAACCAGCCTTGTATCTCAATCTTCTCCCTCCCTCCCTCGCACCCCCTTGCCCCCATCAGCTACTCACTGGTGTGGGAGTCAGAGACGATCATTGCCCTCTCCAACAACCTGCACAGCTGGTTCAAGTCAGGTGCGCTGCTGGTGCAAGTCTAGTCAGACGGGCAACTCGACTGAAATCGACTCACTAGTGTTGCTGCCATGTGCAAACATCCAGTCACTGCGTGCCTGCTGCCAACACATTGCACAGCAGCACCCCTCCGCCCCTCCCCACTCCGCTGCCGTGAATCGCCTCACTCGTCACTGACCATTCCTCCCGTTTCCACTTCCCCTCCATCCCCTCTTATCTCGCATGCTGCCCCCAAATCCTCCCTAGCCCCAACCCCACACACCTCCCCTCTCCCCTTCCCCACACCCCCCCTGTGCTGCATCAGAGGCGGTGCAGGGCGTGGTGGTGCCCGGCGCTCTCATGGCGCTGCTGTCGTCCGTGGCTTGGCCACTGGCCCTGCTGCAGGCAAGCACGCATGGGACGCTCCTGCCTTCCCCTCTTCGCTCACTCCTCCACCCACTGTCTTGTGCTTGCTTACTGCTGTCGTATCCTTTCGAATTATGCATGGTAACAACTGGTACATTCAAGCGGACAAAGGTACATACACACTACTGCTATAATACTGCTTGAAATTTGGATGGTTTCTTCTCTCTTGCCCTGCCTTTTCTTAGCCGGATGCCACAGTGAACAACCTATCTGCCCCCATCTCCCTCTCAGCTTCCTCTCTCTTTCCACTCGCTCTACCCCTCTCACTCTTCCCCGATCCTTTCGTGCAGTCTCCCTTCCCCCCACCCATCTCCGCCTCTCTCCACTCGTGCCATGATTCCTCGTGATTTTCATTGTGTCTCACCTCGCCCCCACGGCAGGCATCATCGTTGATTGACAGTGAATGGGCCATCGCCATCGACAGGTGCCCTCCCTCCCTCTCCCGCCCTCCCTCTCTCCGTTCCTCCCTCTCTTCCTCCCTCCTTCCCCTCTCCTTTCCCCTTACCTCCCTCTCCCCGCCTGTGTCGCGTCATTGCTACCCGTAGGCCAGTTTCCGCGTGCGCATGTTCCATCCATCGCTCATTTCGCACCTTCTCCCCCACCTCGGTGAGCCTCCATTCCCTCTCACCTCTTGCTATCTCTCCCTCCGTGGCAGGGCGGACAAGGCGGGCGTTATGCTGGCTCAAGTGCTCATGGAGGGCGTGCAGGGGGGCAGGTGAGCCACGCGGCCACTGCAGGTGGTGGGAGCACGGCAGGTGGTGGGAGCACGGCAGGTGGTGGGAGCACGGCAGGCGGTGGGAGCACGGCAGGCGGTGGGAGCACGGCAGGCGGTGGGAGCACGGCAGGCGGTGGGAGCACGGCAGGTGGTGGGAGCACGGCAGGTGGTGGGAGCACTGCAGGTGGTGGGAGCACGGCAGGTGGTGGGAGCACGGCAGGTGGTGGGAGCACGGCAGGTGGTGGGAGCACGGCAGGTGGTGGGAGCACGGCAGGTGGTGGGAGCGCGGCAGGTGTCAGAACGCTCATGCTTGCGTCTTGTCCATCCATGCCAATCCCCATCACCAATTGTGCGCCCTTCCACGCACTCTACACAGCATCTTCATCAGCATCCCCCATCCCCACAACCACCAACCCCCTACCGCGTGGCTGTACACGTCAAGTGCAGGCCAGTGACGCTGATAGGCCACGCCATGGGAGCGCGTGTCATCTTCTCATGCCTCTGCCACCTTGCTGCATCGGCGTCTCACACCATGCCCAAAGGTGCGCCTCACACCAAAGGTGCACCTCAACCAGCTCACCCCCATTCGCTCCTTCTCTCCCCATCACACACACTCGCCGTCGCGCTTCATCCCGTGTGTCCCTCCCTTTATGACTGAGCCTGCCTTGACTGTCTTCCCCGATTGCCTGTGAGCAGCATCAGCAGTGGAACGAGCAGTGCTGCTGGGTGCCCCCCTTCCTGCATCCGATGCCAAATGGGCTCTCGCTCGCTCTGTTAGTCATCCTGCTCACATGCACATGCATGCATGCACACATGCGCACCCACACATGTACGCATGCACATGCTTGCACACATGCACACTGCACACTCGCACAGTCTTGCACACACACGCACACACACACACACACACACACACACACACACACACAAACATGTTCGCACGCACCCACGCAAGTGCGTACCCAGGCACCCACACACGCACCCACGTACTCCTCCTCATCTGGCACACCGCTGTCCTCTTTCTTCCATTCCCTTTCCTCCTAGTTTTTATCCTCTCCCATGTTAAGTCTTGCCTACTACTTCCCGTATGTTCCTTTTCCCTCCCTCCTCTTCCCTCTCTCTTCCCCCCCTTCTCTCATGTTCCTCCCCCTCTGCCCATGTGCATCTCCTGGCACCCCTCCATGTGTGCCATGTGTGCCGTGTGTGCTGTGTCGTGTGTGCCATATGTGCCATGTGTGCCGTGTGTGCCATATGTGCCATGTGTGCCATGTGTGCCATGTGTGCCGTGTGTGCCATGTGTGCCGTGTGTGCCATGTGTGCCATGTGTGTTGTGTGTGCCCTATGTGCCATATGTGCCATGTGTGCCATGTGTGCTGTGTGTTGCCACGTGTGCCGTGTGTGCCATGTGTGCCATGTGTGCCATGTGTGCCATGTGTGCCGTGTGTGCGATATGTGCCATGTGTGCCGTGTGTGCCGTATGTGCCACGTGTGTGAGCAGGTGGTGGCAGGGCGGCTGGTGAATGGCTACAGCACGAACAACTGGGAGCTCGCCATTCTCTACAGGGGCAGGTGCTCGCACACTCACTCACCATGCCATGCCATGCCATGCCATGCCATGCCATGCCACTACATGCACTACATGCCCTAGATGTTGTGCTGTGCACTATTGCACTATGGGCACTCAATCCTTCCCTCTTTTTCCCTCACTGTCTGTCTCGCAATCTCTTTGTCTGGCACTGTTCCTGGTCCTGTGGTGAGGATTCGCAGCTTCCTTGCCTCCGGCGTTGCAGCCATACAACCAGTACCAACAGATGGAGTTGAGAATGTAAGACCTCTATCCCTCCCCCTCATCCTCTCTCCGTTTTCTCCGTTTTCCACTCACTCTCTCACCCCCTTCATTTCGTCCTCTCTCTCTCTCTTCTACACACACACTGTCTCCCACAAGGTACGTCAATCACCGCAACCGAGGCACATGGGCGCATGTTGGTGTGTTAGGTACAGACTGAAGCCCGGTCCCAGCCGCCAGTGTAGGCTCTAGGAGTCTAGGACATAGGGGAGACCTTTCACTGCTCAGCGGGCCTATGGGAGGTTGAGCCTGAGGTTGAGTCTACGTGACTGTTGTACGGCTGCTGGACCTGCCATGCTCTGCGATGGCGTGGGCTTGCTGCAGTGTGGCGACCAGCTCTGGCACACGTCGTGTGTGAGTTGAGCGGCCGTGGTAGAGGTGCGGTCCACCATCTTGCTGCGTGCCGTGGTGTCACGGGCAGCAAGGATGGCCAGGGCTGCTACCATCTTGCTGCTCCATCCTCCCATTGTCTCTCATGCAAACACGCACACACACACACACACACTGCCTTTCTCTCCCTCTCCTTCCTCACTTCCTCCTTTCCCTCCCACATTGTCGTTCACTCTCTCCCTCCCGCTGCCTCCCGCCTCGATTCTGTAAATCCGTCCTTGCATTCGACCACTAATTATCTGGCTACGCGCCCATTTGTACATTGCTCCTGGCGTCCCTGCTCCCTGCTGTCCTCCCTCCGGCAGGTGGACCTGTCTCTGCTGGTGGATGGCCATTCTGGCTATCCTGGGGCAATCTCACATATATTGTCCTTCTTGAACATGGACAACCCAGATTTGGCACGTTATAAAGACGTCCTTGATCACGTTAAGAGTAAGCACCAGGGCTTTGACCCTTAGGGAGAGCTGAATGCTGAGAACCGTTTCACTTGAGGATACTTGCTCACATTCAGGCCGTCAGAATAGATGAGATATAGGGCATATTGCTGGGTGGGTCCCGGCCTCACCGGTGCGCCTCTCCTGCAGCAAGCACGAATCAGTCGTGCAATGAATGGACCATAGATCATCTGCAGATGTACAGTTCTGCTGCAAGTGTACTAATTGGTCCTTGCAACGTTCCCCTGCTTACCAACGTTCCCCTTTACATCTCTAATGCATTCGCATGAGCATGGCCATTCTCAGCACGGGCTTGGGCAATAACGGATGGAAAGGGTGTGGAGGGAGGTTTTGGGATAAGCAGATGGAGGGAGTGTTTAATACATGAGCTATTACTTGAGAGCTTCAGAGTTCAAGCTTTGATTTTAGACTTATTTATCAATGCGTTTTTGTGAAGGCATTTGCCCCTTATGAGCTGTGATTAACTGCTTTATGAGGTTTGATGAAGTGTAACACTTCTTCGCCGTTGGGCACTTGAAGACAGTTACTTGACAGCTTGCGACAGCAAATGTCTGGGAGCAGTCCGAAAAAGACAAAGCCTTCCAGAGCTGGCTTTGGGAAGTGGATGTGCTGCGCTGGCTTCTTGTCCCCCCCCCAGTGCCCCCAACCCATAAGGTTCTTTGCCATTGTCGGGCTGAGAGAACTGTACACTTCTGTGCGGCGGAGTCAAAATTGGTTGGGGGGTACAATATTGGAACCTCCTGAATTCATAGTCCAGAAAATATGTTCAGTTGTTTCCTTCGCGTTATCTTAATTTCCGTCCAAATGCAGCATTATTTAGGGCATCTAATTTGAGCAGCAAGAGTAGAAATTGATGCGGGCAGGGGAGGGGTGATGGAGGCTTGGGAGAGACGCGATGGACAATGTTCCCATTCCCTCCGAGACGTGATGCACAATGTTCCCATTCCCTCCGAGTGGCTCAGAATCTTCAAACTAGAGTCTGTGTATGCACTAGCGAAAATTTGCTCCTGGAAAACAAAGCCGTGACTGCAACCTGGTAAACCACCGTACGACAAAGACATCCACGAAGTTTCTGTTTGATAAGGCATCCCATGCTAGCCTGTCTCTCTTGTCGCACACAAGTCGCGCGCCCAGGCTGATGAGGTCTTCAGGCGGATGGGAGCAAGATGTTGGTTGGGAACAAGGCGGTTCCTCCTCCTGACCGCACTGAGGTCGTGTGAAAAACTGGACCCACAGCTACTTCATATACAATTCGTTTTTCGGGTAATGAACGAGGCTGAACTTGGCTGGATCACGCTGGGCAACACCCACGTTCGCACGTGGTTTGCAACACCACTATTGGTTCTGACCTTGGTCAATTGGTGACTTTTACCTAAAATTTCGGCAATTCATTACTGGGAGGAAGTCTAATTTCTGTATGAGGGATTTATTGCATATAAACGGCTCACAAATATCGTTCACAAGCTCGAGGAGAAACCCAGGAACCTGGGCCGGTCAAACGCACTAACTTCGACATTGGTGCATCCCCAAATGAACATGAAAAGTACACCAGCTGGTCGTGTGCTCAATCTTCCCCACACCATTGCGAATGGCGAAATGAGCGCGAGTTTTTCGCCTTTCGTCAAAGGCGCCTTCAATTCCTCGAAATCCCCTTGCCTCAGCCCACCACCAGGCGCAGTCTGACGTGTCAGGCTCAGGCTAGGCGTGGGCCAGATGGCTGGCATGGCAGTGGTTTGGCAACCACCAACGCCACCAACTCCACACCGCACCACGTCGTACTGTGACTACTAATGCACCCAAGCAGACTTTCCAGCCATAAGCAACCATTCCGTAAAACGAATACCATTCCTCCACACCTAGCACTTCGTGAGATAAGAGTCATAGCTATTTTGAAGACCTTGGTGTAGTCAGTTCGTTTCGGCACTGAGACCATGGTCAGCGATCGACGTAGGCTAGCGTTAGCACCACCCACCTCGTTGCCGTATTCTGCTGCCCTTGTCCCGTCGCATTCGTCGCCACGTGTGTAACTCTCCAAGGCCTCGCCCCATCGCCAATTTCACCATATTTTCTCTTCCCCTTAGCGCCCGCACCTCGCATTCCTGTCTACCCCTGCCCATTTCGATACAATCACATTCGCCTCAATGCTTCCTCCGCCACCGCCGTCGCCTCTCCCTCCGGGGCCTCCGACGCCCCTCCCGTCGCTCTCCGACGTGTGGGACGAGGACGCGTCGCCCTCTCCGTCCCCCGACGCCTCCCGCCAGCCCGGCCCGTCGCTCAGGGAAAAAGCGCGCGCAGCAGCCGCGGCGGTCGCCGCCGCAGCAGCCGCAGCCGGGCCCGGCAGGGACGGCACGAATGGCGCCACGACGCGGGGGTTCCTCCCGCAAATCGCGGAGCGGCCGGAATTGCCGTACGCGAACGGGCCGAAAGCGCGCTTTGAAGACGAGGGGGGCGCGGCGGGCAGCAAGCTGCAGTCGCGCGAGGTGAAGCGGCGGTTGCGGCCGCTGAGCATCGACTTCGACCAGCAGGACGACGACAACCGCGGCGCCGGCGGCAAGAAAGGCGCGGGGGGCTCCGAGGGCGCGGCGGGAGCGATGGAGAACGGCGTGGCGTCAGCGGGAGCGACGGCGGGCGACGCGAACGAAGACATCGAGATGCTGCTGTCGCCGGGCGTGCTCATGTCGTCGCGCATTCCGCACTTCCCGCCCGTCCCCCGACCCTCGCCGCGCTACCGGCTCTTCCCGCACGGGCTGTCGGGCGCGGGGGGGTCGCTGTCCGCGGACGGCATCCGCGCGTGGTGCGAGCGCGCGCTCGCCAGCGTGACGCCGCCCAGCCTGCCCGGGAAGCTCCCGTGCGGCCCCGCCGTGCTGCTCGGCGCGCTGCTGCTCATAGTGCTCGCGCTGCTCGCCGCCACCATCGCCGCGTTCTCGCGCGGCGGCGGGGGGGACGGCGGGGACGGCGGCGTGGGCGTGGCGGCGTGGGAGGAGCACGTGGTGCGCGTGAACGAGGTGCAGACGCTGGGGTCGCGGTACAGCTACCACATGGCGCCCGAGCCCGACGTGATGCGGTGGATGCAGGAGGCCGGGCTCAGCACCATGATCGCCAGCTCCAACTTCTCGCACTCCCCGCTCAAGGACCAGCTGCGCGCCGGCTACCGCTTCCTGCAGCTCGACGTGAGTTGGGGAAACGGGGGGAGGGGGGAGGGGGGAGGGGAGGGGGGAGAAGTGGATGACAGGGAGGGTAATGCAGGTGTGTGTGGAGCGCGGAATGCGGTTAGTGCAGTTTGTGGCTTGCGCGTGCGGGGCTGAGAGCGCGTTTATGGAGGTGAGGGGAGGAGGTAATGCGGGAAAGGAAGGCAGGTGGAAGGGGAGGTTCACAAGACAAGCAGGGCGTTAGGGTTGACGAGTGCATGCATGGGGTACTCGTTAAGCACCCGTAAGCACTCGCTTAAGCACTCGCTTCCCGCCGCCTTTCGCCACCCCCCTATGCCACCCCTCCTCCCCCTCAAACCCGCCCCCCTCCTCCCTTCCCCTTCCCCCCACTCTCTGGCGCAGGTGTTCTACGACCCGGCGGGCGGGCGGTACTTCGACCGCAAGGTGTACGAGCAGCTGGGCCGCTCCACCGCCTCCATGCGCCCCGAACTGCAGGCGCCGGGCTTCAAGGTGTGCTGCCCTGCCCCTGCCGCCCCCGCCCTTGCCCACCCGCTCCCCTCACTCCCTTCCTCTTCTGTCGCCCTCTCAACCCCTCGGCAATGCGAAGGGCGCAGTTAGGCACGCTGCTGCACCAGGGAGACTAGGCCGCCAGAGGACAAAAACAAAAAAACAGCACTTCAACCAACGAACAGCACTTCAACCAACAAACAGCACTTCAACTTAGAATAGCTAGCGACGTGGCATTTTTCACCAAGAACCTGACATTCTCTCTCTCTCAAATCCCTCCTCCCTCCCTCCCCCCCGCCTCTCCCCGCTCCCCTCACCTCCTTCGCCCCTCCGCTCTCTCACTTGATCAGTGCCCCCTTTTGCCTCCTCCTTTTCGTCCTCACGCGCGTGCCTGCTGCCACTTGGCCACACATACTGCTCCATTTTTCACTGCACCTGCTTCTCACACGCCGTCTTATCCTTCGCACTCTTGTCCCTCCCCTTTCCGCCACCTCCCTCCGAGCTTCTCTCTCACTGTGCTCCGTCTCTTCGTCCGCCCTCCTGCTCGTCCGCCATCGCATCTCACCTCTACCTTCTCCTTATCGCCCTGTCATGCCCCACTCCCCCTACTTCTTCCCTTATCACCACCCCCACACTTCTACCCCTTCCCTCCCCTTTCCCCCGTCCCCCATCCCCTCCCCCCCAGGTGCTGCGCGTGCCGGACATAGACTTTGCGGCGACGTGTTTGACGCTGCGCGACTGCCTGCTGCAGGTGATAGAGTTCAGCGACGCCTCGCCGCGCCATCTGCCGCTGGCCATCGAGATCGACTTCGGGGACGCCTCCGCCTTCATCCGCCCCCTCAACACGCTGCTCACACCGCCGCTGCCCATCGACCAGCAGGTCAGCCACGCACAGGGCGTGGGTGGGAGGGTGGGTCGGTAGTCAAGAGCGCTGACGGGATGGATGTGGGTTGGAACAGGGTGCTCACGGCGCGAAACAGCTGGTGAAGTACTCGCGAACATATGTTTGGCTGTTGCCCTGCCACAAGGAGCCACAAACATTGAGGTAGTTAGCTAGTCCAGTTGGCTCGTTTCAGCATCCATCCCAAGCAACACCCATGCCTCCTATCCAAGGCTATCGCATCGCATCAAAGCCCTTGCTAATGGGCTCTTCCCCTCCCCTTCACCTGCTGACAACTTTAGAGCGATTTTTTTTACAGGTAAAGGAAAGCCAGGGCCCAGATGATTCAATGTATGAGTTCTTAAAATCGTCTGTGCAGGTTCTAGTGGGTGGGCCAATGTGTGACTGAACTCATGGGTGGTAACCAAATGAGTGTGCAATGTGAGGGTGAGCACCGCGGGCCGGCCGTGGTGGGCAGGGAGGAGTAGAGATTAGGAGGCGGATGGAAACGTTTGGATGGGAGAGTGGGAGGAGGCACAGAAAGGGGCAGGCAAAGGTACAGGGAAGGTCGGGAGAAGGGGTGAAAGGGTTGATGGTCTCTGGAGGCGGGGCAGAGCAGGTGGAGACATAGGCTCTCACGGTGGGAACTGGGGCAGCGCTGCGTGCTGAGCGCGCAGTGGGGGCAGTTGTTGCAGGAGGCGCTTCAACTCATTGCTCCGTTCCGTGGTGTTCCACCGTGGGCCCAGCAGGGTTAGGCTTCAGGGGTGCAGGTGTGTGGCAGCTGCGTGCGGAACTGCATCGCAGCTCAGGAAAGAGACGGTGTTGTTATGTTTCAGCAGACGCAAGTGTACTGTAGCCAGTTGTTGGGTGGTGGCTAGAGGCAGGGAGCTCATTGTATGGTGCTGGCTAGAGGCGGCAGGGGTGAGGGAAGGGAGGGAAGGGATGACTTGGATGCATGAGGCATGTGTCTGCATGTTCTCAGCCAAGGACAAGCACATGAGGATGCACCAACGTGCATGGCTCCCTTGCTGCTGCATGTACTGCAACAGCCAGCTTCTTTCATGTGTAGTGTTGTGCATGCATGCTAATCCATGATCCATTGCCACTCTTCCACTTACTCTGTCTCCTCTCTCCCCCCTTCTCTCCCTGCCCCTCACCTGCACGGCAGTGTCTGTTGGACCTGGAGGCGGAGATCCTCTCAGTGGTGCCGCGCGACCGCATCATCACCCCAGACTCGGTCCGCGGCGACCATCCCACTCTGAACGACGCCGTGCGCACAGGCCTTGCGTGGCCCGACCTCGCCTCCGCCGCGTCGCACGTGGCCTTCTTCCTGTCGTCGCGCCGCGCCATCTCCGTGTACCAGGGCATGTCGCCCACCTTGGAGGGCCGCCTCATGTTCACAGCGCACACGGCGGCGGGCGACGGGGACATCCCGCACTCGCCGGACCAGGCGGCGCTGATAGTGGAGTCGCTGGGGTCCACGGCGCGCGACCTCGTGGCGTCGGGGCACTTTGTGATCTGCCCCGTGCTGTCCCTGCGCTCGCCCCTGGCGCAGTTCATGTGGCAGCAGGCTGTGGCGGCGGGCTGCCAGGTGATCATCGTGGACGACCTCTGGAACGAGCTGCCCAAACCCCTGCCCCAGCAGTCCGGTGCCAGAGGGGCGGCTGAGGCTGCTGCTCGGGGGGGTGAAGGGGGAGGAGGGGCGAGGGGAGGGCGAGGGGGCGAGGGGGAGGTGCTGGAGGTGCCGCAGCTGGTGGAGGCGGGCACGGGCGTGCAGGCACGGTGCATCAAGAAACTCAACCCCGGCGCATGTGAGACTGCCCCCTGGGACCACATAGCAGAGCCGCTGCCGGGCCAGTAGAGGAGCCTGGCAGGAGGGCAGGGCTGAGGGAGGGCGTAGGGCAGGAGAGGAGAAGAGGGAGGACGGTGAAGTGATGGAGGGGGGATGCGTGCACGCTGTGAGATGCTCAGAGGGCTTGGAAGTAGGGCGAGCAGAGGAAAAGAAGGCAGAGGGAAGCATGACAGGTTCATGTGCACACGCTAACCTTGTGGTTGATGAAGGGAAGGAGGTGGCACGGGATGCATGCGCATGGAGCAAGGAGAAACTGTGGTATGCCTTGGATTGGCAGTATAGCTGGCCGTGCGATTAGAGGGTGGGTGTGCAGTGCAGGCTCTGGGGCTGCTTGAAAGTTGCAGGGCTCGCTGTAAACTGGGGGGTTAAGGGCTGGACTCCACTCTGTTGCCAAGACATGTTGCAAATGTGAGTGCTTTGACAGCCCTGAGCCCTATGCAGCAGGGCAGGGGTGTTTATGTCACCTTTTAATAGCTGTCTACAGTGCTCTTTTAGGCTACCCTATGATTGCTGAGCGATGTTGGAAGCAGGACATTTTCTATCATGAATACATTAGTACAGAATGGAGGACTGAATCTAGACGTCCCTAAAAACACATCCCTAAATAATGTTGTGGGTAAATCTATATTTTTTAAAGCTTTAGTGACTAGAGGCCTGAAAAAATCAGGTAAAACCAATATGGTATGTTAATCAAATTTGAGTACTAATCATATCATGCCTTGCTTGGGGGGGGGGGGGCTAAGCTCAGACCCAAACCCGAGTCACCACTGACCACCCAAAACCAATCTGAGGCCTTGAGAATCGACCACTGCTGCCCTCAACCTTATGTCACTTCTGCAGGTATTAGAGCATGTTCCTACGAGCCCCTTCCCAGGCAACCTCTTCTTCCCAGACTCACGCGCGACCTTGAGAGCGTGTTCCCAAGACCACTTTTCGGAATCCTCTTGTTTCATATTTGCGTTCCCTCGCTCTCAACCACATAAAACCAGCTGGCGTCGAAAATTTACTGTGCAGATTCGCGCTTGTCTGAAAATGTGCTCGTCTGAAAACAGGTTTTAAAACACGCCCCTGAATCTCGGGAAGCCGAATCTCACTTCGCACTTCGCGGAATCGCACTGAAACATTTCGCGTCAAAATTTGCGACACTGTAGCACGGGAGTCTGGGAAGAGGTCGCTTGGGAAGAGGCTGGTAGGAACACGCTCTTATAGTGTAATGTGAAATGCTTCAGAGAAAATCTCACATTGAAAGGGGGACTGTGAACAGGAAACACCCATCAAACACCCATCTTGTACGGATGAGGGCAACTTCAGGGGATGATAACATGGGGGGGTGGGGGGGGCTGCAACTGATCTTATATTGAGCCGTAAGACTTGGTTGGCACTTCAAAGCTGCGAGGGCTGCAGCTGCGGCCGCTACAGTGCTTGAGGCGGTCCAGAAGGTTCTGGTGGGGTGGAGGGTGGGAAGGTGGGAGGGAAGGTGGGAGGGAGGAGGCCTTAGCGTGCAGTGAAGTGGGTGGAAGCGGTGGGCAAAAGGGAATCGGAATTGGAGAAGGAAAACGATATTGGAAAGGCCTGGTGAGTTGATGAGACAATGGCATTTCCACGAAGCATGGAGGTGAGTGGAGCGCACCTGGAAGTAGGCAACGAGAGTGGGCGAGAGGGAGTGGAAGGTGTTGTGCAGCTGGAAGGGGTCCACGGACATGTTGTAGAACTCGTGCCCGTACACGCCCAGATCCGCATACACTATGCTGCCCACACGCTGCCATTGAAGGGGGAACACAGAAGGGTTGAGGACGTCGGTTGAAGGAGGGGGTCTACTCTAACTGCACTCTCGAATCGCCCCTCACTCTTGAGTTTGCCCCCCAGAAGGCAAAACAGCTGCGATGCATGCGATGATGCTCTCAGGTGGTGCATTGCTCGACATGAGCGCTTGGCTCACATCACATCACATCACATCACATCACATCACATCACATCACATCACATCACATCACATCACATCACATCACAGTACTTGAGTGTCGGGTTAGTCAGTGACCCAAGATGATGTGCTTCCTTCGCATGTTGACGAATCTCCAAGCACATGTCATCCACCGGTCAACACGCTTGGCATTTACGCGGGCGTGCACACGGGGCGAGGTGCATTGAGTGCACTGACTGACCTTGTTGTTCATCCTCAGTGCGTAGTACGTGGAGGGGAAGGAGAACCCAACGGCAATCAGATACGCACTCTCGTTGTACCCAAACCTGCCAACGCCAGCCGCAAACACAATCATCTGAATGAATTACAGCTTGCAGCCACTACCATGCGGGATGGGACTAACAACGTGAAAAGTTAAGCCAGCAACGACCATGACATGATCTAGGGTGACGTGAAAAGCCAAGCCAGCAGTACGTGCGAGCCTCCCTTCTCACTGAGCGAAGTACTGAGGCCCTCCCCGCTCCGCATCCTCTGTGTTGCCAAAGCGCGGCCCGTTCCTCAGAGCACCGCCATCAGGTGTGAGCTCCACGCCCTTGTTCACCTGCCACAGTCGCCGCCGAGGCGCAAGGCACGAGTAGCCCCCACAGCACAGCCAACACACCACAGGCACATGAATTTACTTAAACGAGCATAAAAGCCAATAAGCCAAGGCACGGTCGGAGTGAAATACGCAAGACGGGAAAACAGGCAAGTGGAACGGGCGTCTCATACCCGGTTGTTGGTGTAGTTGGCATCACCAGGGCCGATGGTAGAGCCAGGTGGGAGCGGAGGAGGGTGAAACGGCGTGTCGTTGAACGATGGGATTGGCGGTGGGCGATACCTGCATCACAGCGGCACAACGCATCAAGAATACAAAACGGCCAAAATGAATGCAAAGTCCTGATATAACCTCCAAGCCTGACTGTGACATAGAAGGCAAAGAAGAGAAACACTGATATGCATAGACTAGTTCAGCGCAGAAAACAGCTGTGACATGTTGTTTGAAGCGTGGAAGCAAGCAATGTGAAACGAGGTGAGCAATTGCAGTTTGCATAGGCGAACAGAGGTAAAGACTGATATCAGAGGAGGGGAGAGGGTTGAGTGGGGTGGGACACGGTGATAGCGGACGAGGCTCATGTGCTGGGGACTGCCAGACAGCCCTTCAGTGCCAGGTGGTTCCTTTGCATGAACCAGTCCCTGTGCTCCAGTTCCGTTTCCCCGTCCAAGCACCTCCGTCCAAGCACCTCCGTCCAACCACCTCCGTCCAAGCACCTCCGTCCAACCACCTCCGTCCAACCACCTCCGTCCAACCACTTCCACCCAACCACCTCCGTCCAACCACCTCCGTCCAACCACCTCCGTCCAACCACCTCCGTCCAAGCACCTCTGTCCAACCACCTCCGTCCAAGCACCTCCGTCCAAGGACCTCCGTCCAAGCACCTCCGTCCGAGCACCTCCGTTCAACCACCTCCGTCCAACAACCTCTGTCCAACCACCTCCGTCCATCAACCTCTATCCAGCGGGCTCTGCCCAGAGGGCTCTTGGTGGTGCCGGGGCACTCTTGGTGGTGTGGGGCACTCATGGTGGAACTCATGGTGGTGCTCGGCAATCTCGGTGGTGAAGGGCACTCTTGGTGGTGCAGGGCGCTCTTGATGGTGCCTAGTACAGTGCCATTTCCAGTGCCGTGCGGTGCCCAGTGAAAAGAAGAGAAGATGCTGGGAAGAGAGGACGCACTTGGCAAAAGCATCGGCATGCGCGGCAGCAATGGCGATCTGAGGGGCGCACAGATGTACAGCAGGAAGAGGGGTGAGAGAAGGCTCAGAAGTGATGCAAGGCGGAATGGGGAGACAAGGAAGAACACGAGGAATGCAGCATGCATGGCACATTCAAGTGGCATGCCCATGGGTTGCACATGCGCGCTTACATGGTGCGTGCATGTGCACTTACATGGTGCATGCATGCACGCTTACATCGTGTGCATGCGCCCTTACATCGTGCGTGCATGCGCGCTTACATCATGTGTGACAGCATTGGGGCTGGAGTCGAGCCATATCTTCTCGACCAGAAACGCCTCTCTGAAGTGGTCCGGGTCCAGCGCACGTGCCTCAGGTGATCTGGTGGGGGCGCATGGCGAGGGAGGAGGTCCCACAGAGCACAGCGGTGAGGGGACGACGGGGATAGGAGAGAAGTTGGACTTACTGTAGGCAGCGAAACGGTGGGAAGTTTGTCACATAATGAATGAAGCGTTGGTCACAAGGAAGCATGGAGCATGGGCAGGCGATGCACTGTGGTGCTACGCTGCACTATGGTGCTGCGATGGACTGACAGCAGCAGAGGCGCGAAGGAGAGGCCGTCCACGGGAGGTGCGCCGGGAGGGGGGAAGTCAACGCCTGCCAGCTCAGCAATGGTGGGCGCCACGTCAATGTTGCCAATCAGATGAGTCAGATTCACCTGGAGGGGCAGCAGAAGGAAGAGGCGACGCATGATCCTCCAGCCAAAGTGAGCAAGGCTGACACAAGACACACGGAAGGGGCACAGAGTCACATAGAAACGAGAGACACAGCGACCCACCCACCGTGGGCACGGTGGGCCCTGTGATGTGGAAGAAGAGGCGGATGTCCTCCTCGTAGAACGACGACTTGCCCGCTGTCATGCCGTGGTGCCTGCCACAGAGGGGGGGCGGACGGTAGGGACGCTGGCAGCCGGGTGAGGCACAAGAAGGGGGGGGGGGAGGGAGAGCAAGCAGGGGATGGTGGTCGAGGTACGGCATCCGTGGGGTCTGACTCGCGTGCTAAGATGCCACCAAGGCTGGGAATGGCCAGGCGCAGGGAGAGAGCGGGACGAGAGCAGGGTTGGTGTTGGAGAGAAGGCATGTGGCTCATGCCGGCATGACTTGCTGTGCGATCCGTGGGAGCAGTGGTGCGAGCACAGGGCAGCGGGCACGCGATGGTGCGAGCTGGGGGAGGGCAGCACTGCAGCGGGCAGAGGGGGGCATGGCTGGGATAGAGATGGCTGGGTGGGAGGGAGGGATGGTATGGTGCAGCGAGTGATGGTTGAGACGCAGTGGCGAGGGGAGAAATACGTAGGGCTAGGAGGGAAGGGGTGCAAATTGTAGTTGGGAGTGGGAAGAGAGAGAAGGGGGTGATAGGACGAGCATGCGAGGTGGCTAGTCTGGAAGATATATGCGCAAAGCAGGCATGACACATGTCATATGGGGTCACACACCCGATGTGGTATCCATTGTCTGTAGTGAAGATGATGTATGTGTTGTCACTGATGCCTGCGCACATGCATGCAAGCAACATGCACGCCGCACATGCGCAAGGATATGGGCCGAGGATGCAGCAAGCGGATCACGTGTGTTGACCATGCGCTTTGTCCCCAAAACGACACTTCACAAAACACTTGTGGACGAGATGGTGGCTGAATGCCGGCGTAAACACGTGCAGCAGCAACACAAAGCCCTCCGTCCGGGTGGGCTCTTGCAACTTGAGTTTTGAGGCGCCTCAAAACAAAGACCTCCGTCCGGGTGGGCTCTTGCAACTTTCATCACCTGACGCGCTGCAAGTGTGTGGTCCGTCATAATCCAGAAGGCAATCTGTTACTTATACAAAATTCTGTCTCTGCCCACATCCCAACCTGGCAGGAAGGAAACTTGTCAACACCTGCCCTGGTCTGTACCACATGGTGCTCACCACCGGGCTGCACCGCCCCACCACAGATCCCTCGCACCCTACACTGCCTGCACCCGCCCGCAGTGACTTCAATGCCCCACACCACAACGCGCGAGGGCACCACCAGGCATGGCTTCCCGCATGCACGCTGTCACATCTCACACACAGCATCCACCTTCACTGTGCTGTCTGTAGTACACCTCCACGCACTTTCACCGCACGCAAGGCCCACACGCTAGTACACACCCATGTCCCTTCCCCGTTACACCCCCGCAATCCCCCCCCGACCGTGTGCGTCCAGTGCGGCGACGACAGCGCCCACCATGTCGTCCACGGCCGCCAGCGTCTCCAAGCGCTTCTGGTGCAGCAGGTGGAAGAGCGGGTGGTACGACTCGTGGAAGGCCGGGTACACGCCCACCGCTGACGCCTTGCTGCGCCGCGAGGGGTAGTCGCCAGGCCAGTTGGGGGAGGCAGGGACCTGAGAGAGGCACGTGGGAGGGCCGGCCAGGACGGAGGGATAACGAAGGAAAGAGCAGGGAGAGCAAAACCAGGTGAGTGAAAGGCCATCTACTGTTAAATTGGAACCTGACGCCGGGACTAAGGAATTCTGGGGCGAGGCATTAGGTCGCGATTTTTGAGTCGACTCAAAAATCACCGAGGCATTAGGTCGCGATTTTTGAGTCGACTCAAAAATCACCGAGGCATTAGGTCGCGTGGGGGGGCCATGACGGAATGAAACGAGTGGGTGACGTCACTTGCAGTATGGGGCACGGAAGAACCAGGGATGATGCTCGGCTTACGGCGGATGGACAAGGTCACTGGAAAAGCGGGCAGAGGCCAAGGGAGCCATGGGAACGGGCGAGTGAGACAAAGTCAGCAGTGCTAGGGTAAGGGGGCACGGTAGGCATGCGGAAGTGGCTGGGCCCCTTGGCCTGAGAACTCCACTGCGGTTCGAGACGAAAGGTAAGTAACTCGGCTATGGGGTAAGTAACTCGGCTATAGGGTAAGTAACTGGGCCACGGGGTAAGTAACTCGGCACGGGGTAAGTAACTCGGCCATGGGGTAAGTAACTCGGCCACAAGGTAACTAGCTCCGCCATGGGGTAAATAACTCGGCCACGGGATAAGTAACTCGGCCACGGGGTAAGTAGCTCGGCCACAGGGTAAGTAGCTCGGCCACGGGGTAAGTAGCTCGGCCACAGGGTAAGTAGCTCGGCCATGGGGTAAGTAGCTCGGCGACAGGGTAAGTAGCTCGGCCATGGGGTAAGTAACTCGGCCACAGGGTAAGTAGCTCGGCCATGGGGTAAGTAGCTCGGCCACAGGGTAATTAGCTCGGCCACAGGGTAAGTAGCTCGGTCACAGGGTAACTAGCTCGGCCATGGGGAGTAACTCGGCCACAGGGTAAGTAGCTCGGCCACAGGGTAAGTAGCTCGGCCATGGGGTAAGTAGCTCGGCCACAGGGTAATTAGCTCGGCCACAGGGTAAGTAGCTCGGCCTGGGGTAAGTAGCTCGGCCACAGGGTAAGTAGCTCGGCCATGGGGTTAGAAACTCTGCACATGGCCCACCTGCACATGGCTGAATCTTCCCTCATGGCGTGGCGCGGGAATAGTGGGGGCATGGGCCGCATAGGGCGCGAGGTACAGGAAGAAGGGCTGCTGCTGGCCGCTTGGGAGTTGGGCTTGCGCCGCCTGGTGGATGAAGCGCACTGCCCTGTCGCGCAGCACATCCGTGGAGTAGTCCGATGGGCTGTCACCAAACGAGCTGGGGGAAGGCAGGGCCAGGGGGAGAAGCGAGTGCAGGGGCGAAAGCAGTGGTGTGACAACGACACAGTCTATGTCTTCAGGCGCCAAATGCACACATAGCACGGCGCACACCAACTCTGTGCCATGCCATGGTCCATGGATGCATTGCAATGTCTGAACCTGCCAATGCATGCAAGTTGCAACCACGCCCCATCACCCCACCTGTAAGACGCCACCTCCAATGCATGCCATGACACAGGGCGCGAGGGGCAGCGCACTGACCGCAGTTCGCCATTGTCGGAGGCGGTCCAGTTGTAGTAGTTGGGCACGTCAGCGAAGGCAAACCACTCGTCCCACCCATGCGGCACGCGCGTGAGCGAGAGCGCCTCCCCCGTGCGCGGGTCCGCTGCAGTGGTGCCGTAGCCGTTGAGGTACTTGCCCACCAGCGCCGTGCGGTACCCTGCGCGCTGCCAGGGAGTATAGCCACGGGGATGGGCGCACACACAGGCAGGCGAGGGAGAGAATCGAGATGAGGCAGGCAGTGCGTGCACATGAGGGAAAGGTGAGCATGCTGGGCTTGGAGGCGAGCACGGCCATGGCGTGGGCAGCATGGTGCGAGGGGAGAGGGCGCAGAGAGGACGTTGAGGACATGGGTGCATTTCCGGTCAGCCATGGTCGCCCTCTCCTCTCTCTCCTCCCCGCTCATCGTGCAACTCTTGTTCCCTACCTCGCCGCCCTCGCCCATGACTTCTTGTCCCTTCCGTCCCCCCGGCCACGTGTCCCATGCACTTGGCCCACATGCAGCAACTCCTGCAGCCGCATGCTGCCAGCCAAGATGGCAAGAGCACAATCAATGGCTGCCCCTCAGCTGCAGGCCCCTATCATGCCCGCCACACTTTATCCACGAATACAGCGCCCACACCACCATGCACCCGCCCCATCCGATCCCTCCCCTCTGCCCCCTCCCCTCTGCCCCCTCCCCTCTGCCTCCTCCCCTCTGCCCACTCCCCTCTGCCCACTCCCCTCTGCCCCCTCCCCTCTGCCCCCTCCCCTCTGCCTCCTCCCCTCTGCCCACTCCCCTCTGCTCACTCCCCTCTGCCCCCTCCCCTCTACCCCCTGTGCGCCCTCCCCTGCGCCCCTCACCTGCAGCGCCACAGCGAGCGTGTGTCCCTCCAGCCCCTCTTCCAGCACGCGGTACTCCCCACCCCCCATGCCCGCGTTCTTGTTCCAGATCACCTGCCGCGCCAGTTGGGGGGGGGGGGGGGGCACATGTAGAGCAAGAGGCAGACAGGCGGGTGTGCAGCACAGCACAGCGAGACAGAGCAACCTGCCACACCCATGGCAGTCCGAGAGCCCTACAAGTCAGCACTTCAGCACTGCACACTCACATCACATTGTTGCACAGAACCAGATCACCCAAACTTTAACCTGCGCTCGAGTGCAGCTGCATCGCACCACAGGGCAGCTGCTGCCCGCTGTGCCGGCGCTGCTATCAGGGGAGCCATGGCACATAAGGCCGGCCGACCACGGGTCTCACCCCTGTGTTGTGCGAGCAGCGGCCGGTGAGGTAGGAGACGCGCGAGGGGCAGCAGATGGCGAAGTTGGCGAAGTAGTTGGCGAGACTCGCGCCCCGCCGCACCACGTGGCGGTGCGTCTGAGGCATCACATCGCGCGCCGTGCTCTGAGGGGGGGCAGTTGAGGCAAGGGCGACGAGGGGCGCACACGGCTTGAGCAGGGGCGAGAATGAATATCGATGACAGCGATCTTAAGTCACGCCCTGCCTGGAGAACTCCGCAATCTAGGCACTCCTGGCTAACATGGGCACTCTGGCACGCGTGGGGTGTGGAGAGCGCACTCCGAGCAGCAGGTCGGTGTCGTCCACCATCACCAGCACGATGTTCGCACCGCCGCGCCTCCCGCTCGCCCCCGCTCCCGCCGCTCCCCCATCACTCCTCCCGCGCGCCCTCCCGCCGCCACTGCTGCCGCTGTTGCTGCCGTCGCCGGTGCCTGACGAGTCGTCGGAAGGCGCAGCAGAGTCACCAGCCACCTCGTGTCGAAGCTGATCTGCCACTTCCTCTCGCAGCTTCCCCAGGCCCCACTCGCCCGCGCGGCCGTCTTCTGGGAGGAGCGAGTCCGCGTGATCGGACGGCTGCAGTGCCGCCACGTGTGCGAGATGAGGGGGAGCAGAAAGGGGATCAAAGGGTACGAGCAAGACGAGCAGGAGAGACAGGAGCCAGGCGGTCATGCCGCTGCCATGCCCTCCAAATCTTATGGCGCCCATCGGGATGGCCAATCTACAGTGACCGTTTGTCAACCAAGTTGTTCTCAACAGATACAAGAAGAACAGCCCGAATGTGTCACAGGTGTATGTTCGGATTTAGTCAACTCCGCTGTTCTCTAGCGGATTTAGGCCAAGTGGCCTAACACTTTACTTGTAAGTACAGAGATGGAATAATGGAAATAGCAAATGGCTTTTTCGTGTCGTTCTTCATTGTAGCGCACTACAGAGCGAACTTCTGAACGCTTTATTTCATTAAAAATGTTATATTTAAGTTAATGCAAAACACTATTGTCCCACCTAAGCACTTTTCTATTAAAGTTTATTTTCGCATAGACAATTAGGATATTTTAAACACGGCTAACGATTTGTGCAAAAGGGACAGACCACCATGTCTGACAAGTCCAGCAGCCGCGATTGGTCAGGGAGGTTGGCTAAAGGCATGGGACGCGACTCGGAACACCTTGTGTTCGGGCGTACGCGCTACAGAACGAGGCATGACGAGAAGTCAGTCATACCTCAGTGGCAGTGTTGGACTCCCAAGTCATATGGCTCTGCCAATGCAGTCAAGTCGAAGATAGTCTCTTGGACTAGCTACTAACATCAGCTTACAGAGAGTTCCTCGTGACCAAGAAACGCACACACCTCTTCTCGAATCTCAACCTGCATCGACATAACCGTGGATCTCGCTGGTTACTCTGTTAGTAGGAGCGAAATAGTACTAGTCGCGAGTCTCCAGCTGTCAGCTGCAGCCCTAGTAACTACCACACGACTCACAGGACCTCACAGTACCTGATTGAGTCACTCTTATTCCTCAACTCACACGTTCCACCGTCTAGTCCGACGATCTAAATTCGAGCCGTTGCGATGAAACGTCTCAGACGACCCTCGTTATTTCTTCCAACACTGTGACTCTAGGTCTTGTTGCCGGCTCCGGTTTGTCTTCAGCTCAGCCTAGCACGAGCGAGGCTTCCTAACAGTCCGTAGATTCGTCGGGTATCGTGCTCGTGGAATCGGCAGCGCAGGGAAAAGGTGTGCGACTTTTGGGCGATCGTTGTCTCCGATTGTGCGCGGGTGCGGGGATGGCGTTGACGGTGGACGACGCGATCGCGACGCTGTTCACGCTGACGCAGCATGACGAGCAGCCGGGCGTGCAGGGCCTCACGTCCACCATGGTGTACGACGCGTCGTACAGGAAGTCGTACACAGGTAACCGTTCAGTGGTAACCATTTAGTGGTAACCGTGTCGTGCACAGGTAAACATTCAGTGGTAACCATGTCGTACACAGTAACAGTTTTAAGTCCGCCTGGTGACTTGTGAGTCCACATTGCAGCAGCCAGGCGTGCACGGCCTCACGTCGTGTACGACGCGCGCGAACAGGAATCTTACACAGGTAATCATTTCGCAGGATGTGGTAACCATGCCGTACACAGGTAACAGACCCAGGCAGCCAGGCGTGTACGGCCTCATACACATGTAACCACATTGTAGGAAATGGTAACCATGTCGTACGAGAAAGTGTACACAGGCAAGTATTTCAAGGAGCCACCTCTCGAATCTGGAGTGGTCTTCAGGACCTCGATGAACAAGGTGTTGTGCTCCTCACTTCTACGAATGCTACCTGTTCCTTTCTCTTCGTCCTCTTCCTGAGCCTTCCCTTCCCCTCCCTTCCCCCCTCTCCTATCCCTCCTTTCCTTTCCCCACCGATTCTCATCCCCTCCCTTCTCCACCCGCTCTCCATCCAGAGCACGTGGGGGTGACGGCCTTCCCGCTTACTCTGGAGGGCGACACCACACCCATTAACCACATTCAACACGTCCTCCAACCCCCCACTTTCTCTCCCTCCCCTCACCCCCTGTCCGCTTCCCGCCTGCCGTCGCCCTCCCCTGGCGCCGTGGTCCATCCTCCCTACCAGAGTACGTGGAGGTGACGGCGTTTCAGCTGTCTCTGGAGGACGACACGGCCGCCATCAACCAACTGGTGAGACGCACGGAGAGCACGGAGCATGGAGGCAGGGGGGGGGTGAGGGTGAAGGGGGGAGACTGCCTATTGCAGTGACCCGCACTGCACCTGGAGGAGGGATGCTGGCCATTAGTCGATGGGTGGGAGGCAGACTGTAGCGGGGGGAAGGGGAAGGAGGAGGAAGAGGAGTTAGTGGGTTGGCATGCATGGGCTTGAGAGCCGGAGCAGCTCCGCACCCGTCAGAGTGCAGGCACCAATCCATACAACTCCTCTCGTGCAGTCTTCTCTGTGCACCTATCCCCTCTCTGATCTCCCTCCCCTAGTTCCCTCCCACACCCCGTGCATGTAATGCGCGCCTGTGTGCAGGACGCCCTCCTGGCGGACGGCAAGGAAATGCTAGCATCGCTCTACACCTACCGCAGCGCTGCCAAGGCCTTCCCGAAGGTACAGCGTTTCCCAGGCCTGCATGAGCACCTGCAGAGCAGGGAAAGAGGCCGTTCTGCACTGTATCGGGAGGCGCTGGTGTGCCTGTACTGTAGGTTTCGACGTGGTCCAAGAGAGGATGCGGAAATTGCTCGCGCATACACATTCTAGGGCATCTTTTGGGCATGTGGAGGCGATATCTGGCGTTCTTGCATGGAGACCCTTGACATCCGCAGGACTGTAGCATGCACTGGACGCGTTCTTGCTTTCTTATGACCATCTCTCATTGCTCTCTTGAGCTTCTCTGTCTGTCTGCCACCTGCTTCCCTGCAGCCCGTGCAAGCGTTAGACGAGAATGCAGAGCCGGGGCTGCTGCAGGAGGCGTTTGCCATCGTAGATGTGGAGATCCAACGGCTGAGAGATGTCCACCAATGGCAGCTGCGAGCGCGGTCGTTGATTGCTGCTGACCTGCAGCGCTTCTCGGGGGAAATGACCGGGCCTACCCTCACACACCTCTGGTGCGCCCCATGCCCCCTATATGCGTAATCTTCGCTGTTTCTTTGTATTTCTCGTCACTATATGTGCGGCATGTGTGTTTGCATTACCTTACCTGTGTCGGTGTTCCCGACCCCCTTGTTCAGGAGTCTGTTGAGAGTGCTGGACACGTGTCTGCTCCTGGACCTGCTGAAGCACACCAAGTCAGCGCCGCTCACCGACCTGCTCTGGTTCAGACGGTGAGATGAGATGAGACCCACTTTGTTCGCTGCACGTGGTGCCAGCGCTGGATCGCCTGCTGCCCCGCTGCCGAGGTGTCCTTGAGTCGGCTCGAACGTCACCTCGCGCTTTCATCGCAGCTGGTGGGGTGGGCGCAGCACTAAGCGCACTAGGCTGTGACCGCCACGGGCATTATAGATAGTTACTGGCGGCCATAGCCCCTCATTAGGCAATTGGTGGCAGCTTGAGCTCGCCAGAGTGGACCCTCTTACACCCATAAATACAGTGAACCAGGACATTCACAGAGCTTGCAAATCTCTCCCAACAGGCGTGATGAGCTCATCGCGCCTGCTGCCGCTCCCAACTGCCGTGTTCCCCGGCCGTGGATGTGTCATTCCTTAATGGATCTCGATCACAGTCAGTCACCTGGCCCTGCCCGCATGTTCGCACCATGACTGCACTCCAAGAATCTCCATGACTGCACTCCAAGAATCTCCATGACAGCACTCCAAGAATCTCCATGACTGCACTCCAAGAATCTCCATGACTGCACTCCAAGAATCTCCATGACTGCACTCCAAGAATCTCCATGACTGCACTCCAAGAATCTCCATGACTGCACTCCAAGAATCTCCATGACTGCACTCCAAGAATCTCCATGACTGCACTCCAAGAATCTCCATGACTCAACATCTCCTCATGTGCAGCCCCTTGCACTGAATGCCTTCCCATTTTTCCTGTTCGTTGCTTTGTTCCCTTTCCCTCGTTTGGTTTACTATCCTACACCAGTGCGGTGCAGAGCGGTGGAGCGAATGCAGAGAGGGGTGCTGATACGGATAGTGACCTGGAGGTATGTGTTGTGACACCGGGCAGTTAGGTAGGATGAATGTTTGTGGATGCGCTGTGCACGATAGCACATGGGCTTGCCATATACGTGTGTACCCCATAAGAGTGAGTGCGCATTGTGGCACCCATTCCATACTCGTTGTCAGTCACTCACTCAGATTCTGCCAGTTACTTCCAGTGGGCGTGCACCCTCACCATGGCAGTGCATCCATTGATGCCGCTATTCCCCTGCTCTGGCTTTGAAACACCCACACACAGGGCATCAAGCCGGACTTGAGGCAATGCAGCTCACGTTGGCATACAGCGTGGTCGTCTGCTGCTGCTATCTCCCTGCGTCCCAGTCCCCTGCCTCATATTCCTACCCGAATTGGTCCCTCATCCATCCCTCCCCACCCAATTCCTTGTCTTCCTTCCTGCCTCTACCAGACATTCCTACCAGCCCCCCTGTCCCCTGTGCTCCTCTCCTCCCCCATGTCTGGAGTTCTGGTCCAGCGCTGGGCTGTCCCTATACTCCGTGCTTGTCACAACAACCATCCATGCCCCCACCCCACCCCACCATGTGGCCATGCCAGGAGTTCTGGAGCAAGCGCTGGGCCGTTCTCTCGAGCCTGCAGGCAGGCATCCCGGCCAACGAAACGTAGGTCTATGTGTGTGCCAAATGATGCATTCGCATTCCGGTCCTCTGTTTTAAGGCCCCTCAACACACCTCTGGCGCAAGTGCTGGGCCGTTCCTCCACCCTGCAGGCAGGCATTCGTGCCAGCGAGACGTATGTGCATGCAGTGCGCTTACACGCATACATTTCTTGAAACGACTTGCCTGGCGCCCAGCACTCTTGCCTGGCGTCCCTCAATCTTGCTTGGCGTCCAGCAACCTTGCCCGGCGTCCAGCTATTGTGCCTGGCGTCTAGAAATCTTGCCTGGAGTCCAGCAATCGTTTCTGGCGTCCAACAATCGTGCCTGGCGTCCAGCTATCTTGCCTGGCATCCAGCAAGCTTACCTGGCGTCCAGCAAACTGGCGTGGCGTCCAGCTAACTTGCCTGGTGCTGTCCACCGGGTGGACCTGGCAGGTGCTGGCAGGTGCTGGCTGGTGCTGGCAGGTGCTTGCTGGTGCTGGCAGGTGCTGGCAGGTGGTGGCTGGTGCTGGCAGGTGGTGGCTGGTGCTGGCAGCTGCTGGCTGGTGCTGGCAGGTGCTGGCTGGTGCTGGCAGGTGCTGGCAGGTGCTGGCAGGTCCTGGCAGGTGCTGGCAGGTCCTGGCAGGTGCTGGCAGGTGCTAGCTGGTGCTGGCGGGTGCTGGCAGGTGCTGGTTGGTGCTGGCAGGTGCAGGCTGGTGCTGGCCGGTGCTGGCCGGTGCTGGCAGGTGCTGGCGGGTGCTGGCAGGTCCTGGCAGGTGCTGGCAGCTGCTGGCAGCTGCTGGCAGGTGCTGGCAGGTGCTGTCTGGTGCTGGCAGCTGCTGGCAGGTGCTGGCTGGTGCTGGCAGGTGCTGGCTGGTGCTGGCTGGTGCTGGCATGTGCTGGCAGATGCTGGCAGGTGCTGTCTGGTGCTGGCAGGTGCTGGCAGCTGCTGGCCGGTGCTGGCAGCTGCTGGCCGGTGCTGGCAGCTCACGGTGGACGGTGGGATGGCGTCCACCGGTGGAAGGTGGAAGGTGGACGTTGGACGGTGGGACGGCGTCCACGGGGGGGCAGTGGGCGGTGGATGGCGTCCACCGGTGGATGGTGGACGGCGTCCACCTGTGCGCGGTGGACGGTGGACGGTGGACGGCATCCACGTGTGGACGCTGGACGGTGAACGGTGGACGGTGGACGGTGTCAAGCTAACTGGCCTGCCGTCCAGCTAACTGGCCTGGCGTCCAGCTAACTTTTCCAGCACTCTTGCATGACGTCCACCTGCCTGTCGTCCAGCACTCTTGCCTGGCGTCCAGCAACCAAGTATGTTACGGTGTGTGCTGGATTTGTAGCAGTCTGCTACAGGCGCCTTGAAGCACAGCTGTAGCCTGGCTCAGTGCTGACCCGTTCTCTCTAGCGTTCTCTCTGCCGTTCAGTGCAGGCAGGCAGGCACGCATCCCTGCCCTGCCAATGTGACGCTTGCTCTGTAATTTGTTACATTGTACGTGCATGCCATTTGAACCGTTTCGCCTACTATTTTCACACTACATTAACTGTTACATGCAATTGCCGGTTGCAACGCCGCTGCTCCTCTTCCCGTTTCTCTCCCTCCCTTCCTTCTCCACCAATTGTTGAAAATTCCTTTGCGCAGATGATGATGTCTTACTGATGTCTCACCATGTCGTGCCTTCAACCATGTCATACCCCTAAACACAGTGTTGAGGAGTTCTTTGTGCAGCTGATGGTGGTGGCCACGGGCACCATCGAGAGCGGGCGCACGCTGCTGTTTGCGGACCGCCTCATGCTGCTGCGCGTGCTGCCCGTACTCATCTCGCTGGCCGCACGCACCGAGGTGGAGGCAGAGACTCTCTTCAGGCGGAGAGTTAAGCTGGACAGACTGCTTCGACTCTTCAAGGTGTGCACGCGGTGACACATGCACTGCTGCTACCCCTGCTCTCATCCCTGCTTGCACCGAGGCAGAAGTGGAGATCTGTGTTAGGAGAGTGAAGCTGGATAGACTGCTGAGGCTGTTCAAGGTGTGTGTGCCAGTACCGGGTGGTGTGGCATGCTGGGAAGGGACTGTCTGTGCTGCCAGTGTGGATGTCCCTGGCTGCACGGACTAATGGCACATCACTGCAGCCTGCGCCCCTGGCAGAAGCAACGTACATGGAGGCGCTCTTTCCTTGGGCATCTCTCGTTTCGCACCTTCTGTTCCACCTCATTTCCACTTATCCATCATGCTCCCCCTGCCCCTCTTCCCCTGCCACATGCTGCCAGCGCGAGCCCCTAGTGGCGGGGTACATGGAGGTGCCGTTCGCCCTGGCGTCTTTGCTGCCTGACCTCTCGCCTTTCTTCCGCAAGCTGTGTGTGGAGAAGGGCGTGCTGCTGCCCGTGCCCAGCAACATGGACGCCAAGGAAGGTGCATAAGGGGGGTGTGGGGGGAGGCGAGGGAGAGTGTGAGTGCCGGTAAGGCAGGCATAGCTGAGGCACATTCCATGCTCTGCTCTCTTTCTTGCTGTTTCTCGCAACTCTTCCTTCCACCTTACTCCCTTTCTCAGTGTCTTCAGTGTCCGGCCTGCTGCCTCAGATGCCAGCCATCGCCAAGGCACACGAGGAGCTCAGAGCCGCTGCCCTTCTGCATCCCTCTGCTACCAACCCTCTCACCCCTTTCTGCCTTTCTGCTCTCTCCTTCTCCCCCCTCACTCCCCTCTCAGTGTCTCGAGTGTACGACCTGCTGCCTCAAATGCCGGCCATCGCCAAGGCACATGAGGAGCTCTGCCTCCGCTTCACTGCTGCCATGAACAAGGTACACTTGGGTGTAGTGCGGTGCATGGCAATACAGTACGGTTCATTGTCTTAGTAGGGTACAATGGGGTTCAACGTGGTATGGTACTTCTTGGGGGGCCCGATTGAGTGCTGCTGGAGGAAGCTCAAAGCAGTAAATGCGTGCCTCTTTTCTCCTTTCCATAAACTCACGTGCACAGCGACGATGTTGAAGCTTGCACGAGTCGAATCCCGTTTATTCAGACCAAGGAGGTGCAAGCTGGAGGTGCACTCAGCACGCTGCTGGAGGGAGTTGAAAGCATACCCCTTTCCACACACCCCCACGTGCCCCCAGCTGACGGTGATGAAGCATGCACGTGTGAAGTCGCGGTCGCCCCAGGCGAAGGAGGTGCGGGTGGAGGTGTACCGCGTGCTGCTGGAGGGGCTGCTGCTGCTCTCACGCTGGTCCGGCCGCCTCCTGCAGCACTTCGCCTGGAAGACCCACCTCGCTGCCGCCCCTGCTGCCCACTCCGCTGCTGTTGCTTCTGCTGCGGCTGCTGGGGCCGGCAGTGGCCGTGATGATGGTTCTGCTGGTGGTGGTGGTCCCGGTGGCAATGGTACAGCAGGGGCAGCAGCAAGTGAAGGACAAACCTCATCAGCTGATGGGGGCCCGAGGAAGCTTCACCATCTCTTTGCCGAAGCTGCTGGGTGCCCCCCCTCCCCTGCCCCCATCTCCTCCTCCTCGCCCTCTCCCCTCTCCCCCTCTTCCCAAGGAAAGAAGAGCCTGACTGCATACGAGCAGGTGAGGTGAGGGTGTGGGCAAGGACGATGTGTGTGACACATGTCGTGAGGCAGTCGTGCTTACACCAAGGCGGGGGGAGGTGGGCAGTGAGGAGATTTTTTAGGCATGTCATGAGGGAGTTGCTGCCTCCTCTGCTTTCCATCTTCGCTAATGCACCTGAAACAACGTCTCTCTGTGCTACTCCACCCACCATTCGTACTATCTCCTTGCTAGCACCCTCTTCTCTCCCCCCTCCTACGCCTCTCATTCTTCCTCCACATTAGTGCACTCCTTAGCCATTCTCCCTTCTCCTCCCCATCCTCCCTGTTCTCCCTGCTCTCTCTCCCACGGGTCAGATGGTACTGCATGGTTTCTCACAAGCAGAGCTACGAGCCGTGCTACAGGTCTGTAATGGGGCTTGGTCTCGGATTGTTCGTGTGTGTGCGTGCATGTGTGCACGTGTTTGGGTTTGGTTACTCTGTTTGACGCGCCAAACATTAGCCCCCGTATCTCTCACCTTCTTCGTTAGTGTGCTTGAATCTCCATCCCCCTTTCTTTCTCATCCCTCCTTTTTCCTCAATATCTTCTCATCTTCCTGCCTCCCTCCAATCCAGCTGGTGGGGTTTATCAAGGGCGTGGCGGCGATGATGACGGCGGTGGAGGGCGACATCGCGTGGGTGCTGCGCGAGGCCATCCATGCGGACGTGCAGGAGTTTGCACGCGTGTACGTCACCTCGCTGCTCAAGCGAGTCTCGTCTTCCAACATGGACACTCCCTATGCCAGGTAGGTTGGATGCTCCTAAGCCATGTCGAGTGGGTGTTGACGCATCGGAGCCAGTGTCATGTGGGTTTGCACACGTGTGTGTGCGCCTCTGCTGAAAGAGTCTTGTCTTCCAACATGACGACTGCCTGCACCAGGTAGGATGGGTGTTGAGACCTCTGGAACAGGGGGGATGCAAAGGGGGGGATACATAGTGGGGATGCAAAGGGGGGGATACATAGTGGGGATGCAAAGGGGGGGATGCATTATCTTGGGGGTGGGCGATCTTGGCTGTGGGCGATCTTGAGCGGTGGGCGATCTTAAGCGGTGGGCGATCTTGAGCGGTGGGCGATCTTGCGCGTTGGGCGATCTTTAGCGGTGGGCGATCTTGAGCGGGGATGCATGGAGGGGATGCATAGGGGGGATGCATGGGGGGGATGCATAGGGGGGGGGATGCATGGGGGGGATGCATGGGGGGGGGAGGCATAAGGGGTGGGGAGGCATAAGGGGGGGGGGGGGTGCATGGGGGGGGGAATGCCTGGGGGGGAGATGCATGGGGGGGGTAATGCATAGGGGGGGGATGCATAGGGGGGGGGATGCATAGGGGGGAGGATGCATGGGGGGGGGGGATGCATAGTGGGGGGGGATGCATAGGGGGGTGGGATGCATAGGGGGGGGGATGCATAGGGGAGGGATGCATAGGGGGGGGATGCACAGGGGGGGATGCATAGGGGGGATGCATGAGGGGGATGCATGAGGGGGGGATGCATTGGGGGGGATTCATTGGGGGGCGGATGCATAGGGGGGAGATGCATTTGGGGGGGGGGGATGCAGGGGGGGGATGCATGGGGGGGTGATGCATAGGGGAGGGATGCATGTGGGGGGATCCTCTATGCACAAGCTGTGCTGTGCTCCTATGCAAGTCAAGATGTTGCTCCAGATCAGGGCGGGGGCAGCTGGGTCCAGGTTATTGCTGGAGGAGGGCAATCCAACGCTGGATGTGATCGTACACAGCACAGCACAGCACACTTCTCTCTTCCCCCCTTCTGTTCTTCCCTGTATGGCAGGACGCTGCTCAAGAGATGACCAGCAGTGGCTGGTTGGGCGGGTATACCAGAAAACGAGGTGCTTAATGTGAACATGAGGTGTGCTTCTCTCCTGGCCGCCCATGACGTCTATTTGCAATGCAGGACGTTGCTCAAGATCAGAGCAGTGGCGGCTGACTGGGCGGGGATACCAGAGGAGGAGGCGCTTGATGTGATTGTCAAGAGCAGGAAAGGGCAGGCTGTTAACGAAGATGACCTCAAGAGGCTCGCTCTGCCTCGACCCACCCCGCCCTCACTCGCTCAGGTGAGCACCTCTCCCTTGAGGGTCTCTGAGCAAGAGTGGATGTGATGGTGGGGAGCGGGCAGGGGCAGGCTGTTAGCAAGCATGATCTTAAGTGCTTGCTCTGCCGCGACCCATCCCACCCTCACGCGCTCCAGTCATCTGTTTCCCGTGCTTTGCTCTCGCATCCCCAACCCCTTCCTCAGGGTGGCATCAAACCACTGGTTTACCACTTGGGGTGGAGTCAAACCATTGGAATACCACTCGGGGTGGAGTCAAACCACTGGAATACCACTCAGGGTGTAATCAAACCTCTGGTTTGGCTCTCAGGGTAGAGTCAAACCACTAGTTTATCACTCAGGGTGGAGTCAAACCACTGGTTTACCACTCAGGGTGGAGTCAAACCACTGGAATACCACTCAGGGTGGAGTCAAACCACTTGTTTAACACTCAGGGTGGAGTCAAACCACTTGTTTAACACTCAGGGTGGAGTCAAACCACTGGTTTACCACTCAAGGTGGAGTCAAACCACTGGAATACCACTCAGGTTGGAGTCAAACCACTGGGTTACCTCTCTGGGTGGAGTCAAACCACTGATTTACCACTCAGGGTGGAGTCAAGCTTTACCACTCAGGCTAGGGTGGAGTCAAAACACTGGTTTACCCCTCAGGGTGGAGTCAAACCACTGATTTATCTCTCAGGGTGGATTCAAACCACTGATTTATCTCTCAGGGTGGAGTCAAACCACTGGAATACCGGCAGAAGCCAACCCCCCACTGCCGCATCCCTCTCTTTGTCTGCGCTCCTTCTCTCCCCCCGCCCCACAAAAGATCCACTGTCTGCAGCACCTGGTGCAGGCGCTGGTGATCGGGGCGAGCGCGGGGGTGAAAGGGGGGTTCTTCGGGCCGGAGAAGAGCAAGCACGGGGGCAAGGAGGGAGGGGGGAAGGAGCGGAGCAAGGGGCGGGACAGGGAGGTGTCGGCGAGTGAGATCAAGGAACTCGATAACTTCCTGCAACGCCTGCTCTTCTTCCCGCACCTGCTCGACTACCCTAGTACGTGTGGGCAGTGGGCCTTGGTACGTTGGGGTATTCAACCACAAACTACATGGGCCCATGCCAATGGTAAGGTCTAATGTCCGCTGCTTTCAAGTCAACAACATCTCAAACTGTTTCCTCTGTGCTCCATTCCCATTCGAAGACGCTGTGCCACAGGTGACATCGGTCCTAGCTACAGCAGGAGTGGTGGAAGTCCCTCTCTCTGCCACCCTGCCTTCCCCGTGGGTGCTTACTCTCTCTGTGTGCATTCTTTTCTCTGCTCTCTTCATCCCCGTTACTAGATGCCCTGCTACAGGTGACCGACCTGTCTTTCCTGTGGCTACGAGAGTCATTCTTAGATGCAGCGGGGGTGGTGCAAGTCCCCCTCGCTGCCAGCCTGCCCTGGGTGCTCACTCTCTCTGCCCTCCAAGACACCACCGCCGACAATTGTGGTAGCAACAACAGCAGCACCACCAAACTTGGCACAGGGGCAGCAGCAGCAGCAACAGCAGCTGAAGATGGTGGCAGTGGAGGGGAAGCTAGTGGTGGTGGCCTTACTGCTGCTGCTGCTGCTTCGTGTGCCCCTTGCCTAGCGGATGCGGTGCTGCTGCCATTCACCATCTACGACGATGCTGCTGACGCCGCTCTGCGCTCGCTCAAGAGGCAGTTCCTCTTCGACGAGGTGGAGGCAGAGGTGAGAGCAGCGGCAGGAACAGACTGAGGGCAGGGAAATGTAGAGCTGAGGCCACATGGGCCAGTGCAAGGTTCATAAGGCTGTTGACTCGCTCAAGAGGCAGTTCCTCTCTGGTGAGGTGGCGGCGCGGAGGCGAGATGGCAGGCGGCAGGGAGAAGGGCGTGAGAGCAGGCGGGTTTAGAGTCGAGATATGTTGAGGCACAGCTCCCTGCTCACTCAAGCAGAGGTGTGAACGAGGGCAGGGAGGAGCAGGGAATTGGGGTGAGGCCGTCCCAATCATGAGCATCGTCGCTTGCAGTGAAACACTACTTCTTACCTGATTCCACACCATCCCACGTACCCCATCAGGTGGGCGTGGCGTTTGACCAGCTGCTGTCGAAGCTGGCTCTCTCCATCTTCACCTACTTCAAACAATGTGCCGCCAGGTGAGTCATGTAGGCAGGGCACGCGCCAGGTGAGACAAATTAGGCAGCGCACGCGCCAGGTGGGAGTGTTGGGGTGCGAGGTGAGATTAGGGTGCGTGCCAGCCTGGCACCATGCTCGCCTATGTCAAAGAGTGCACTGTAAGCTGAGAGAGGTAGGGCGCTTCATCCCTTTCCATGGCTAATGCTGTGCGGCCATTGAGCTGAAGGAGAAGCACTGTGAATGAACCCTTCAAAGCCTCGGCCTTGGCCGTGGGAAGGTTACTTGCACACCCACTTGCTGCTCGCTCTCCTTCCTTACGCCCCACTCCCCACCCCTCACCCCCTGCCCTCGCAGCAAGCTGCTGGACAAGTCGTTTGTGGCCACGGCAGCAGCTTTGGGCGTGGGAGGAAGGTACACTGTGACTCCCCGCAACTACAGTGGGCTCTTCCGCCAGACGCACTTGCAGGTGTGCGGGCTGTGCTTCTCATATGTCTTAGAACAAACACACTCCTGTGTGGAGTGTTTCACGAGATTCACTTCTGGTGTGTCAGTTGCTCTGTCCTGCCTCCGAATTTCCTGATGATTCTGCTTTTGGGTGGACTCAAAGCTCACTCATTTCCTTCCCCCACGTCCTGCCCTGTCAAATCTGCTGCTACTCTCATCCTTCCGTCCCCCCTCCACCCTCCCTGGCGCCTCCCTGTGATAGCTACTCAGCTGCTGGGCCGAACAGTGCATGTGTGCATGTGTGCCTCATGGTGTTGCAACCACTCATTACCTTCCGCTTTCATCATCCCTACCTTCCCCCCACGCCTCCCTATCCTCATTCTACACAGCTTTTGGGCCGCACAGTGGATATGCGGGATCTGCTGACTCGGCGGCTGAACAAGCTGACTCGGCACAACCTGGATTTCATCCTCACCCACATGGAGGGGGCGGATCTCTGCCTCGTCATGGTGTGTGATGCAAGGCTGTATCATGCATGATCGTATGGCTTGTGGATGTACATGTATCTTAGCTGGCTTTAGCTCAACTGCCAGCCTACTTCAAGGTCCTTGGATCCTATACTTGGGGCGCCTTCTGGCCTCCTCTGCATTATTATGAGCCCCATTCTCACGCTCTTGTTCCTTCCGTCCTTGCCTGCAGGAGACACACCACCTGATAGAGGTCCTACGTGGCACTCACCGATTGGTGGCAGAGCAGTGCCCTGCAATCGACTCCTTTGAGGCCATCTTTACCGAAGCCACACACGCCACGTCCCTCTCCTCGCTTTCCTCGCGCACTGCATCTTATGTGAGTCACCCACCCTTCAATCCACTCCTTAGAGCAGCGCCCACCCATCGACTCGTTTGAGGCCATCTTCATAGAGGCTACCCACCCACGGCACCTGTCCTCCCTTTCCTGGTGCACCGCCGCTTATGTGAGTTCAGCACAGTGCCAGCGGGAGGGAACTATCAATCATACCTAGCAGTCCCCAGCAACAGGGTGTTGCCCTGCCATCGACTCCCATTGAGCCCTCTCACGCCACCTCCCTCTCTTCACTCTCCTCACGCACCGCGGCTGATGTGAGACACCTTTCAGTGGATTCCATTCGGCGCTGCCCTGTTGTAGCGCATCACCTCCCCCATCGTTTCCTGTGCGTGCTTCATCCGTAGGATGCTGGCGCTGATGCTTGTATGATGCGGTTCTCAACTGGCTGATGCTTCCCCATACCCCCCCCTCCAGGTGTGCCGCGAGGTGGAGAAGGACCTGCTGCCCAACTTCCTCTGGAACGCGGTCACTCGGCGCTTTGTGCGTAGCCCCTCCCTGCCGCAGCAGCAGCAGCAGCCCATGCGGAGGCCCGCACTTCCAGATGCTGCCCCTGACGCCTACATGTTTGGAAGCAAGGTGTGTCTTTTGAGTCGACTCAAACGGTGACTTCCAGATGCTGCCCCTGACGCCTACATGTTTGGAAGCAAGGTGTGTCTTTTGAGTCGACTCAAACGGTGACTTCCAGGTGCTGCCCCTGACGCCTACATGTTTGGAAGCAAGGTGTGTCAACGCTGTTCGCGTTGTGTGCCCTCCTTATGTGCTGCAGCAGCCTGTGCAGGGACCTGCTCTTCCAGTTGCCACTTTTGGTGGCACTGAGCTACTCATGCAAGTATGGCAGCTCCTGGCAGCATGCTACAGTGTGGCGCTGCAATGCAAGTGTTAGATTGCATGAAAGGTGTTGCCTCGCCCGAACACTGCACAGGTGAGGCAAACTCCTACATATCACTGCTGCGCTCTCACTTGAGAGCGCACGCCCACATGGACGCCTTAGTGACTCCTCCACTATCACCCCAATCCGCAATGGTTCAATCAGCCCTCCTGCTCCTCGCTCCTTGCTGCCATCCCCCCTCCACCCCAGGACCTCAACGCGGCCTACTCGTGCATATCCCTCCTGCACTCGCAGCACATGGGCCAGGCGCACGTGGATGCCATAGTGGCGCTGCTGGGCCCGCACTCGCTGCCCATGCTGCTGCAGTTCTGCCTTGACTCACTCACCCACAAGGTGTGTGGGGTTTCCTTGAGGAAGTGCGTGTCTCTGTGCCTTTAGCCTGCTTGCAAGCTCTTGCAGTTGCCCCCTTACAGCGTCAGGCACCAGTGAACCCCGAGTGCCTGCCCATGCTGCTGCAGTTCTGCCTTGACTCCTGCGCTCACGAGGCGTGCCTCGTTTCCGAGCAAATGGATGGCTGACAGAGTGCTGACAGAGTGCTGACAGAGTGCTGACAGAGTGCTGGCAGAGGGCATTGTCTTTTCCCCTGAGAAGCATCAACATGTTGTAACCCCTTCCTCTATGTGCATCTTTGCTCCCTTCTTCCCACCCACTCGTCAGCATGGCTCTCCTTCTCATTCCTTCCCCCCCCATCTCTCCTTCCTCCCACAGCCTCTGACAGTATCTGCCACTAGTGATATTCCTGACCTGTTCCCTTCCTTCAAATGCGTTGACTTGGCAGTCTGTGGCCTTATTCATGCTCCTCACATGCACTCCCTCTCCTCGCATTCATGCTTTGAATTGCCTTGTCTCTATTTTCTCAGGTCTCCCACCAGTTGCCACCCTTGGCAGCACAGCTGCTGCCCCTCCTGCCCACTCAAGACCTCCAGGGGCCCTTCGAACTTGGCCTACCGGGTAGGTTGACTTGCGCTGACCATGCCCTCCTGGGTAGTTTTGCGTTGACCATGCCCTCTTGGGTAGGTTTACTTGCGTTGACCATGCCCTCTTGGGTAGGTTAACTTGCGTTGACCATGCCCTCTTGGGTAGGTTGATTTACATCAAGTTGGCCTTCCTCCTCTCTCCCCTCTCGCTCTGACTTCCCTCTCTCTCACTCTGTTGTCCATCTGTGTCTCCCACCAGCATGCGTGGAGCGCATATCAGCCGCAGCAGCAGCTGTACAGCGCAGAGCGCCAGCAGCAGTGGAGGGAGTGATGGCTGTGCTGCGGCATGTGGGGTCGCTGCTGGGGCTGCTGGCGCTCTTGGACGTGTCCATTGTAAGAAGCCGTGTGCTGCACTGTGCGTGCATGCTGACACCTGAACTCAATCACATATGGGTGCTTAGGCCGAGTCCCAGGCATGCGTCGGGTTGCGGTTGGGTGAGGTGCGTTTCGGGTCAGTAGGATAAAATATCAGTCTGAAACTGTTGGGCAGGTTATTGAGCGAGAACGTATGCTTCAGACACACCTTTAGAAACCTCTTTCTGAGGCGTTTTTGAGGCGCCTTACACCTTTCCAAGGCATGCTGCGTACATCGGTATTTAGGCACGTCAGGAATTGCATGGTCGCTGCTGCAGCTGCAGCTGCTCAGAATCAACCACTCTTCTCTGCTCTTCCCCCCAACTCACTCACCCCACGCACACCCCCCAGGCCCATGCGTCCACCATGCAGTTCATCCAGGCAGCGCCATGGCTGGGCCTGGTGCCGTCCCCCAGGGACAGCCACCTGCTGCAACTGCTGCGAGTCAACCCCTCTGACCTCCCTCCCCACGAGGCATTCACCCCCCGTGGGCTCAGGCAGCGCTCCCCCAAGCACCGCCCGCCCAATGGCTCATCCCAACACCGCTCTTCCAAAGGCTCCTCGGAGCGCGAATCTGTGCACCGGGATAGGAGTAGCGATAGCCGCAGAGCTGCTGGGGGTGCTGGTGAGGCGCTGAGGGGAAGTAGTGGGGGAGGAAGCGAAAGAGGGATTGGGGATGGTGAGAACGGGAGGGAGAGTTTTCCAGCTGCCCGAGTTGGGGAGGCTGAAGCTGAGGACGGGCAGATGGACGGTCCGCCAGAAATTTATCTTCCCCCCGCTGCTGCATCGGTTGATGGTTCGTCGCTGGAGACTCATGACAGGTTCCATGGGGGCAGTGGGTGTCATGATGTGCATGGGGGCCATGGGCACGGAGGCCCCAAGGCAGCTCATGACATGGAGGAACCTCATGAGGCAGCAGCTGGAAGCAGGGATGCCGCCTCCGCATCAGCGGCAGCCTATCGGCCTGACTCCCCAGTGCAGCGCCCTCCACCGCTACCCCCTGCTCCTCCCGCCCCCCCAGCCCCACCGGCAGCGCCTCTCACGGACCTGCTGCAGAGAGTGGCTGCCTCAGTGCCTGTGGTGCGCTCGTCAATGCTGGGCATGCTGCAGGCGGCGCAGGTGGCAGGTGAGGACCACACGTGTTATGCTGTAGGGTGTAGGGTGTAGGATTCGGTCTTAGGGTGCTCTACCTGCCCCCCCGCAACCCACTCACAGCCCCCCAGCGCCCGCCGTCACGGACCTCCTGTTCAGCTGAACAGTTGGACAGTTGGACAGTTGAACAGTTGGACAGTTGGACAGTTGGACAGTTGGACAGTTGGACAGCTGGACAGTTGGACAGTTGGACAGTTGGACAGTTGGACGGTTGGACAGTTGGACAGTTGGACAGTTGAACAGTTGGACAGTTGGACAGTTGAACAGTTGGACAGTTGAACAGTTGGACAGTTGGACAGTTGAACAGTTGGACAGTTGAACAGTTGGACAGTTGGACAGTTGAACACTTGGACAGTTGGACAGTTGAACAGTTGGACGGTTGGACAGTTGGACAGTTGGACAGTTGAACAGTTGGACAGTTGGACAGTTGAACAGTTGGACAGTTGAACAGTTGGACAGTTGGACAGTTGGATAGTTGAACAGTTGAACAATTGGACAGTTGGACAGTTGGACAGTTGAACAGTTGGACAGTTGAACAGTTGGACAGTTGAACACTTGGACAGTTGGACAGTTGGACAGTCGAACAGTTGAACAGTTGGACAGCTGAACAGTTGAACAGTTGAACAGTTGGACAGTTGAACAGTTGGACAGTTGGACAGTTGAACACTTTGGATAGTTGAACAGTTGGACAGTTGAACACTTTGGATAGTTGAACAGTTGGACAGTTGCACAGTTGAACAGTTTAACTTTTGGACAGTTGAACACTTTGGATAGTTGAACAGTTGGACAGTTGCACAGTTGAACAGTTGAACTTTTGGACAGTTGAACAGTTGGACAGTTGCACAGTTGAACAGTTGAACAGTTGAACAGTTGGACAGTCGGACAGTTGGACAGCTGAACAGTTGAACGGTTGAACAGTTGGACAGTTGAACAGTTGGACAGTTGAACACTTTGGATAGTTGAACAGTTGGACAGTTGAACACTTTGAATAGTTGAACAGTTGGACAGTTGAACACTTTGGATAGTTGAACAGTTGAACAGTTGAACTTTTGGACTGTTGAACAGCTGGACAGTTGAACACTTGGACAGTTGGACAGTTGGACAGTCGAACAGTTGAACAGTTGGACAGCTGAACAGTTGAACAGTTGAACAGTTGGACAGTTGAACAGTTGGACAGTTGAACACTTTGGATAGTTGAACAGTTGGACAGTTGAACACTTTGGATAGTTGAACAGTTGGACAGTTGCACAGTTGAACAGTTTAACTTTTGGACAGTTGAACACTTTGGATAGTTGAACAGTTGGACAGTTGCACAGTTGAACAGTTGAACTTTTGGACAGTTGAACAGTTGGACAGTTGCACAGTTGAACAGCTGAACAGTTGGACAGTCGGACAGTTGGACAGCTGAACAGTTGAACAGTTGAACAGTTGGACAGTTGAACAGTTGGACAGTTGAACACTTTGGATATTTTTGAACAGTTGGACAGTTGAACACTTTGGATAGTTGAACAGTTGAACAGTTGAACTTTTGGACTGTTGAACAGCTGGACAGTTGAACACTTTGGATAGTTGAACAGTTGGACAGTTGCACAGTTGAACAGTTGAACTTTTGGACAGTTGAACAGTTGGACAGTTGCACAGTTGAACAGTTGGACATTTGGACAATTGCACAGTTGAACAGTTGGACAGTTGAACATTTGGTCAGTTGAACAGTTGGACAGTTGAACACTTGGACAGTTGGACAGTTGAACAGTTGAACAGTTGGACAGTTGAACATTTGGACTGCTGGACAGTTGCACAGTTGGACTGTTGGACATTTGAACAGTTGAACAGTTAGACAGGTGAACAGTTGGACAGTTGAACAGAACAGTTGAACGGAACAGTTGAACACTTGGACAGTTGAACAGTTGAATAGTTGAACAGTTGGACACTTGAGCATTTGGACAGTTGGACAGTCGAACATTTGGACTGTTGAACGGAACAGTTGAACAGTTGGACAGTTGAACAGTTGGACAGTTGACCAGTTGGACAGCTGGACAGTTGCACAGTTGGAACAGTTGAATAGTTGGACATTTGGACGGTTGAACAGTTGGACAGATGGACAGATGCACTATTGGATAGTTGAACAGTCGAACAGTTGATTCGTTGAACAGTTGAACAGTTGGACAGTTGAAAAGTTGAACTGTTGGACAGCTCAAGAGTAGAACGGTTGGAAAGTTGAAACGTTGGACAGTTGGACAGTTGAACAGTTGGACACTTTACGGTTTGACAGTTGCACAGTTAAGCAGTAACAGTTGGACAGTTCAACAGTTCAACAGTTGGACAGTTGGACAGTTGGACAGTTGAACATTTGGATAGTTGAACAGTTGAACAGTTGGACAGTTGAACAGTTGAACAGTTGAACAGTTGGACAGTTGAAAAGTAGAACGGTTGAACAGTTGGACAGTTGAAAAGTTGAACTGTTGGACAGCTCAAAAGTAGAACGGTTGGAAAGTTAGAAAAGTTGGACAGTTGAACAGTTGGACACTTTACGGTTTGACAGTTGCACAGTTAAGCAGTAACAGTTGGACAGTTCAACAGTTGGACAGTTCAACAGTTGGACAGTTGGACAGTTGAACATTCGGACAGTTGAACAGTTGGACAGTTGAACAGTTGGACAGTTGAACAGTTGGACAGTTGAAAAGTTGAACTGTTGGACAGCTCAAAAGTAGAACGGTTGGAAAGTTGAAAAGTTGGACAGTTGAACAGTTGGATACTTTACGGTTTGACAGTTGCACAGTTAAGCAGTAACAGTTGGACAGTTCAACAGTTCAACAGTTGGACAGTTCAACAGTTCAACAGTTGGACAGTTGGACAGTTGAACATTTGGACAGTTGAACAGTTGAACAGTTGGACAGTTGAACAGTTGAACAGTTGAACAGTTGAACAGTTGGACAGTTGAAAAGTTGAACTGTTGGACAGCTCAAAAGTAGAACGGTTGGAAAGTTAGAAAAGTTGGACAGTTTAACAGTTGGACACTTTACGGTTTGACAGTTGCACAGTTAAGCAGTAACAGTTGGACAGTTCAACAGTTGGACAGTTCAACAGTTGGACAGTTGGACAGTTGAACATTTGGGCAGTTGAACAGTTGGACAGTTGAACAGTTGGACAGTTGAACAGTTGGACAGTTGAAAAGTTGAACTGTTGGACAGCTCAAAAGTAGAACGGTTGGAAAGTTGAAAAGTTGGACAGTTGGACAGTTGAACAGTTGGACACTTTACAGTTTGACAGTTGCACAGTTAAGCAGTAACAGTTGGACAGTTCAACAGTTGGACAGTTTAGGGCTCTAGGGGTTTGAGTTTTGGGGTTCAGGTTTTGGGCATCACCCAGAATCACCCAGGATCACCCGGAATCACCCGGCATCACCCGGCATCACCTACCGTCACCCACCATGACCCACTGTGACCCATCACCCAGCATCACCCAGCATCACCCAGCAACACCCACCCTCGCCCACCATCACCCAGCATCACCCAGCATCATCCAGCATCCTCCAACTTCACCCACCATCACCCACCATCACCGGGCTGCGGGTTTTTCGCGTGCGTTTTTTGGGTGTCCGGGTCTTGGGGGTGTAGTTTTTGGGGATGGGGTGCGGATTTTGGGGTTGCAGCTTATCTAGCACCTAGCATCTACCTAGCACACTCCACAATATAGTCGTAAGCAGCAAGTTATGGTCTAACAGCTGTGACTGTGACGCTTTCCAGGCAGAGAGTTGCTGATGCCCGCTCCACCTTCTCCCCTCCCTCATCGCCGATGCCCCTCTCGCTCTCGCCCAGTTCATATTCCTTCGCTTCCCTCGCATACCTTCAGTGCCCATCTTTTCGGGCAGCATGCAAGCAGACAGGCACGAAGTCTAGTTTTGAGGCGCCTCAAAACTAGACCCCTCGCATACCTTCAGTGCCCATCTTTTCGGGCAGCATGCAAGCAGACAGGCACGAAGTCATCCTTTCCGCCATTTCCTGCTCTCGCCTCACCTTGCTCTTTCCGTCCCACCAACCCCCGCTCCCCTCCCACCTGTCTCCCCACCTCCATCCAGAAATCGACTCATTACCATTGGTTGTGGCAGCGAGCAAGCAGGATCGCCCATGCCCTTTCCACCCTCTCACTCCTTTTCCATCTCCTTCTTCCCTCTCGTCCTACCACTACGTTTCCCCTCAAATTCCCAGAGGCTATCTACTGGGGCAGCGTGCAGGTGGACAGTCTCTTCGCCCATGCCCTCTCCACCCTCTCCTCCACCCTGCGCCCCCTCCTGCCCCTACTGGCGCCTCCGGTTGAGCCCTGGGCGTGCAAGGGGAGGAATGCGAGAGAGTTCCACCACCTCTACTCGCTGCTGCTCGCTGTAAGCCCTCCCCTGACTCCTTTCCTCTGCCATGCGCTTTTTGTAGTCATCTCCCCCCTCAACCCCCTCTGCTTGCTCTGCCGATTAAGCCCTGGGCGTCAAAGGGGAGAGAACCGAGAGAGTTCCACCGCCTCTCGTCGCTGCTGCTTGTGCCACCGGTAAAACCCTGGGCGTGCAAGGGGAAGGACATAAGGGAGTTTCACCACCTCTACTCACTGCTGCTCGCTGTACCCCCCACTGCTCGCTGTACCCCCCACTGCTCGCTGTACCCCCCACTGCTCGCTGTATGCCTCTAGTGCCTCCTGCACCATCGTTTACGATTGCTGTAATGCCACGCCATCTACTTCCATCGTGCACCATGTGCGCATGCCATGCCATCAACTCCATCGTTCCCATGCCCTTCGTCTCCTCTCCGCCTTGTTCCTGCAGATTATGTGCCAGAGACCAGCTTCCCCCACCATAGCAGCACACGCAGCAGCAGTGACACCTCAAGCAAGAGGGGGGACAGCAGCAGACAGCCAAGTCAGGACTCCAGCCACCAACACCTCCTCCCTTTCCCCATCACCCTCGGAATATAACACTCCCACTCACTCCCTCTCCTCCTCCTCCCCCTTTACTCCCCCTGTTGCCCCCCTTACCACCCCCACCCCACCATCCTCCTCCACTCCCAGCTCTCTCCCCCTCACTGTCCCCCACTCGGGTCCCCTCCCCTTTTCCTCCCCCACATCCCTTCCCGAACCTAGCTCAAAATCAGGCCCTCTAACTCGTCCCTCCAGGCCTGAAGGCTTGGCAGCTGGCCTTCCTGAACCTGCTGGCTTGGCTGCCGCCCTGCCCAAGGCCGGAGGAGGTTCGGCGGAAAGGGGGGGGGATGATGAGAGTGATGCGGTAGTGTGGGGGGGGAGTGTGGTGGTGCATCTTCTGGGGCAAGAGAGGAGATTTGAGCTGGAGGATTGGTGCAAGCATGCTGTTGTTGTGAGCGAGTATGAAAGCATGTGTGGGGGTGGGGCAGGAGGGGGAGTTGGCTCTGCTGCTGGTGCTGGTGGGGAAATTGGAGTGCTCGGGGGAGTGGGGAGTGCAGAGAGGGAGCGAGGCAGGAAAGCAGCAGCAAAGGAGGCAGCAGCAAGGGAGGCAGCAGTAAGGGAGGCAGAAGCACAACTGCAACAACTCAATGCTAAGGTAGGGATGAGTCAACTACCGTACCATTAGCCTCTGACTTTTCCACCTGCAGCTGATGACTCTGCAGTTGACTTCAAGTGTCAGCGCACATAGCACTTGCATGTTGCCATTCACGGCGCATACATGGCTCATCACCTACCCCCTCTTCTGTCTTATAATTCTGTATGACGAACAGCAAGAAGAGTGTCCGGATCGTCTTTTCCTCCTTGCCTACCTGTTTCCAGGCAAGCAAGAAAATTACGACTGCTCACAGGCCTTCACACGTCCAAGCTCCCTGTGCCCTCTTGTCCCTCCTTGCCCATGTGTTTCCCACACAGGCAACAGCTTTTGTGGAGAATTCGAGACGACTGCAACAAATCAACAAGCAAGCATTTACCCTGTTTGCCGCCCAAGCTCCTCTGCCGCCCAAACCTGCCATGCTGTGTGGCGCTGATGGCTTGCCCACTGGTAAATGCTTCCCCATGCGTCCCTACTGCAACGGCCCTCCACCTGCGGACTAGTGATGGTGGTGGCGGGCAAGTAAACAGGACTTCTGGACCTGTTTTCACACTATCGAAACAACATCAGTCCTAGTATATAGTTAGGCATGAAGCACGAGAGGACGAGACTGGCACGTGGCTCAGCAGAGGCCACATCTGGGTGGCAAGGTTCGGGCAGACGTGATAAAACTATGCCTTAGGAGCCTTGTCATGCTAGTGTACGCTATACTAAGTTATTAAAGGGATAAGGAAATTTCACTACACCTACACTCACCCAACCAAACCAGGCACCCAGTCTCGGTGTTTTTTATGTCCGTCCGAAGTGTTCATGGGACACGTGGCATTACGTGAATGAGAAACAACCTCGATGTGCGGATACGATTCGACCCTCTCCTCAATTTCGGGCCGTACGGGACCACATGACATCAGTGAGCACCGTGTTGTCGTGGAGAGACTCCCCGCAGATTTCGCGTCTTGTTCGCAAGGTCGCTGTCATTCATGGGGTGAGCGGCCCTTCCTGGAAACGGCAGGCTGCAAAGAACGCTCGTCAGCAACGGCAGGCATGCGACTTGTGGTGGAGGGCAAGCATCGCGTAACTCACGTGGTTATCCGTCTTGGCTCATCAGTCCACCCGTCTCTCATCTCCTGCTTTCACTAGCGGCTTCGCACCGCTGTGCGGCCTGCTGCTGTGCTCTTCCCATCACTCGCTGCATTCACGCGCATCCGTCGCGTCGCAGCTTCGTAACGTTGCCTAGAATTCGCCGTGTCGCAAGCCGCGGTCCTTTCACATAACCTTGTGCGCAAGCGCTGCTCCCCGCTTCACGAAGAAACAGTGACTACGTAGCTTTCGAGATTCCCCAGCAGCGGCGGTGCGCGTTGAGCGGTCAAGCCTATCAGCATAGCGCGGCAGCGCCGCGTGCAGCCAGCAGCGGCGTGCGCGCACGGCCGCCGCGCGGCATCATGTGGTTCCTGCTGTGGCCTGTGGCGGCTGCCGTGGGCGCGTGCGCCGTGTGCGCGGGCCACGCGGTGCTGACGAACCAGCTTCTGCAGCGGCAGCTGCGCGTCTTCCGCGTGGCCATGCGCGTCTTCCTCGACTACAAGGTGCCCGCCGCGCCATTCCGCCGCTATGCGCGCACTCTCCCGCGCTCATGATCGTGCATGTGCGGCATGCTAGATCGTATCCATCGTCGTGTCAACTCTTCCCCCCCTCCCTCTCCCCCTTCCCACTCCCCCCTCCCCCCGCCCCCCCGCCACTCCCCCCCAGCTGACCCAGTACTACCTGACGTACGTTTGCGGCGCGCTGCTGCGCCTCCCAGTGGACGACGCGTCGCCGCGCTCCCTCGCCACGTGGCAGCGCGCGCACACGCGGTGCGCGGGGAGCGTGTACGCGGCGATGGTGCGGCTGGAGGGGCTGTGGGTGAAGGTGGGGCAGTACCTCTCCACGCGCGCTGACGTCATGCCCGCGCCCTACCTGGACCTGCTGCGGCAGCTGCAGGACACCCTGCCGCCCCGAGACATGAAGGAGGTGCGCGGGGAGAGGGGGCCGGGGGGGGGGGGGGGGGTGGGACACGGTGCAGGTGCCTCAGTTTAGTTTTGAGACTCCTCAAAACGCCCCAAGGCATGAAGGAGGTGCGGGGGGGGGACATGGTGCAGGTGGTGGAGATACTAGGGGGCGGGGCTGGCTTGCAGAGGGGCTGGAATGGGGAAAGGTAGGGTTGCCAGCCTGCCAGGGGGGCATCTGTCAGTGCTCATGCTTTACCTCCTCAAATCCTCCCATTTCCCCCCCCCCCTCTCCCGCGCCCACCTCTCCTGGTCGCCGGGGCTTTTATGGTGCATGGCTGCTCTCAATTGCCCGTAAGCTCGTGCTGCCCCTGTCATGACCCGCCACTGTCCCCTCCACTACCACCGTTGTCCCAGGAGGACCCCTCCATCCCCCTCCTACCCCCTGCCTGCCACAACCGGCCGCACCTGTAGGCCAATGCAGTGAGCACGGCACAGCAGCAAGAGCCTGCCTGGCAGGTGTGAGTGAGAGCGTGCAGGGGGGTGGCCGCAGGTGTGTAAGTGTGTGCATGCGTCCCTCCACCTCCTCCTCCTCACCCCCTCCCCCCCGAGCAGGTGCTGGGCACCATCGAGGAGGAGCTGGGCAGCCCGCCATCCCAGGCCTTTTCCTCCTTCGACCACCAGCCCCTGGCCACCGCATCGGTGAGTGGCGTGGGCAGAGCAGCCACATCGGTGGGAGAGCAGCCATGCACACACGCATCCATCACAGCCATGCGCTGCTGGCGGGCGCATTCACACACCTACGCATAGCGCATGCATGATGCATGCACTCGCGTCGACTGTGTGCACACTCGCCTCGCCAGCACACACAGGCACACAGCCATGTGGGTGTGGTTGTGGCCCATCACGGTTCCGTTTCTAGACCAACATGCCCACACCCGCTCTGGTCCACACCCGCTCTGGTCCACACCCGCTCTGGCCCACACCCGCTCTGGTCCACACCCGCTCTGGCCCACACCCGCTCTGGCCCACACCCGCTCTGGCCCACACCCGCTCTGGCCCACACCCGCTCTGGCCCACACCTGCTCTGGCCCACACCCGCTCTGGCCCACACCCGCTCTGGCCCACACCCGCTCTGGCCCACACCCGCTCTGGCCCACACCCGCTCTGGCCCACACCCGCTCTTGCCCCGCACTTGTCTGACACCCTCTTCCACACGCCGCATGCATCTCTCTGTCTCGCTGCTCCCCTCCCCTCCTCTCTACCCGTCCCGCACTCCGCCTGCTGCGTATCTTTCTTTTCATCCTTGAATCGATGCGCGTGTGGTCATGTGTGCGGTGGCGGTGTGCCAGATAGCGCAGGTGCACCGTGCAGTGACGGCGAGCGGGCAGCAGGTGGTGGTGAAGGTGCAGCACGCAGGCGTCAAGGAGAAGATCCAGCAGGTGGGCAAGGGGGTTTCCAGGCCACAGGGGGGATTTCCGCTCGCACTCGACGCTTCTTTGCACTGGGAGAGGGTAGCTGTGCAGTGCAGTACTCTAGTGGGGATGTGTGGGGTGGTTGGTGGCACGGGAGGTGGACGGGGCGTGAGGTAGCAGGGCAGAGTGGTTGTAAGAGTGGTTGGAGCAGAGGACGAGCGGAAGGAGTGGAGTCAGTCGGTCAGATGGGGAGGCAGGTGTATGTGACGTGGATAATACTTGATCATGCACTGCCTAGCTTGGGCTGTCTTTTGTCTCCGATCTAAGCGCACTCATCAGCTCACCCTTGTTGTGCACGCGCGTCCCCCACGTGTCCCTCCCCCGTGAGGCGGGCAGGACTTCAGGAACCTGACGACGATCGTGGACTGGCTGGCATGGGCGGAGCCCGACTACGACTTCAAGCCCGTGGTGGGCGAGTGGGCCAAGGAGGTCCTCAAGGAGCTCGACTTCAGGCTCGAAGCAGGTCAGGTTCAAGCCCAGTGCTCCCACGCTACACGCGCTCCCCCTCCGCCTCCCTCTTACTTTTCCTCTCCTTCCTCCTCCTTTGACGTCCACCCATCCCCCTTGTATCGCTCACGCCCTCTCCCCTGACATGTTCGTCCATGCTCGCACAAGGCCCATTCGCTCCAATCCTTCCTCATTTCCCTCATACTGCCCAACCGCCCAACCCCCAACCGCTCATACTCTTCCTTTCTTCTCTCCACTCCCCCAACCGCCCACCCCCCTGACCCCTCTCTTCCCCTGTGCAGCCAACCTGGAGCGAGTGGCACGCAACTTCCAGCAGCAGGAGGTGGAGCAGGCGGGCATGAGTGCAGCGGCGGGGGAGAAGAACAGCGCGCTGGCGGTGGAAGCCAGTGTGCCGGCGGTGGTGCGCGCCACGGAGCGCGTGCTCGTGATGGACTTCGTGGACGGCGCGCGACTGAGCGACCTGGCCGCGCTGGACTCGCTGGGCGTGGACCGGCAGGCGCTGCTCAACCGCATTGCACGCGCGTACGCACACCAGATCTACGTCGGGGGGTTCTTCAACGCCGACCCGCACCCAGGTGGGGGAGGGGGGAGGCATGTGAGGGTGGAGGGAAGTGTGGGAGTGAAGTGAGGAAGGGTGATGAGTGGGACGTTAGGCAAGGGTACGTGAATGGTGGGAAACATACAATACAAGTGCATGTGGTGGGTTGAAAGGGAATGGAGGTTGATTGTGAGAGGGGTGCAATGAGGGGGATAAGCAGGGCTTTGGTACTGGGTATTTAAAGCGAGAATCTCAAGTAGCAGAAAACCGAACCCAAAGGTTTTGGTTTCAGGGGGTCGCGAAAATTGCGAGGTGTTGTGAGGGGTGGTGTTGGGGGGGCGGTGTTACTTTTTCGCACATTTTCGCACATCTTCGCACATTTTCGCACATTTTCGCACATGTTGGGGTGGTCATTTCGCCAACCCGAAACCAAGCCTTTTGGATTTGGTTTCGCGCTTCTTGAGATCCTCGCTTAAATGCTCATATTGCTCATATTTCTGGGTGTAGGCATTTTGCACCTTCATGTTCATCTCTCTGCTGCGTCCCTACCCCCCCCCCCCCCCTGCGATGCATGGCAGGCAATTTCCTGGTGAGTCGGGAGGCGCCCCACCTGCCGGTGCTGCTGGACTTCGGGCTCACCAAGGCCGTCGACCGCCCCATGCGCGTGGCACTCGCCAAAATGCTGCTCGCTGCTGCTGAGGTGGGGGAGGGGGGGGGGGGGGGGGAAGAGCGAGAGAGGGAAGGGAGGAAGGGGCAGCAAGCTTATACTACCCCGTCACAGGGGCACATGTTCTCGCTCATCTCTTGCAAAGCACCCTACCATCTGCCTTACCTTCCCTAATCCCTTCATCTTCGACCGCCGTGTGCTGCGCAACTCTGCTCGCACATTTCTTTCTCAACGCAACGCAACCAACCCTTCAACCACCCTTGTGTGGTGTGGGGCGGCGCAGGGCGACGTGGCGATGCTGCTGAGTGCGTTCAGCGAGATGGGGCTGAAGATGCGCGTGGACCTGCCCGAGGACGCCATGGCCGTCACTGCCTTCTTCTTCCGCAGGGCTGCTCCCGCCCCCGAGGCCAAGGTGGGGGGGGGTGCTATGCTGGGTCGCATGGGGTAAGGGGGGATTCGACGGCCAAGGCTAGGGAGAAAAGGGGAGAGGCAAGTGCGTGGGGAAGGGGAGTGGAGGTATGGTGGTCATGGCATGTCTCCTTCTGGTGGAGGTTGGAGTGGAGGTGACAAGACGGGCAGGGCATGGGTGCGTGGGTGCATGATATGGTTCCCGACACAACACTTAAAGGCGCCTCAAAAATCGATTTTTGAGGTGCCTCAAAAATTGCATGATATGGTTCCCGACGCATGCATGGTAGTAATTCGCTCTGCTGCTCCTGTCTCCTCTCTCGCCCCTTTGTACGTATTGTGTCCCTTATACTGACCACGTCCGTTCACCCGGAGTGTGAGCTCGTCCCTCACCCACTGCACGTCATGTTCGCCTCACACACACGTCGTCACGGCACTGCACTGGTCATTCACGTGCGTGTGCGAGTGCGTGGTTGCAGGTGGAGAGGTAGCATGCATGCACAAGCAGTTCAAGTCGCCTGTACTGACCACGTCTATTTACCTGGAGTGTACTGTTTCTTACCCGCCACGCCGTGCGCGCCTCACACCTCTTCACTGCACTGGTGTGCGGGTGCGTGCATGCATGCATGCGTGCATGCGTGCGTGGCTGCAGGTGGAGGTGGCGCGCATGCGCGAGCAGTTCAAGTCGCGTGCCAAGCAGCTGGAGGAGCAGGCCAAGGCGGGGGGGGACGACGCTGCTGTCCGCCGCAACCCGGTGAGCCCACGACAGGGGGGAGAGAGGGGCGAGGGGGGGGGGGAGGAGAGGAGGAGAGGAGAAGGCAGAAGGAGTGATGGGGCTGGGCTGGGGAAGAATTGTTGAGAAGGCCTTTAAATGAGGGAGGGCGGAGGTTAGAAAATGAGGGGTAGATGTTGTTGGAAGAGAGGCGATCGAGGGGAGTGAGGAGAGTGGATGGGGAGAAATGTGGTAGGAGGAAGGAAGAACGCCACCCATCCAACCACCCGTTTGTCTGTCCAACTGTGTGTGCCGGCGGCGGCACAAGGCACTGTGGGCAGGCAGGCGCATCCATGCACAATCATGAGAGCATGGAGCATCCAACTCGTTCGCTCTCTGTGTTTCCGCCGTTCCGTGTCGTTTCCAGCAACCGATGCCATCAGCTCACTCCCTGCTCGCATCCCTAATGTGTTGCATCGCGTGTCCCTCTGTTGTTTGTGTGCATGTGCATGTGCGTGTGTGTGTTGGCGGCAGGTGGACGCATTCCCCGGGGAGCTCATGTTCTTCTCACGCGTGCTCGCTCTGCTCAGAGGTCAGCGCCGCACAGTTCCGCTCGCCTCATCGTACTCAACACTATACGGGCATCTTCTCATCTCACCGTTGCACACCACTTGCTGTCTTCTCATGGCGCTGCTTTCACCACTAGCTTTCAACACTCACAGCCACTCTACATTACGCTCAATACCCGCGCTTGCACACTTGCAAGCCACTGCCTCATCTCAGAGCACACTTTTTACAAGCAATTGTCGTTGATCGTCTTGTATCATCCTTCCTCCTTCACTCCACCCTCTTTCCATTCCCACCGTCTCGCTCCCTCGTCCCCCCCCAGGTATATCTGCCACACTAGACGTGCATCTGTCCTACATCGACATCATGCGGCCCTTTGCTGAGGCCGTGCTCTGCGCGTACGCCCCATGACCCCCATCTCCCTGCCGCCTCATCCTCCCACTCCCCCGCCATTCTGTTTCTTCTCACTCGTTGTCCTCTTGTTATCACATCTGGTTGTGTTCCTTTTCTTGTCCTGCTGGCCTACTTGTAGCCAACCCATAGTGCTTTCTCCGTCTGACCCTCTCCATCCGTCCCTCTCCATCTGTCCATCCGTCCATCCATGCGCCTCTTCAGGCGTAGTTTAAACGGCACATGATTCTCCTCTAGACCTGCGTCCCCCTCATATTCCAGCATGCATTCACACAGCTGCGCGTGTGCACTTTCTATAACTTTCTTAGCACCTCTCCCGAACTCCTCTCTCTCCCCTGCACTTCACCTTCTCCTTCTTCCCCCCAGCGACAACCTGATAGGCCCCCAGCGTCTGCTGTCCCCGTCGCCCGAGTGGGTGCGTGGCGTGTGCGCGCCCCCCTCGCTGCACCGCAAGCTGTGCGCGCTGCTGGCCGACCTGCTGCAGCATGGCCGCCTCGTGGGCGTGCAGGTCAATTGGGGGGGGGGGGGGAGGAGAAGGGGGGAGGTGGGCCGTGGGCTTGGGGTTTGTTGGGAGTTAGGAAGAGGGAGGGTTGGGGCATACGGTTGTCTGGTGGGGTGGAGAGTGGCAAGCAGGATTCGGAGGCATGGAGGTAGAGTTGAAGCACCTGCAATGTGCGTGATATTATTGTCCTTCCGCAACCATCCTCACCCTCCCACAACTTTATCTGTTGCACTTGCTGCGAGCCTTCACTGCTGCTGTGTTGGGTAACAGAAAGGGAACTGGTCTCTCAAGGTAGCTTTGCATGAAGCCGGCGAAACGATGATAAGAACCGCCGTTCCTTCCTGCTGCCGCCCTCCCCCCGGCGCCTCGTCTTCCCCCCCAACCTCCCCCCAACTCTGGCGGCAGGTGTGTGCGTACATGGGCGGCGAAGTGGTGGTGGACGTGGCAGCGGGGTTCCTGGGGCGGTACGACCCGCGGCCAGTGCAGCACGACTCGCTATTTTCTGTGTTCTCCGCCACCAAGGGCGTCACCTCCGGCATCATGCACTGCCTCGCCGACCAGCGGTCCGCCCTCCCTGCCCTCCCTGCCCCTCCCTGACCTCCATGCCCCTCGCTGCACCTCCCTGCAGCACCCCACACTCATTCCTCACAACGCATACCCGTCACTAGCTGTGTCCGTGCCTCGTCTGCTGCTCGGCATCCTCACCTCACCTTTCAGCCGCCTGTCAGCGTCCTCACCTCACCCCTGTGGTCCTCCCCTGCGCCATGTGGTGTGTGTGCGTGTGAGCAGGCGGCTGCAGCTGGAGGGCAGGGTGGCGGATATATGGCCGGGCTTCGAGGGCGAGGGCAAGCACCAAGTCACGGTGAGGGGGAGGGGGGGGGAGTGCTGGAGATCATGGACTGGGCTGTGATGACGTGTGGGGAGCACAGGGGGTGCAATTATTGTGATAGTCCATGGCACATGGCGTCCACATGATTATCTTCCATGTCAGTGACGTCTTCATGCACCATGCCCTGATGTGTCACGCCCCCATTGGCCACGCCCTCATGAGCGACGCCCCCATGCGCCACGCCCCCATGCGCCATGCCCCCATGCGCCATGCCCCCATGCGCCATGCCCCCATGCACCATGCAGGTGTCAGATGTGTTGACGCACCGTGCAGGGCTGCCCAACGCCATGTCAACCAGACTCATGGTGGACCCCATGCTCATGTGCAGGTACCCATGCTCGTGCTCAGCTTCCATTACCATGCCATGCCATATGAATTGTCTGTTTCTGTGGAGTTGTTGTGTCAGGTCACTGGAAAATATTCCCATGGAAGCTGCTCTCATAGCACCTGCGAGCCACCTCCCTCCCCCTCCGCCTCCCGCCCGCCCTTCCCTTTCCCCCTCTATCAGGTGGCGGGAGATGCTATCGCACCTGGCAGCAGAGGTCCCTGAGTCCCCTCCGGGCACGGTGGAGGAGTATCACTACCTCTCCTTCGGATGGCTCGCAGGGGGCATCATTGAGGTGCGCGCGCTCGCCACTCACGCGTTCAAAAATAAATTCAGGAAAAATCTAGTTATTCCCCCCTAGCGACATGAGCCACTCGCCTCATCGCTTGTACAACGCGCTCGCCCTCTGGCCAACTCCCCTGTCTCCACATGCCCTCCTGTCCTCGTTAATTGCCCTCACCTCCTTCTCACCCAAATTGCGACGTTTTTTCGCCCAACCTTTCACCCACATAAACCCTGCGCTCCCGGCTCCCTTGCACCTGCACCCTCCTGATGTTCCCTGTGGTTCCATTCACCTGCACAGGCAGCATCGGGGCAGTCGTTCCAGGAGGTGCTGGACGCCATGCTCGCCCGGCCCCTAGGCGTGCGCGGGGAGTTCTACGTCGGCATCCCCGCAGGCAAGCACCTGCTCGCTCAACCACTCTCGTGTCTCTCATTATCCACAAAATGACACCATTATCCTTTGTCCTCCCCACCCCTGCCTTCTCCCCCCCCCCCCCCCCCCTTCCCCCCCTCCACCTCCCTCTTTGCCTCCTGCTGCTGTTGTTGAGGGAGACTGCCGCATGGCCTATCTCTCCCTCGACCACCGTAGCTCAGCTGCCGCTGCATGTGCACCAACCATGGTCCACACCCACACCTGTGCACACCCCATATGTGTGTGCGTGTGTGTACGTGTGTGTGCGCCAGGTGTGGAGTCGCGCCTGGCGACGCTGTCGCTGGAGCGCTCTGACGTGCCTGACTCCGCGCAGGCCTCCGCCATCAGCCGCCGCCTTGCTGAGGCCGCACGGCGCGAGGCGGCACACAGGGAGGACGTGCAGAGGGGCGGGCAAGAAGCCGGCACGCCGAGAGAGCAGGGCGTGGAGGGGGGTGGAGATGGGGCGGAGGAAGAGTGGGAGCTGGTGGAGGGGAGAGGGGAGGAGGAAAGGGTGAGGGGGAAAAGCAGCAAGAAGGATGCAGTTGGTGGGAGCACAGTGGAGAGGGATCCTTCTGCAGCTGCCCATGCTCACGCTGCCAGTTCCTCTCTCCAATCGCCTCCACCCAGTGGTAACCCCGCCACCACCACCGACAGCAGCAGCAGCGGCGGGGGCGCCAAGGCATCCATTCCATCGTCGGAGGAGATGGCAGCGCGTGCAGCAGCGCTACCCCTGCTGTTCAACTCGCTCTTCCTGCGCCGTGCTGTCATCCCGTCCGCCAACGGGCACTTCTCCGCACGCGCCCTGGCGCGCTACTACGCCACGCTTGCCGCCTCTGGCCTCATCCCCCCTGTGCCATCCTCCAGCGACCCCCCTCTGGGCACACACGCTGCAGAGCCGGCTGCTGTGGTGGGAGGCGATAAGGAAGGTGGCGCGGGGGGTGCAGAGAGGGGCCTCAGCTTCACAAGGAGGGGGCAGAGGAGCAGGGGGCAGTGGTTGGCAGGAATGGCAGGGTGGGTGGGGCAGGCAGTGGGCCGTGCAAAGCAGGCTGTTGGAGGTGTTGTTGGGGGGCTGGGAAGGCGCAGCGACCGGAGTAAGAAGGATGATGATGATGGTGCGCATGCTGGTGCTGATGTGGTTGCGGACTCGTGCGATCCTTTCCTCCCACAGCCGCAGCATGCCAAGGTCACAGGCTCGCTGCTGCCACTGGTGTCAGGCACCGTGGATCCTCATGGGGACCCGCCCAGCACAGGGCTGCCAGGGCGCCGCCTTTTTGCATCGCCAGATATCGTGGATGCATGTCTCGGGGTGGGCCGCTACTCGCACCTCACACTGCCCTCCTCCTCCTTCGGCCTTGGCTTTGTGCGCTACAGGCCGAGTGGTTCCGCTTCTACCCACAGCCATGCCAGTCAATCTGCAGACGGCACAGCGGGCCACACCCAGGCAGCAGAAGCTGCTGTGGCGGAGGGTGGTCGTGAGACAAGCCAAGACGATACGCCTGCAGCCTCCCAGCCTCCATCAACCTCTTCCGCCTTCTTTCCCCACGACACCTCTCACATGGCAGCCAGCCAGTCCCAAGCTGATGCCTCCTCGTCCTCTCGTGCCGTCACTCGGCCAGACTCGTCCCCTGTGTCGCCTGAGCGGTGGGCGTTTGGGCATGCAGGGCTGGGAGGGTCCACAGCCTTCTGTGATCCCGAGCACAACTTCGCCCTGGCAGTCACGGTGAACCACCTGAGCGCGCGCCACGAAGCCACCAGCGCTATTGTGAGGCTCGTGTGCTCAGAGCTGGGCGTGCCAGTGCCCATGCAGTATGATGGACAGGGCCATGCGCACAGCAGCACGCAGGGGCAGGCGAGTGGCAGCAGCAACAGCAAGAGCAGCAGTGCTGGAGATAAAATGCAGGACACACCGGACTCGATGAATGCGTGACCAGTTACCTGTCTTCTCACATCCATTTCACTCATGAACAGTGCACAGCACATGCATTCCTTACCCACTCTATATTTCATACAAATTCACCGTGGATAGGAAAACTCAATGCCCACTAAACCGCAAAGAAACACCTAGCAACGCCAACCAACAATTACCGTAAATTCGGTAGAGCAAAACACCCTGCAATATTGGTAACCGCCGGGTATGCACCACCCACCTGTTCGATGTAGGATTACTTATACCTCTATTTGCACTCTGTTTCTCGTTAAACCTCCATTTACAATGCATTATGTTATTCAGCTCACTCTAGATTATCAGTCATAACGAACGCCGGCGACACGAGTATGTACGACAACTGTTACCCATTCTGACTTTGGCTCGGTTACGGCTAGTTACTGCTCGGTTCGGCTGGTTACTGATTGGTTCAGCGGTTTTACCCCAGGGAATTTGGCTCGCCTGTTGGCGTGGTTTCTGCTCCTGCTTCTTTTGCATCTGTGGAGGCACTTCGCTGGGACCAACTAATCCAGCCATATGTGAGCATTCTCTCGCGTGACTTGCAGTTCCATAAGGCATCCACCGATATTCCCTAGGTTTGCGCTCATCACCCGCGCTTATCTAGGTTATCCTATTGACTTTCGTCTCTCGCAATCTGTCGGAAACTGTCGCCGAGGTGATAGCTGCTCGCAGGACAATACTGACACCTATAAGCTTCTTGCCGCCGGAATCCATGAGCTGAACGACCTCTCTATGCTCCAGTTGTTACACTGTAACCACCAGTTAGGGATGGTATCGAATCCAGGTAGTCCGGGGAATTGTTGCGCTGATGCTGCTCACGCGCGGTGCTTTGCCAGTGGTTGCGTAGCAGATTCGACGACCGTTGATCTGTAAGCGAGGCCACAGCAGCAGTGGCGCGGAGAGGGGGGTCACGGTGTGGGGAGCAACTGGAAGCCCGGCTATCATCGCGCACAGCGGGCGAGAGAGGCGAGGGGTAGACGACGGTAGAACGAGGAACCGTGTACGCGGCACAGCTAGCCCGAGCACCCTCTGCCGCTACCACCAGCGCGACAGGCGGCGGTTATTGTGTGCCTAGGCGCACCACTCTACCACGCACTTTAGTATTCATTTGCACCCCCAAGGCCGGCGATAACACTGAGAGAGGAGAGGTGACGGCGGCACGCATGGCGGGAGGCGCCGGAGCGGGTGGAGGGGCGGGCATCAACGTGGCGGCGGCGACGGCGGCCGTGGAGGTGGACCACAACCTGCCCGTCACCCGCTACTTCCGACTCGCGCACAACCTCCACCGCGCCGTGCGTCCACCGCGCTCCGTGCAGCAGGCAGCTGGCAGCATGCACCATGCACCATGTGCCTTGCACCATGCAGCATGCACCATCCACCATGCACCATCCACCATGCACCATCCACCATCCACCATGCAGCATGCATCATGCACCATGCACCATCCACCATGCACCATGCAGCATGCAGCATGCAGCATGCAGCATGCAGCATGCACCATCCACCATGCACCATCCACCATCCACCATGCACCATGCACCACTCACTGCGCCATGGTCTCTCTGTCACTCCCTGTCATCCCTCCTCCCCCTCTACCCACCTTCCCCCGTTCGTTGCGGCCCTCCTCAACTCACCCTCCCGCTCACCGCCCGTGTCCTCACCTCACTCACCTGCACCTTCGCTTTCCCACTGCCGTCACTCTCTTGCTCTCTCGCTTACGCACACGTCTCCGCATGGGCCACGCACCTCACCCTCAACTCACCCTCCCGCTCACTCTATTCTCATGCGCTCTCCTCCTTCGGTCCCCTCCCATCCCCCCCCCCCCCCCCCCCCCCCCCCCCTCGTTCCTGTGCGGGCCATCCGTCCAGGCGGACGTGTACCGCTGTGAGGGCGACACAGTGCAGCTCTATGTGTTCCTCCTGCGCTTTGCCAGGTGCGCTGCATGCGCTGTGTCATAGGGGAGCTATAGGGACGGGTACGGGGCTGTTAGGAGGACAGCTCTTTTGTTTGCACTTCGCCCTGCTTGACCTTCACATGCGCCTCGTCTATGTTAAGCCAGCCGTCCGCTGCTGGCTCGTCTGCCATGCCATGCCATGCCATGCCATGCGGTGCCTCTCTTCATTGTGCCACCTCCACGCTCACCCCCCTCTCCCCCCTCCCCTGCGCCCCCCACGGCAGCATGGTGCTGTCCACCGTGCCGCAACATCGCGACGCCAGGGCGCCACAGCATGCCAAGGCCATCGCTGCACTCAACAAGGTGCGCCTCGCCTCCTTCCTTGCCCCTCTGCTCCTTCTGCATACATACTTCAAATCACACACTGCTTATTCCTGTCGTTGCAACACTCGCCCCTGCCAGTTGTATGATGCATCCCATCCATGGGTCTCAGCTACGTTCCCCTCCGTTCCCCCCTCCTTCGCTCCTCTCTCACTCGACCCCCCGGCCGCCCTTCTCTCTCTCATGACTCATCTCTCTCCCCCCTCTCCCCCCCCCCAGCAAGCGGTGGCAGCGTTGGATGAGTGTGAGAAGCTGAAGCCGCAGGTGACCCGGCTGCTGCAGGCGGGCAGGGGTGAGAACGAGGCAGAGGCGGACGCGGACGCGGAGAGAGATGCTGCGGCGCGCGCAGCAGCGGAGGAGGGCGCCGTCCCCGTGTACTACCCCACCTCCTCTTCCCTGGGGCCTGCCGCCGCTGCTCCCTCGCAAGCAGCGACAGCAGCCACGGCTGATCTGTTTGCCGGGGCGTGGTGGACAGGCGGGGGAGGCGCGGGCGGAACAGCAGCGGCAGCAGCAACAGCAGTGGACCCCATGGAGGCGTGGAGCCAGTCCGTGGTGAGCGCACTGCGCACATGCTGCCCGCCCATGCCTCCTCATTGATTCTCTCTCCTCACCACGCACACGCCCCGCTCACTTCCTCACCTACTGCTCTGCATGCCCTCTAAACCCCTCCGCCCTCGCCGCTTTCCTGTTTGCTCCCCCTCTCCCCCCGCCTGCCCTCCATGTCTCGCCAGGGTCTGTCAGCATCGGAGCAGCAGCGCCTGCTGAACGCGCCTGTGCCCTCTGCACCCCTCCTGCCCTACTACTCCCACACTGCCTCACCTGCTCCCAAGGACCTCCTATCCGGGGTCGCCTCCCTCTCCCTCGCCTCCTACTCCTCTCCCTACTCCACCACTCCCTCTGCCCCTCCGCTTCCCAGGTAGTTCGCTCTCGTCCTTCTCTTCTTCTCTTTCCCATCATTGAGTGCGGCAGTGTTGCTCCTGACGCTGCCTTTGCCACCGCTATTCTCCTGCACTTCACCGTTCACGGCCCAACCCATGCCCCTCTACCCATCTCCCCTTATGTCTCGAATCCTTTTCCCTCTACCCAATCCTTTTCCCTCTCCGCATTTTTTAGTCGACTCAAAACGAGGTGACTTTTGAGGTGACTTTTGAGTTGACTTTTGAGTCGAATCAAAACTCACCCTTATGTCTCGAATCCTTTTCCCTCTCCGCATTTCCCTCGGCCCAATGTGCGCGCAGTGACCATCTGAGTCTACCAGCCCCGCGCAACGAGACCCTCTCACGCCACTCGCTTGTCTCCATGCCTGCACCGCATGTGGCCTCTCAACAGCCGTCGCACCACCTACAACACCACCTCCCATCATCCCTACATGTACTACTTATTGGTCAATCCGTTCCTCTCGCCTCCCTCTTCTGTAACCCTACTTCTCTTTTCCTCATCCTCCTCGCTTGTTTCCCCGTCAGCTTGCACCCCCCCCCCTGCTTGGCTTGCTATGAGCCATGAGACGCGCCCGTGCTGTTGTGAGCTCAGCTCCTTGTCATCGCCCTCCTAATCCCATGCAAATCGCATTCTGCCTGGTCCCCTTCCCCGTTCTCCCATCGCCCATTCGCTGTCGTGCTGCATGCAGGTCGCCTACCCCAGCAACATAGACTCGTCTCCCATTCAACTGCCAGAGTACGAATGTCTGCCACCCTTCTTTCCCACCACTGCGGCCCAACCCTCTTCCGCCCCACCGCCTCCCTCCCCCCCCTCCCCCCCTCCCTCCCACCCTCCTGCCCTCTCACCTCCTGGTTTCCGCACTGCTCTCCAATATCGCAATGGACCCAACCCCCCTCCACATGCTCGCGTTGCTTTCCTCTCTGTGCGCACGTCTCTGTCCGTGCACGTGCGCCCATGGCTACCATGCACCTCCCCCTCCTCCACGCCCCCTCACAGGTGGTTGCCTCCGGTCACCTCGCAGCAATCAGCAGCAGGCGACGCACAGCAGCAGCAGGGGGGAGCAGAGGAGGAGGGCGGTAGCAGGGAGTACGATGGGCAGCAGATGGTCACGCTCATTATGCCCTCAGTTCCCAGCCCCACCCCCGCCACCGCTGCCCCGAGACCAACCGCGTCTCCCATGCCGCGCAGCATTTTGAAGCACGGGGCAGTGTACCAGGCGGAGCAGGCAGCCGCTCAGGCCGCCTCCGCTGCTGCAGCAGCAGCAGGAGGGGCGTATGGGGGGGCATATGGGGGGGCTTATGGGGGGGCTTATGGAAGTGTCTATGGGGGGGCAGTGGGGGAGGCGAGTCAGCCAGCAGCAGGGTATAACCCAGCTGCGTATGGCCTGCCCACAGCTGCACCGCTGCACCAGCCGTACCCCCCTCCCATGGAGGCCCCTCTGCAATTGGTGCCACAGGTGCAGCCGCCACTCGCCATTCAAGCAGCGCATGGGCATGGGCATGGGCACGCGCATGGGAGGCACTCAGAGCAGCGGCAGCCGCACCCATCTGCTGTTGCGGACCCGAGGCCAGGGAGTGGCGAGCGGAGAGGCGGCGGGAAGAAGGGCATCAAGGGGGTGCACATTGTGAGTCGCTCAAGCACCACGCACACCATTCTCCGTGCCACTGCTCCACTCCTGCCGCTGCCTTCCATTGCCTTGCTCTCTACACCGTCTATTCTGTTTCCACCGGCTGTCCTGGCTGAACGTTGTGAAGGAGAAGCTAGGTGCGTGTAGGCTGCAACCACTGCAAGCAGCTCGTGAGACGTTGCAGCCCGAGCTCTGTGGGAGTAGCATGGCCTGAATCGAGAATGCAGATGCAAGGAGAAGCAGAGAGTTGTATCAACTCACTTGAGCTAGTCAAGCCCGTAGTCTCACTTGGATGATGTAGTCTCAGAAAGGCGCCTTGTGCGAGCCTGCCACACACTATTCTAATTCACTGTAAGCTCGTTGCAGTGCTGTAATCTCATTCTCATTCCCTTCTCCCCTGCCGTCCTCCTGCACTGCCCGTGTGCCGTGCAGTCGACGCGCATGATGGATGACTTCATGCGCATTGTGCGCCACAACACCTCCCGCAACCTCGAGACGTGTGCCGTGCTCGGAGGGGTCCTGGTGCGTCCTCCTCGTCCCTCCACGTGCTCCATCTGTCTCCGTCTCTCCTGCGGCCTTCCTCCACCCCCCCACTCTCGCCTCCTCCCTCATCTCTCTTGCTGGCATGTTTCTCTATTCTTAGTCACCAGAGGCTGTTCTGCGCGGAGTTCCTCACTGCCTGCATCTCGTGCCTCTTCATGTGTGTGCCTGTGTTGGTCTGTGCGTGTGCATGTCTGTGGGGTTGCGGGTGTATGAGTATGAGTGCATGTGTATTCTTGCATGTGTGCCTGTTTGACCACGTGGGGGTGTGTGTGCATTGTGCATGCCTGCTTGTCGTGTGCATGTATGTGTATGTGTGTGTGTGTGCAAGTGCGTGCCCTGCCCCCCCATCAGAAGAAGGGCATGTTTTTCATCAAGGCGCTCATCCTGCCCAAGCAGGAGTCTACCTCTGACTCCGTGCGTGCCCCGCCCTCTCACTGCGTCCTTCCCTCCCATCCGCACCCATGCTGTCCGCACCCTCTCCCGCACTTTGCATTCTCATGGCGTGCTTTGTCTACCATGGCAAAGCGATTCTTCCATTTACACAACCCCCATCCGCCCCTGCCCTCTCGTTTCCTCGCTGCGCTGGTCCTCTCCCACGTGCCCACGTGCCCCTCTGGTGTGTGTGTGCATGCAGTGCTCCACGCTGAACGAGGAGGAGATCTTTGAGGCACAGGACAAACGAGGGCTCTTCCAACTCGGCTGGATCCATGTCAGTTCTTCCCCCCCCCCCCCCCCATTCTCTCCCTCCCACTTTCTCTCGGTTTCTTGCACTTCCCCTCTCCCATGGCGTATTCTCCTGTGTCCTCTCTTTTCCTCTTCATTCTCGTCCCCTCCTCTTCCCTTATCCCCCTCCCCTCTCTCCCCCCCCCCCTCTCCCCTCCTTCTCTCTTGCAAAACCCTTCACTCTCTTACCCCGTGGATCACGTCCTATCCGCCCTCATGCCCATCAGACGCATCCGTCGCAGGCGTGCTTCATGTCGTCCATTGACCTGCACACGCACTACTCCTACCAGGTGCCATGCCCCTCTGCGCCCTCACATCACACCCTTGTTCCTTCTTTCCTTGTACTGTGTGTGCAACACACAGCGCTTCTATTTTGCTGTTGACTCTTGTATTGCAGCGTTCCTACCATCTTGTGTGTATCGTTTTTTTCCCACTCCCCTCGTGTCCTTCCACTCACCTTTTCTGGGTGCTGTTCCTCTCCACATAGACGCCCTCCCTCTCCCCTGCCACCCTGCCCTCTCCCGTGCACCAGGTTATGCTGCCTGAAGCCATTGCCATCGTCATGGCTCCCAAGGACCCCTCTCGGTATGCACACCTTGCTCCTCTCGTCCACTTCTCTCGTCCATTCCTCCCCCTGATTTCCATCTATTTGACAAAAATTGACCACCATAAGATATTGACTATCAAGAGTGCGGCGCTGGAGTGTGGGCAGGCAAGAGTGGGTTGCACACAGGTACCACAGCATGGATTGCATCTTGATGGGCAGGCTGACCCATTCTGTACTCCATCCCACATGCCACATGCACGCACCCTCCTTATTGCTGTCTCACGTCCATCCCAGTGCTTTACTCACTCACCTGTTCCCTGTCCCCCTAATGGCATGCCTCATAATCTGTCTCACTGTCAGGAATCCACTTGCTGATCCCTGCCGGTTCCTACATGTCCTCATCGACTCTTCACCTGCACACACACGTTTTCAGCTCCTACATGTCCTCATCTACTCGTCCCTTCAGTTTTGAGGCGCCTCAAAACCACACGTTTTCAGCTCCTACATGTCCTCATCTACTCGTCCCTTCAGGCCCTGGTGCTGTATTGGTGCTTCTCACCTCCTTCGCACTTCCGCTTCCCCTCCCTACTTTCTCCCCCACCATCCCACCTCCCCCCTTCCCCACCTCCCCCAGCCCCTTTGGCATATTCCAGCTGTCGCAGCCGGGTGGCGTGAAGGTGATTCAGAACTGCCAGCAGCGGGGCTTCCACACGCACGAGGCGCCGGCGGACGGGTCGCCACTGTACTCGCACTCGTCGCACGTGTTCTTCAACCCGCGCATCGAGTACGAGGTGCTCGACTTGCGCTGACTGCTTCCCCCCTGCTCCACCGCTGCTCTTGCCAGCCTGGTGGGCGAGCAGGCAAGGGGAGGGCGCTGGACGAGGTCAGGTGGCTTGTGGCAGTGTGGCTTTAGGGTGGTGGATGCAGGGGAACATTGGGTGGATAAGGGGCTGAGAGCAGCCAGGAATGGATGGATGTTGGGATGGCTAGAGCATGTAGGATGGTGCGCTGGTACAGTAGTTGAAGTCCTGCTGCTGGGTAGGCCCTTGTTTTGTTGCTGTTATTCCTCGGTGGGACTTGATCGTTTATAGTGGCTGATGGAGTTCCGAACCGACCGTTCATCTCACACATGCTTCATTGTCACATGTATTCGTGGATATAATTATGCATATCACCACGGCTAACAAGAATCAAAAGCAGGATGCGTTGGATTGGAATCAGTCAAGAACGTCTTACACCATTAGGGGGGTCCTGGACTGACCCGATGTCACGCCCGCCAACTCTATACCATGCACATGCACATCTGCATGTGCCCCTCTGCCCTACTGGTGCAGCGTGAGCTCCATCATCTGCACGTCCTCACAGCGGTACGTCTCGTGCATCTCTTCCCACGCCACCTCCCTCACCCTGAACCTCTCCCCCACACGCCTCAGAAACTCCGCCAGGGCCTGCCGGTTCCTGCCGTGCGCAATGAACACTGACGTGCGCGGCCCGCACAGCATGGCCAGTGTGTCAACGAGGGGCGCGATGGCGCCGTGGTCGTACACCACGTCTGTCGCCACCACCAGGTCAAACGTTGGGGGACCGCCGGATGCGCAGGGGACAGCTGCTGCCCTGCTGTGGGGTTGCTTGGTGGAGGGGTTGCCTCTGGGTGGTTCGGTGCTCGGTGTGGTTGGGGGGGCCTGAGCGAGCGTGGGAGGTTCAGCAGCAGCAGCGGCAGCAGGGGTTGGTAGGGCACAGGCATCCTGAGCACTGCCCCAGGTGAGGGCCTTGACGTGCACGGTGTGGTGCAGGTCGTTGGCGTGCACGTTGCGGTGCAGCAACGGCAGGTTGCCGGGCATGTCCGTCAGCACCACTGCCCGCGCCCCCAGCACTGCCAGCGAGATGCCTGGGGGGGGCGTGGTGGTTGGAAGGATGGAGGGAGAGAAGGGAGAGAAGAGGAGATGTGGGAAATGGGGGAAGCAGTTGATAGGAGGCCATTGATATGCATGGCAGGGAGTGGCAGGGAGTGGCAGGGAGACGCATGGAGATGCAGGGAGTAGCAGGGGGTGGCAGTGAGGAGCACCAAGTGGCAGAGAGTCAGAGACTGAGAGACACAGTCTCTCTTGCCACTTGGTGCCAAGATGCCCAGCACGAGCAACAGCCAGAGTGCATGGGTAACATTGCATGCCCCACCCGCAACGCATTTCTTCATGCCTGAGCATGCCAGCAGTGTCACTCAAGACACAGACCACTGCCCATCACTGCAGCCACAATTCTCAGTGGGGAAAAGCAGCCATCGTTTCTCAGTGGCAGCAGCCAGTCCCCAAGCAGCAATGTCAGGCACTGCCTTGCTTGATAAGCGAACCATGGTACCGGTGCTGCAAGTGCAGAGCAGAGGACATGGCAGGCTCGTATCCGTCAAGAGCAGCTGCTTGTCACTCACTGCAGCTCTGATGCCTTGCAAGTTGCAGCTAACCAAGTGCCACAACTGCCCTCGCAAAGAGCCTGCTTCAGTACTGCGCTCACAAGCTCACCACTGCCGGCCCATCCCTTGTCCTTCTGTTTCACACATGGGCGAAATCAGGGGAATGCCTCAGGGGAAAGGAAACTAGACCAGTTGCCCCTGCAGTCCACTCCAGCTGCTCTCCTTGCCGCGCTGCTCCGCTCGCATCCTCTGTCTTGCACTGCTGTCAAACGGAAATATACCACTGCTTATTCGCTGGGCTTGCATGCTCTTATTGCTGCCTCTCCGTATGTGCCTGTCGACTGTGCGTCTTGTTTCACTATCGCCAGGACGAGAGGCTTGGATGCGAGCGGCGGAGAGGGAAGGTAGAAGGAAGAAGCGGAGTGACCGGGACAATAAGATGAAGAGGGAAGGGGTGAAAACAGTGAGAGAGACGATTGAGGGAAAGTGAGTGGGTCAAGCGCACAGCGCGTACCAAGCAGGCCGCAGCCAGCCCCGAGTTCAATGCACGTCTTGCTGCGCACCAGGTGTGCGTGCCGCTCGAAATACTTGCCCGCTACTATGGAGCTGTCCCACACTACAAGGGGGCACGAGGCATGGCGGTGGGAAGGAGAGAGGACATATATGGTTGGGGGAGCGGAGGGGAGAAGCGGAGGGTGAAAGCGTGAGGGGTAGAATATTCGCACTGCTGGAGTCATGCAAACTTGTCTCATCTTCCGCTGCTTGCCCTGTGTCCATCTTCTCCCCCCCCCCCACACCCCCCACCTCTCCCCCATGCCCCTTTCCAGGTGCCCCACGGCCTGTGCACCTGTGGAGGCGAACCCCAGGGGCCCGAACCGCTGCTGTGCGATGGTCACCACGCGCTGCTGCTCGCACGCGCACTCGGGGGCGGACGCGGGGGATGCGGCGAAAACTTGGTGTGGTGCGGCAGGGGGGTGGGAGGGGTGGGGTGGCGGTGGGTGGCAGTGATCAGGGTGGAGCGTGCAGAAGGGCCGTGCGATGACGTGCATGTACGGGCGGTCAAAGCGGTCCACGTCGGGCCTGGGGGGGGACATGGCACGAGGAGGAAACGCGGGGGGAGGGGGCGGGGGGGAAGGGGAAAAGGGGTATGGTGTGAGGGGCGAGTAGGGAGAGTGGTGAAGGGAGTTGGAGGTGAATGGGTGAGGGTGGTGGTGGTGGTGGGAGGCTAGGACAGGGACGGATGTGGAGCCATGGAGCCCCAAGACGCGCGAGGGGCCGGCGAGACGAGAGCTGTTCCTGTCCTGTCCATTCCACGCCCCTCCAAGCGCATCCAAGCGCATCCAAGCCCATCCAAGCCCAGCACCAGACCTCAACCCAGAACCCAGAACCCTGAACCCTGAACCCTGAACCTTCACCCACAAACCCCGCTTAACCACCCACCCGCACACACACACCACGCTCACCCATGAGCCACTCATTCCAGCGCCAGCACCATTGTCCCGCCTTGCCCCGCTCGTCCCCCATCCTTCCCGCCCAACTCACTTGCCCTCGCGCTTCCACACCCATGATCGCAGGAACCGAGACACATCCGACTGCCCCTCCCCCCTCGCTTCCGCGTCCCCTTCATTCCCCGACCGTCCTTCCCCCGCCGCGTGCCCTGCCCCCCGTCCTCTCTTCCTGCCGCTTCCGCCCTCCGCTTCCGCCGCTTCCCTCCCCCGCGCACTCCTTGAGCCGTCGTGCGCCCGTTCCGCCTCTCCCCCGACCACATCGAGCCTACCGGCTCCCCCGTCCCCAGGCGGGACTCCGGCCATTGGCGACGCGCCATCGCTTACGGGTGCGCGGCGTCGCCTGGCCGTGCGACTGTTGCGCGACGGTGTGCGACGGGCGCCTGGAGGGAGATGGACGGCTGGCGGCGGCATTGGGGGCTAGTGTGGAAAGATAGGGTTCGAAGTGAGGAAGGATAACGGCAATGATAGCGCTCGACGATAACGGCAATGCTGCGTCACCTCGGAGAGGTGGTGGAGCTGGCGATTGGGGGTCAGAATGGCGCGCGCGAGCATGTATCGTAGAGGGCTGGCTGTGTCAGTGGGCTGGCTGTTGAGCACATGTTTCCATCCCACAGCCCGCTTTCAGGTCGTCCGCGGTATTACAAGTGACCTCACAGCTCTGTACAACGTACCTATGTTGGGCCCAGCTAGTGCATACTGTCCCCGAAGATGACAAGTGCATAACAAAATAATATGCTTGACAACCCTTTTCTCAGTGCGCTGCTACTTCCGCCTTTGCATTCCCCAAGAAAGCACCTCTGTGGAATACTACCACGCGTCGTTGAGCGCAAGGTACCCAGCATGCAAGCGACCCCCAGTTTGTCTCAACTCGTTGATGAGCTGGTTCCAGTTGGACGCGTGCGCGCCCACGAAGTAATCGGCCTGCGAGCTTATAACGAGGTTGGCGAAGATGAAGGGCATGTCGCGCTGGCGGGTGAACTGCACCTGGTCCGCCATCTCCTGTGCGTCGCCCACACGGCTGCTCCTGGTGGAGAGGAATGTCCAGTCCGGGTACAGGGGGGCCTCGTTGTCGATTATGAACTGCGCCGCGCATGGTGAGGGGGAGGGGGGGAAGGAGGGGGGGAGGGGGTGAGACACTACAAATGGCATGCGGTGGAGTCTATTTTAGAGGCGCATCAGAAATACACATGGCATGTGGTTGAAACTTGGAACCACTATGCGGGTAGACCATACGTGCAGGATTGGAAGTGATGGTGATGGCGAAAGCTGTGTGTAACATGTCCATGTGCACCAGTGAGTGGCACTGCTGGATGCTCTGCACTGTCTGTGGGTCTGTGAGGCTGTGAAGCCATGCACTGAGCAGCAGATCTCACCTGCATCTCACCTTCCCCTCACCTGCCTCACACCGGCCTCTCACCTGCATCTCAGAGGAGAGCCACACGTGGTGCAGGGAGGGCACGTGGGCGCGCAGCTTGTATGCGAAGAAGAGGAACGAGGGGAAGAAGCGCAGGGGCATCTCGGAGCCCTTATCGCTCAGCCGCACGTGCAGGCTCATGTACGGCCGCGGTATGAACGGTTCGTCCTGCACCAACCCGTACTCGTTGCCGCCCCATGCCCCACCACCGCTGCTACTGCCACCGCCGCTGCTGCTGCTGCTGCCATTGCAGGTGGTGGTGCTGCCGGCAGGGCTGGAGCTATCCTGAGCAGCAGTGACTTGAGCAGCGTCACTGCATGTGGCGCAAGCAGCAAAGCCTGCCATGGGCCAACTCTCCTGCGCCAAACCACCGCCGCTGGCCGCTACAGCACCCACTGACGCCAAGTACTGCCGCTCCCCCTCACTCATGGCCCCCCCTGCCGCCATCCCCACACCGCCGTTGCCCGCTGCACTGCTGCTGGCAGCAGCCAGGATGCTCTGCTGCTGTGCCGCTGCTGCTGCCACCTGCAGCGCGACGGAGTGGCCGTACGCCTCGTGGCGCGCGCGGTTGATGAAGTGGCACAGGTGCAGCGAGGGCCAGCGGAAGAGAAAGCGCGTCACCTGCGCCCGCCACCAGCGGAACTCCTGCAGGAATAAGAGGTCCCACTGTGGCGGGGACAAGCAGAAGAGGGTTCAGAGGGAAGGGGGATGCGGGAGGGTGTTGAAGGGGCGAAGGCCGGGCGAAGGCGAAGGCGGGTGCTAAATGTAAGAGCTGTGGCAAGGCAGTGGTGATTAGAATCGCCTGGAGCAATGGAACGCAATGAAAGGACATGTGTGCTTGGCAGGGCAAGGGAGCACGTTTGCGCAGCATACGTTTCTGTTGTTGTCAGGCACTTGTGTGTGGTTGATCTCCTCCAAGGACACTGGCCTCTCAAACGCAGGTGGGCCCCACAACCTGGGGAATTGACAGGTGAGGGATGGCAGGTGAGGGATGGGATGCGACACATGGCATGTGCGGGATGGACCCAGTGACATGTTGAATGGTGCATAATCCGCAACGACTGGGTGCAGTGCAGACAACGTGGGGCCATGGGGGAAAAAGGGCAGCCGCGCATCACATTGTGGAAGCAAGCACACGACGGGCAGCAGCAGCAGCAGCGGGCAGTCTCACCTGTTAGCCAGCACGTCGGCATGGAAGCCGGAGTCATTGCAGGCGAGCACGGGCGTGTCTGAGAGCAGCAGCGCCTCCCAGTCGCCCGCCATGGACGACAGCCACGGCACCGCGGGCGAGGACGCGGCCAGCGCTGCCATGGCCAGGCGACGGCAGTCAGGCGAGCAGATGGGGAAGAAGTAGCACTCCCACTCGCCCTCCTGACCTAGGGCTGACATGCGCAAGGCGCATGGGAGGGAGGGGGGGATGGGAGTAGGAGGAGCGCTTTGAGTGAGGAGAGGGGAGCAGGCAGTGACAGGTGGGCGAAGACACACGAGCTCATGACAAGGAGTGGGCACTGGGCAGCCATGGTTGATAAGGCATGAAACCAGCAGATGAGCCAGCGGAGCAGCCCATACCGAAAGAGCAACCTGCATCGACAGCAGCTGCTGCGGGTTGATCGCTGGTATCACACATATCACTGATTTCGCCCCCTTATTAACACTACTGCCACGGCTCACCCCTGCACGCATCGTTATTAGCGCGGTGGAAGGACTTGTCTTTAACGACAAGCGTGCGGTTGGCGCGCACGGCCATGCTGAGGTGCCCGCTGAGCACGTGCACCATGGACCCCGTGCCGTGGTACGGGCACGCCCACTCCACCACCAGCAGCCGCCGCCCCGCGCATGCTGCCGCCGGGAACTGGCTGCGCCACACGTCCCGCTGCGCCACGCGCGTCAGCGCCAGGTTGGCCGCGTCCGACCCTCGCACCTACTATGGGGTAGCGGGAAGGAGGGGGGGGACATGGGGAGGAGGGCGAAGAGGAGAGAGGGAGCGAGGGAGCAGTGTGAGGTTTGCATGCGCCATCAGGGTGACAGTATGGCATTGGCATCAGCAATAGCTCCCACCCTTGCCCAATGGTCTCATACATTCCCTCCCTCCCTCCATTCCCTCCATCTCCCCCCCCCGCACTCCCTGCCTGCCTGCCTGCGTCTCACCCACGGTGGCTGGGGCCCGCACTCGCAGCACTCTCCCCCTCGCGCCCACGGCGGCTCCTCCCCCCCTGGTCCGCGGCTCTCCGCCGCCTCTCTCGCGGCCGTGCGCGCGCTGCAGTCCTGCAGGTGGGGCGGGGCCGGCACGGACGCTGGAAGCGACACCGCTGCAGGCGGGCTGATGGCGCCGGCCGTCAGATTGTAGGCCGCCTGCCACGCCTGGGGGGAGGGGAGAGAAGAGGCGGAGTAGGGAGGGCGAGGGGTCGCTGGGCGCAGGAGCAGGTACGGGCGGCGGTATTTCGGGGGAGAGGCAAGCGAGGCGCGAAAGCGACGTTGCGCATTGGCGTGGGGGGAAAGATCGCAGAGAGGCAGGGAAGGGGTCAGAAGCTATGAGAGCGGAGTAACGCGGCAGGAGAGACATGACGAGCGGCGTGCTGCCAGGAGCTACCCCAAGCGCCATGATGCGCGCTTGCCTCGTACAGCCGCCTTGCTTCCTCCACCACTTGCGGGCTCGCCGCCACTCCCAGCGCGCAGCACAGGGGCAGAGGCGCGAGGCGAGCGGGTGCGAGCAGCAGCGCGAGGAGCGGGAGAAGCGCGCGCAGGAGCGCCACGCGGCGGTGGTTAGCCCGTGGTGAGATGCAACGACCCGCCGCCGTTGCGCCGCCCTCTGCGCTCAGCATCGACGAGCGCTGCCCCTGCTGCTGCTGCCATCGCCACACTCGTCTCGCCACCAATCCCCCCCCCCGCTTCCCCCCCATGCCGCGGCGCTCGCCAGCCTTCTGGAGAAGCGAGCCGTGCTGAACAGCATCAGCTGATGCGCTGAGCCCGGGTCTGCTGTCACTTTGAAGTCGCCCATGCATTGGCCAGTCTCTTGGATGAGTGACGGAGCAACTCGGAATGGGGTGCGCCCGCCCCAAGGGTCTTGTTCGTTTTGCGCGGTCTGATCCGGTTCATAAAGGTAGTACCTAAGCGAACAACTGGCCGCTGGTAGGAGCCGTCTAGGTGCTAGCAATCGTCGCTTGGAAGCACAACGACAGCCGTGGACCGCTTTCCGTTCAACGGATCAGCTATCGCGTCAGCGATTCAAGTTCTCGCCCCGCCACGCCACTCCTCGCATGACATTTCCAAGGTTGGCAGTGCAGCAGGCACTGACTGGAGACAGAGCTTTGAATGTGTACGCGTCAAAAGAGTTCACTTCACCGATAGTCTCAAGTATTTTCAGCCATGGTTACTCATGTGACCCAATTTTCACTCCATGGACAAAAAACCAGATGTATAAGGCCATCAGGTAAGCTAGGTATGGCTGCAGTCCAGGAAACCTGAAGGCAGTATAGACCAATTGCTGCCTGGTGATTACGTTCAAACAAAAATCAACAAATTCTCATTCGCTTGGTTCCCTCAGCTGGAAGCCTGTTGCATTTTGGAGACAGTATAATAAAATTATGGTACACATATAGACTTGGCTCCTATTGTTCCAGAACAAGACTTGGCATTGTAGTCATAAAACTTTGAAACTGCTGCTGAGGTAGTAGGTGCATCATAGAAGCGGTAAGCAGCTGAACACGTCATTGACGGTGAGACTGGCTTGACCCTGCCTTTTTTGCACATGCCCAATTTGAATGACCAATACTCTGCCCTGAGGCAAATCTGGGATAGCAAGATGTGTGTGAGACAAGTGCATGAGATTATTAGGCATAGGGGAAACCTAACTTGACAAGTGAGTTCAGACAAGGAATGCAGATATAAGGCAAGGATGACGAGGAAAGAACTCCTGTGGAAGCAAAGCATGCGAATGCATGCGAGCATGCCGGTAGGTAGTGGTGTCTGCAGAGATGCATTTCACATGACACATGAGCACATATACCCTTGTCCACCCCAGCCTCCCCCCCCACCTTCTTCCTACCCCCACCTCCCCCTTCTCCCCTCTCCTCTCCCCAGCCCTCACCTGCACGCCAATCTTGCTGCCGACAGCGGAGGCAGAGGAAGGGATGGTGCCGGAGCAAGTGAGGCCGGGATTGTTGCGGTACAGCTCCGCCCAGGTGCTCCCTTTCAGATTCGGCTCGTTGGTGGTCCTTTGAAGCAGCATGTCGCACGTGTCCAGAGGTGTCAGCATGCCGTATTTCACGCACTCGGGAACTGTGAAGGCGAAGGCAGCATTGCGCTCCAGGCACACCGAGCGGCCCCCCTTGATGGGCTTGGAGCAGTCAAGGCCGGGATTGAGAGCGGTTAGATTGGCCTCATTCATGCTGACCAGATTGCTGATGGTTGAACAGGTGTCCCCCTGGAAGATTGAACAGAAGACAGTGAGAGTGCACTTGTTGTGCTCTCATTGGTATTGAAGATAATGCATTGTGTTGAGAAGACTAGTTGAGTTGGTTGAGTGCATGGCATGGTGCAATCAAGAGGGCACCATATCTCACATTGAGGGTGTAGAAGAAGGCAGTGCAAGGTGTGGCGGGAGCGCCATCCAGCTGAAGGACACTGCCCTTGGGCAATGCCTGGCTGCAATCTATAGCCTGCATTATGAGACATATGCAAGGAAAAGTGGCTGCCTGAATGAGAGGTTCTCATCATAATCCATATGGGCAAGGCCTCCACTCCATATAGGGTCACAGTGAGTGAAGTTCACACGCTTGACTAACTGGTCCAGAATACCAGAAATATTTGAGGAAAAATGTGTTCCTACAAGATGAAGGGTTGAGACAAGTGTTGTTGATCAGTGTTCGTAAAAATGGCTGATCAGATCTCGCCCAATACAGAACTAAAGGGCGTAACGGAGTGAGAGTAAGATGATTCTGTAAGAACAGGAGCATAATGTAAAATTCATTGATCCCACTCCTTTACCCATTCCTTACCGCATTCTGGAGTGTGAATTGGTCCAATGGGAGGCCAGCAAGAGGATAGATATCCGAACACCACCAGTTGTCTCCACTGACCGTCATGGTGGTGGCTGTGGTGTTAGCTGAAGGTAGTGTAGAGAGAGACACAGACAGAGGTGTCAAGGAAAAGAAGGGAGGGGGGCAAGTTTGGAGAGAGAGGAGACACCAACCTTATACCATGCATTGCTGCAACGCACTGGTAGTTGTGACACATCAATGATGTGCAGGAGATTTTAAACGACATTAATGAGTCATCACCTGGATCACAGGTGGGAAAATCGTCAACAGTGGTGCTCGCAATGTGACTGGGAGGGCAGATGCAGGAATACGAGCCCTTGCCGTCGTTGATGCATGTGCCCACGTAGCAGGGGTTCTTGAAGTAAGACCCACACACATCGACTGACACAATTGTGTCGGGGTGGTGGATAGCAGAGGTTGAAAACAGAGGGGAAATCAGAGGAAAAAAAGGGATAGGGGGACAAGTTAGAGAGAGCTGTTAGGCGTGATCCTTAAACTGCATGCTACACCAAGCCATGTGTACTTCAGTGTGCGATCAAATGCTATGAGCCGAATCGCACTTCAGCAACAAACTCACACTCAACCTCCAGCGCACTATACTTGATGAGCTCACATTCACGCTGCAGCCAAAACTTACCATAAGCACATGTGCTGGAGCCATTTCCATTCCCGACTTCAACAAAGGGTTGCCTGATAGCCCCAGGAATGTTGCAGTCGCAGCTATTGCTGCTGTCATCAATCGCCTGGCATGGGAACCGACCGCACGGGCTCATGCCGTACAGATCCTGATCGCCCTTGTGGCTGTTGTGGCCACAGGGGTCCCCTGGAACTGGAACGTGACAGGGAGGAGACACTTGAGTTGAGACGCATGAAGTTGGAAGCTGGAAAGACCATAGCGCAAGAAGAAAGTGCACAAGATTCTGCAACTCATGCCACCCTATTAGCCTACAAGGGTACATGTAATCTAAGTACCACTTGGTAAGCTTGCCACCAACCTGAGACGGCTTCGAAGCAACCTGAAATGAAATATCACTAGTGACAGCAGTCTCAATGTTGCATGCAGTGTGCTAAGTGCCGTTGAGAGACTCGTTCAGATTCTTTGTGATCTATTGACTGCGCTGCATTGTTGTTGCACTCCATTGCAAAACCAGATCACTCCAACTCCTTCTTAGGATTAAGTGATACGCCTAACTCTTGACAGTGGACTAGACACCTCACTCTTGACAATGGGGCAGACAACTCACTCTTGACAATGGGGTAGATGCCAGGCAGCACGTTGATGCCACACACGCCATCCCCTCCCTGAATGTCCATGCGCATGTGGCCTCCGTCGCCCCACTCCTCTCCCCACGAGTTGCGGATGATCCAAAACGGAGGAGCAATGCGGTTCTGGCTGCCGTCGTTTCTATTGATGTAGTAGCCAACGACAAGCACGACGTGGTTCAGATTACCAGTGTAGCAATCTGGATCCTGGTACTTGAATGTCTGAAGCCAAGGGGGACAACACATGCACGAAGTATACTCACCTATGCTGACATTGCATTGCAGAATGAATTTGAAACACACGGCTTTGTGAAGCATTCATATGTGAAACACTCATATAAAGCAAGTCGAAGCAGGAGGCACTATGTATGTCCTATCTCTGTGTTGAGGACCACAAGGCACCATCCTAACTTCGTGCTGCAATGACCCTCTCACCCCATCATAGACGACGAACGTGTCAGCAGAAGCCTCGATGTGGACCACCACTGGCTGGCGCCGCACTGCCAGCATGAGCCCCACATACCCCTTGAATTGCGTGCGCTCAAATGCCTGCACCGGATACCTTGTTGCCTGGGACCACAAGATGAAAATGGGAAGGGTTAAGGAATGGATCAAGCACCATGTCATGTCCCCTTGAAGAAAGGAAAAATCTATGTTACTTGGAAAATATTGAATGGAATCAATTAATCAGCAAGAGACGGGCCAATACGTCGCCAACGCGACAACGCCTCATATATTCCCTAGCAGGGTGGTGATTACGGTGCTTAAAAGGCAAACTTGAAGGTCTTGAAAGAGTGAGCAAGCAACAAGTGTTATGGAGGACATTCACCTTCCCCAATCCTTGTAACAATACGTATGTCATGACTCTACCTTACCCTCCTTCCTTCCCTTACCAGATCCTCACTTTCTTCGACCTACTGATTCATTGACCCCTTTGAGTGCAGTGCTGCCATCAAGAGTGACCAGCTTCTCAAAGGCCTCGGTGGGGGAGCCTCCAGCCGTGCACTTGTCCGTGTCGGTGAGCCCCATGGCTGCAAAGAGTGACTCCACTGACAGCTGGGGAGCACGTTGATTCTTTACAATGCCATATGCTGCCTCCACACTCGCCACCACTGCATACGCCCAGCAGGCATCTGAGAAACATGCAATGAGGGTGGGGAACATACGGGGAAGAAAGCTCTTAGTGGGTCGGTGCAACGCTCCACATTGCACTGCACACACTGTAAAACTACAGCATCGCTCAACAGTAAACACGCCATCAGTTAACGTTGAACTCACAATGTGGCGCTTGGCAGAAACAGACCCAGAAACATGGAGCACACACACGGTCACAAAACAACAACAGGGCAGTGGAACGGAAAACAGCCTGGAACCTGAACTTAAGTTTCTGCCCTCTTCCTTTGCACTCACTGCAATCCTTCTGGTTCTTGACAGGCCAACCTAGGAAGGCCAGGGAGTTCCAGGTGTGTAGGTCACGGATGCGCCACGAGCCCTCGTTGCTCTCCAACAATTCGTAGTCCGTGCTCACGTAGCGCAAAAAGGGGCTGCCTTGGGGTGGGGCGAAAGTGGCTGCCGATAGTGAGAGGCCAAGGGCTGTGAGGGGCGGGAAGGGACGGACAAAGAGAGATACGTGGATTGGGGTTGGGGGAGAGAGGTAGTCAAGAGGCTTATATGGAGTCGGAAGCATGGATTGGCATAAGATATGATATTGAACACGCCAATACTTGCACGAAAAAAGAAAGTCCACATCATTGTACCATTTTCCGTGTAGTTGAATTGAACTAAGTGTTGTGCACCACAAAAGCCCCTTCATCCATTGGTTGCGTAGGCGGAATTAACCTTTTCCTGCAGGTTTTCTACTGACAATCTCAGCTGTTGGTTGACACATGGCAGAGAGCTCACCTTGCTTTCGGATCTGGACTGACTTGAGAGGGAAAATGCCTACAAGGAGGAACGCATGAGAAGGAAGAGAACCACAGCAGCAACAAGAAGGTGGTTGAGTCAAGGAGAGCACAGCACGACTGGCTGGCCAAGGGAAGCCCACTATTCACCACCATCACCACCCTGCTGTGTTAGCCATGGCCAGTTCCATCAGCATCATTCGCCACAGCAGACACCGGTATCGAGCCTCCTAACCCATCATCCTCATTGCCCGCATTGCCACCACTACTGCAACACCACCAACACCACCCTGCTGTGTTAGCCATGGCCAGTTCCATCAGCATCATTCGCCACAGCAGACACCGGTATCGAGCCTCCTAACCCATCATCCTCATTGCCCGCATTGCCACCACTACTGCAACACCACCAACACCACCCCTTCATCTAAAATGCTCTCATAATTCAGACTCTCCTGGCCATCACCGTCGTCACTCCACTGCATACATCCTTACCTGTTTGCACGGCAGAGCGGACAATCCCATGCAGCTGGAAGGGCTTCACAGTGGTGGATGCCACGAAGCCAAAGAAGAACGCCTGCTGTTTCACACCAGCCTCCAGCACCGCACACAGCGACAGCTCCGTCTGCAGCAGAGGGTCCTCTGGCTTCACATTCGAATTCGCCAGGAAAACCTGGATGGTCCCAGGATCCCCAGGCTCATAGTCCACCCATGCCATGTATGCATTGCCGTCGGTGAGAGTGAATGGTGACGTCTCTGTGACCAAGGATTGATCCGCACCGTTGATGTTGAGCCCCACATGCTGCTTATTCATATCACCATGCTTGTCGTTTTGAAAAGTGTCGAATTCAATGGCTATACTCCGAGTTCCCACTCCACCAAATCCTACACCCTCAGGTTTCCCCACCTTGGCCTTTGCTGCAATCACAAAAGCAAAGCCGTTGGACCCGACAGTACCGGACTGGGGAACAAGGGAGAATGTGAAGTTGACGCTGAAAGCCAACTCCACGCCACATCCCGAGGTGGCACCAGCCGGATAGGCAAACAGGGTCACAGGCTTTGCCAAGAACCTCCCCACTGTCTCCCGCTGCGTGCCCTTGGTGAGCACGGAGAATGGGGGGAGAATAGGCTTGCTGACAGGGAGGGTATTGACCCAGCCTGCAAAGATGCAAGGGATGGCAACAGAGCACGAGGAAGGGTGAGAGCATTGTTTGCTAAGTTATCTGGAAAAAATCATGTGGCAAGAACTTTGAGGGTGCCGTCCATAGTTTAGGGGGGCACATGCATGCATAGTGCTGCAGATTGATCAAGCATGGAGATGTGTGCGATAACAAAAAACAACAGCGCTCAAGAATTGAAAAGAATAGTCATTACCTTCAGCAGCACAGGTGTTTCCTTGAAGCTGCACAAACCCCGGTTTACACCATATGCACGTTGGCACCAAGCTGGGCCCGTCTGGGTGGCAGATGCCATGCCCTTCACACGCAGCAGTGGCATTGGAGATGCCGCAGAACGCCACACACTCTGCTGCAGGCCGCTGCACCTCCGAGGCACAGTCATTGTGCGGTGTGAAGCAGTTGGCAATGGTATTGTGTTGTCGGCAGTCCGGTCCAAGCAGAGGACCCGACAAGTAGTTGCTGGAGAGGTCCATTTTGAGCTGCGTGACTTCCACAAGGGGGCCTGTGAGGTAGTTGTGCGAGAGATCACTGCAAGGGGGAGAAGGAAGGGGGGGGAGAGGAGAGGGAGGTGTGGGCGGTGGGGTGGAATAGCAAAAGCAGGAAGGGGGTTTGGCGAGGGATACTAAGACGACCTGGAATGTGAATGTGAATGTGAATGTGATGAGGTGATGTGCAGTGCAGAAGAAGGGGTTCAGCAGAAAATAAGGAATGTACGGAAAACCGCTGCATTACGGTGATATGGGTGGCATATCCAGCAGCAATGCACTGCTCCCATGAGCTACCACCATACAAAACAAATTTGATCAAAGTCCAGGTGTGCAAGAGCGTGCATAATAGAACGGAAGATTAGAAAACGGCAGGAGGAAATAGAATCATAGCGGGGAAGAGCGTACGAGCAAGAGCGTGAAGATTCATGAGAAAACAGAAGAACGGGAGTGTGCTTCTAGCAGAGCGAAGAGGTGCGTCGCACCACTTTCTTAGCTGTGTCATCTGCGTGAGTGTAGCAGGTATGCTTCCATACAGCTGGTTGAATGCCACTTCCCTGATGATCATGAATGGGGGCCAGGGGGAAGGGGGGGTGTTGGGGAGGGAGGAGTGGGATATAGGGAGGGTTGGAAAAGCGGTGAATTGAAACGGATGAAAAAAAGCAGGACTCGCACAAGGCGATGGTTTCTGCTTGAATAAAACAAGGTTTGAAGTAGGGGTGGTACAATACAGCAAGTGTTGGCTGAGTATGTTAGGGGTTTGACCAATGAGTTGGCATGCTGCTATGTGTATGCTTAAAACTGACTTGCTGAGTGCTGTGCAGCTTGAGAGAAAGGTCCAGCCCTTTCCATACTGTGGGGGGTTTGTGGCGACTTACAGGTATTGTAAAGCAGTGAGCCTGCCAATGGCGTCGGGAATTGTTCCAGAAAGATGATTGCTATGGACCCTCCTGCAGATGCAGGAGAGCGCAGCGAGAGATTCAATGCTTGGGTGATGCGCAATTCAGTCTGGTGCTTGGATATCTCGCACTCGCAGTTCTCTCTCACACTCTGGTGCAGTGTTGCGAGAGTGCTTTTGAGGCGCCTCAAAAGCACTCTAGTGCAGTGCAGTGTTGCGAGAGAGAAGCGAGTGTGAGAAGCGAGTGTGAGATATCCTAAGGGAAGGTCTGAAGAACGAGGCCACTGACTGAGCCATGCGCAAGTGTTACGCATGCAAGCGCTACACATGTTTTCAAAGAGCTTATGGGTCGAAAACGTTCGATTAACAATGACTGTTAGGCAACAGCATAGGCACAGAGGCATGGAGGTGTGGAGGCATGCAGGGGTCGAAACTTTCTTGCTTCTGTGATAAATGCAAGCCACACTGGAAAGCTCACCACTGAAACCGGAGGGAAAGAAAGAACTAGCCCTTACAATGACCAAAGAAGGGAAAGCTTGCTGATTGCTGAAGGAATGGGTCCCGCGAGCCTGTTCATGCTGAGCTCCCTGCACAGGTGCGGGCAGCAGCAAGCAGAGGGCCAGAGGTTGTTGGATGCAGGGTAGCACCACGCAGTGCAGGTAAAAGATGAAACAAGCTCGAGGGCTTGTTCATGCTGAGCTCCCTGCACACACACACACGCGCACGCATGCAGCAACCGGACGGCCACACTCTCACTCCACGCCATGGTCTCACATTAAGAGCCTTAATGCATGCTAGGCTACGCCATGCTCAGTCGGTTGCGGGTGAAGAGAGGCATTGTGCCAGAAGGAGCTTACACCAGAACACAGTCTACTATTTGGATTGGAAGTAAGACGCAGGCAATGCGAAGGATGGGATGGGCAAGGAGTGAGGGATGTGATGGTGAGGATGGGTGTTTGGGTGTTACAGCCACAGCAGATCCACGAGTGAGGAGATGCTCTCTGGTATGTCGCCGTCCAGCTCGTTCTGCTCCAGATCCCTGCCGCGCGTTGCGTTGCCAAGAAAAGAGGCCTCAGAGGCTAGCAAAGAAAACCAACGTGCGGAGCCGGGCATGTAGCAGGAAATCTGAAGGGGCTAGATATGACACATTTTAGACAACACAAAGACCAGTTTTGAGGCGCCTCAAATCTGAAGGGGCTAGATAGGACACATTTTACACAACACGAAGACCCAAAGACAGTGCAAACTAGCCGGTCAGATGTGAGCAGGTGTGAAGGTGAGAAATTGTTTGGTTCGTGTCAACAACCCGAGGAGGTGAGCGAGACAACAAAGGTCATGCACCAATAAAAATGTTGCGAAAGAAGTTCACCTTAGCATCCTGGTAGGAAGGAGAGAGGCATGAGGAGGTGAATGGGGCATGGGCATATAGGTGAGCATCTCATCTCAGTCAACCAAGAGTCAGATCACGAGAAGTGGCACATATGAGGTCAGGAGGAGGGTTGGGGAGAAGCGGAGACATAGCAGCACTGACAGGCCTCGGAGATTTCTCAGCCTGCTGATGGATGGCGGGATGGGCCCTGTCAAGCGATTGCTGCCAAGGTCCCTGGGGCACAGCACAGGGGAGAGGGCGCGATGAGAAGTAGAGGACAGGACGTGTGGCTATGCTGAGCTTTGTGAAAAAATCCCTTTTCTGTGACTGTACTGTACAGGTGCGACGAAGTGGCTAGAGGCTTTAGAGGTCAGCAAAGAGAGATTGGTGGGATGAGCTGACTGCTGCTGGTACAGCTGAAAGAGGGAGCCATGCAGCGCTACTACTAGCAGCTTCAGTGTAAGCAACCCTCGATACCAATGTAGACTGTTGTGGTGAAAGTATGGAGAGGAGAGGCAGCGATGGGAGAGAGAGAGAGAGAGTGAGGCCGTACAGGTAAACCAGGTTTGTAAGGCTGGCCATTGCAGCTGGGATGAAGCCAGTGAGCTGGTTGCCAGAAAGATACCTGTTGTGATGAAAGAGAATTAGACGTCTGGTAGTTTAAGGTAGACGGTTCAAGTTCATATAGGTACTGAATACCAATGCAGCAACTCGCTCCCAATTACTCGGCCAGCAAGGAATTGACCAGAGACTTGCAGCCACGAACTTAACCCTATGAGAATGTCTGCGGACATTCCATCTCGCAAGCACGAGGATGGTGGGTGGAGAGGAGAGGAGGGGCAGAGAGTTGAGGGCGCAACAGAGGAAAGAAGGCTTACAGGCTTGAAAGGTGTGTAAGATTGCCGATAGCAGTGGGGATTGAACCGGTGAGCTGGTTTTCTTGGAGAGATCTGTGATAATGAGCATGAATGAGGCAAGACAACAACAGGAAGAGAGCTTGAGCTCGCACGGAAACACAAACAAACAGATAGGAACAGCTACATCGGTCGGTACGCAAACGCCAAGAGCATTGGCAGAGCCAGGAAGGCAGCGATACAATATCATATGAGAACTGCCCTGAGATGCGAGCAGATGATTAGAGGGAGGTAGGGGAAGCGAGGAGAGAGGTCCGTTCCGAAGAGTGAGTCATGTGCGCATAGAATGTGGGCGCATGGAAGAAAGCATAGAAGATCGGATGGAAGATTGCATGGAAGCGGGAGGAGGGATGGGGGGGGGGGGGAGGGAATGGGGGGAGGATGACGAGAGTGAGAGGTGCGGTGAAGGGAAAGGAAAGAGGGAAGACGAGGAAGGGGATGTGAACATAGAGGAGAAGAATGCGAAATGGGAAGTTATGCGCAAGAACAAGAAAGTGGGGCCTTACATGTAAACCAGGTTAATAAGGCTGCCAATAGCATCGGGTATTGAGCCAATGAGCTGATTGTCTTGAAGGTAGCTGTAATGGCAATGATAGGAGAGGAAAAAGGAGGGGAGGGTTGCATGAAGAGGGCAGGAAACTGCTAAGAAAGATTCGGAATGGGCCGAAAAGGTAAGTGGGAAGCCCAAAGCAGAGGCCTTACAGAAATACCAGGTTTTTAAGGTTGCCGATTGAGGCGGGGATCGAGCCACTGAGCTGATTGTTGGAAAGATATCTGTGATGAAGAATGCGAAGCAGGAAAGAAAAGAAGAATGCAAAGGCTCTGAGCTGGAGCGGACGGCAGGTGAGAGAAAGAAATGTGGAACAAGACGAAGATAAGGTGTGTGACGTGAAGGAAATAGAGAGGGAGGAGAAAAGGAGGACAAGGGCAATGAATGCGATGGAGGAGGAAGAAACGAGAAGCAAACGGAGCAGAGAAAATGTGAGAACGAAGGGACGAGACTAATGGAGGACAGACAGACGTTGAGCAAAAGAAGAGAAGACGAATTGTACTTGAACAAAGACCACAATGAGCTAAAGTAAAGGCCATGCACTTCTTCCAACGCGCTCAATGAGCCATTGGTAGCGAAGATAGAGCTAGCAAGCACGCGTAACACCGGCCTAGCTGCTGGCAGTTGTGGAAGCTGCCTTGTAGCTTGGCACTTGTGCGACCCCTGGGCTAGATACCAATGCAGCCATCCGCCCACCCCCCTAGCTACTCGGCACAGCAAGGAATCAACCAGAGTCTCGCACCCACGAAGTTGGCCCTATGAGAATGTCCACAGACATTCCATCTCGCCCCAAATCCGTGATCTGGGATCCCTCGAATTGGACAAATCCAAATTGCGATCCATGCATGAAGTACCATGCATGAAGTACCATGCATGAAGTACCATGCATGAAGTACCATGCATGAAGTACCATGCATGAAGTACCATGCATGAAGTACCATGCATGCAGTACCATGCATGAAGTACCATGCATGAAGTACCATGCATGAAGTACCATGCATGCAGTACCATGCATGAAGTACCATGCATGAAGTACCATGCATGAAGTACCATGCATGAAGTACCATGCATGAAGCACCATGCTTGCAGTACCATGCATGAAGTACCATGCATGAAGTACCATGCATGAAGTACCATGCATGAAGTACCATGCATGAAGTACCATGCATGCAGTACCATGCATGAAGTACCATGCATGAAGTACCATGCATGAAGTACCATGCATGAAGTACCATGCATGCACCTCATTAGCTCGAAGTACTCAAGTGGTGGAATGTGGACTGGGGAGGGAAAAAATGTACGAAGCGAGGGCGGAGGAAAAAGATCGGGGGGGGGGGGGGGGGCGGGCGGCGGAGTGCACCGCAATGAAGAGGACTTACAGGCCAAACAGGTTGGTAAGATCGCCGATTGTAGCAGGGATTGAGCCAGTGAGGTGGTTGTCAGAGAGGCCTCTGTGACGACGATGAGCACGAATGAATCAGGCATGTGATACGAAGGAAGAAGCAGAGAACTCAAGCTCGCAGGGCAACAGAAAGTACATAGGAGGTGGAGCGATAGATGGGGGCGGAATTCTTTAAGAATCCAAAGCAACGCGGCAAAGGCAGCGTGATGAACATGGCCCAGGAATCTATTTTTGAGGCGCCTCAAAAATAGACTCCCAGGAATGCGATGAAAAAAAAGTCTTACAGGTATCCCAGGTTTGTAAGATTGCCAATTGCACCAGGGATTGAGCCACTGAGTTGATTTTCAGCCAAATTTCTGTGATGATGAGCCAAAATCAGGCCGCGCGATAGATGAAGGCGGCCGTGAGTAGAATGGAGCGGAGAGGAGAAAAACGTAGAGGGTTGAATGAAGTGTTATGGAGAAACGGGGCAATAACAAAAGCAGGGGGGGACTCCTGGAGAGGAGAGGAGGGGCAGAGATTGGAGCGAGCAACAAAGCAGAGAGAGGAAGGCCTTACAGATCTGTCAGGTTCTCAAGATCGCCAGCTGCAGCAGGGATGGAGCCAGTGAGCTGATTGCCCCTAAGATGACTGCGATGACAAACGCGAATGGTGCAACAACACGCAGAGAGTTCGCAGAGAGTTCAAGCTCACATGGAAACGAACTGTGGATAGAGCAACTACATCGGTTGACTAAATTCCTAAACGCAACCCTTGACTAAGGGTAAGCGGGTTGAGCAGACAGGTGAGAGGGCGGCAGAGGGATGTACAGGTTTCTGAGCTTCCTGAGGTTGCTGATGGAGTCCGGAATGGGCCCTCGCAGGTTCATGCTCCATAGGTTCCTGCTCAAAGCCATGCCGCAAGAAGGACAAGGATTAGAGCAGTGGGGACACTGTGCTGTATGTATGGGAGCATTCCCCCCGCATGTGCGCACTGTGGGAGCATCCCCCGTGCATGGGTGCAGTCGCAGAGGCAATGGTCTCACATGCCCACGATCATGCCCCTGCTGTCACAGCTGATGTAGGGCGCCGCTGCACACTCGGGGTTGGCGTTACCACCGCAGGTGTAACGCCTGTGCCTGTGCCTCCCAACAAACCTAGCAGGTCCCCATCCGCACAAAGACTTGCTGCAACGCACCATCCCACCCCGGCCGGTCCAGACGTCCCAAAGATCCCACGTGGTCCTACAATGGCCCCCCTGAGTCGACTCAAAATGCGCGCAGAGGCGATGGTCTCACATGGCGACGATCATGCCGCTGCTGTCGCAGCTGATGTAGGGCGCCGTAGCACACTCGGGGTTGGCGCCACTCCACCCGTCAAAGTGCCGATTCCACGCTTTCTGGCAGTCCTGCAGGAATTGCACTGCGGGTTGGTGGAGGGGACAGGGCAATGGGGAGAGGGGAAAGGGAGAGGGGGTTTGGGGGGGTGGGGGGGAAGGTTGTGGGGCGGCGGAGGTGGGGTTGGAAGAGGCGGAAACGGGAAGTCGGTGCAACACGAGAACGGGTGAGGAGCGCACGTAGCGATGGGGTGGGGTGCTAGAGCAGCAGCCACGGTATTCGACGAACGATAATGAGTGACTAACGTTCTAACGGACCGCCTCTCACCGTGCACGGCCTCTCACCGAGCACGGCCTCTCACCTTGCGACGCCTCGAGCGGCTGGGTGTTGACCGTGGTGACGCCGTGCGTCACGGCAAGGGCGGCGAGGTACCATGCGACGGCCAGCGCGCGCTGCATATGCTCACGAGCCATCCCCTGGCGGCTCACCGCCGCCGCTGGAGCTCGACTCGAGTCCGGGCAGGCGACGCTGGAGCGTCGCATGCTGGCAGCCCACGCGGCTGCGGATATCACTAACGCAACTGGTATCAGAGAAGTCCTGTGCTGCTCGCGACGACTCTCGCTCCGAGGCGTGCTGCAGTGCGGGGGATGATGAAGTCGCAGACGGGTGTGAGCGCGGCGGCGCCGTCGCATGTGCGTCCCGTGCCTTCGACGTGCATACTAGTAGTCACTACTACGGTAGTTTGTGGCTAAAGCAATCCGTATACGCCGCTACGTAGGCCACGTACGGTACGAAGTCCCTTCGATCTAGTACTTCGTGCAGTCTAAGATATCAGAATACGGTCACACCGAGAACTCTACTGTACGCTGAGGCTCGGTTCGGGGCGGGGGACTCCTAACCTAGTAACGCGCTGAGCAGTGCCCTGGAGGCATGGTACTGTACACTATCGTGGTTGGTGTCGGAGTGGCTTCATCTGGGGGAGGGTGTAGGACAGTGCATATCGTGATTCTTGTCTTTTCCCCAGCGGAACAATCCAGATTGCAATCCTACCTACCGCATTCTCAGCATGACATGCTTTGACTCTGAATCTGATTGGCTGCAGTCGGAGCTATAGCGAAAAGTAAGAAAATCATTTCGACAATTTCGAGCTTTAGAGACTGGTGGCGTAACATTGATAACTTGGGTTGTAATCAGTCTCATAAGTAAGAAACCCAAGTGTACCTCTGAGTGAGGACAAATCGAAACCAGCTTTTAGTTCTTCTGTAGGCGTTCTTTAGAGGGGATTTTTGCGAGCTTCAAAACGACGTGTACTCTGGATTGCAGTCACCATGGTCGAACACAGCCAATTGAATTCGTTTTCTTTGAGTTTCTTTCATACCAGAGTGTTCAACGCGATGTTCATTCAGCAAATACGAATGCAGCAGCCAGAACCACCGCCATGGCTTTGCGTGCAATGCAACTCCCTTCAAACCCTAGCTCTGTGCAGACTGACATTGTACGTGAACGCATCTCGAATGGGCTGGCTATGGGGTCGCGGTACTTGAGAATCCAGCCTTATTCGGACGCACGAAGCAAACCTGATGGTAGTCCTCGTTATTATGAAACCCGAATCTCCACATTCCGTTCATCGGCCTGAGTCAAAAGGTCCCAGGCCGCGACTAGCCTACTAGTCGCGTGGACGCCATAGCGTCGAAGGCGGCATGTCGTTCGAGGTTAGTTTCAGAGTCCCTGCCGACTTGATTCGCCGCGAGACCGCCGATCATCATGGCGACGAGGCCACGGCAACAACACGCCCCGCCGGCGGCGGCCACGGCGCCCGCAGCTCCACGGACCGCCATTCTGGGTGCAGACCTTCCGCACCATCCCACGTGGACGTCCACGTGGCTGTGTCTCCAGAGGAGCCCCTCCGATCAGTCTTCCGCAGGCTGTTTCAATCGCACCTGCCCAACTGCTGCTTGCCATGCGACGCACGCGACGGCGTACAGGGTGGCGGGGAATGGGAGGGAGAGGCGCTGGCGGGACAGGTGGTGCGGTTCATGGTTGTGGGACAGGTGGTGTACCTCTCGCCTCACGTGAACGTCCAGAAAGCTAAGCTCGAGCCGGGGTCGATCATCAAAGTGCTTCCCGTGAAGGCAGTGCGTGGAGAAGGATTGGTTATGGGCAAGGAGAACGTTGTACGGGGGGATGACACGCCTGCTGCTGCGCCAGTTGCTGCGCCTGTTGCTGCGCCTGCTGCTGCGCCTGCTGCTGCGCCTGCTGCTGCGCCTGTTGCTGCGCCTGCTGCTGCGCCTGTTGCTGCGCCTGTTGCTGCGCCAGTTGCTGCGCTTGCTGCTGCGCCTGTTGCTGCGCCTGCTGCTGCGCCTGTTGCTGCGCCTGTTGCTGCGCCTGTTGCTGTGCCTGCTGCTGCTACTCGTCATGTCGTGGCATCTGCTCTTCCCCCTGACATTTCCACTGCTGCACCTGCTGCCTCCACCCCAAGCTCTATCGACTACAGCAAGTGGGATCATTTCGGCTCCAGCAGCGACGAGGAGGGGGAGGAGGAGGGGGAGGAGGAGGGGGAGGAGGAGGGGGAGGAGGAGGGGGAGGAGGAGGGGGAGGAGGAGGGGGAGGAGGAGGGGGAGGAGGAGGGGGAGGAGGAGGAGGGAGAGAAGGAGCAAGTAGGTGCAAGAAAGGTTGGTGGAGGGAAGGAGCGGGAGAAGCTTCAGCTGGTGTGTCGGGCGGACATGGTGCACTCTCTGGACGTGAGGGACGGGTGGGATGTGGTGGCGTGCGACAGCTGCTTCGACCATGCGCTCACCCGCAACGCCAAGTACGCGCTGCAGATGCAGAGCCTCGAGGTCTTTCGCTTTCACCTGCGCCAGCACCAGCACGGATCCCTCCCCCTCGCGCCGCCAAACCGCCAAACCAAGGCCATTGAACGGTACTCTAGAAGGGTACCGGTGCGGTCGTTGGGTGGGAGGCGGGGGCTGTCGCGTGATGAGCAGTTTGAGTGGAAGTGCGAGAAGGCGCCTTACCTTTGTGCGGAAACCATGGTTCTCGAGTGGCTGGCTGAGCCCCGTGTGGGCGTGCTCATGGACTTGGGGAGGGTCAGATCCCGCCTGCCCGCCATCCTCCTGGCTGCTTCGAACTCCTCGGCTCGAGCTGTTGCCACTGATCCTATTTCACGTTCAACTGCTGCTGCTGCTGCGTCTGGAGAGTGGGCGTGCTGCTGGCGCTGCCGCAGCTGCTGGGCTGCCTACCGCCGTGCGGTGAGCTTCGCTGCCTTCCTCGTGCTTGTGGCGAGGTGCCCGTGCTTTGTGCCTCTGTGGAAGGCGCACTCGGACACGCACGATGTGGCATACCCAGCCATTGTGGCCGAGCTGGGGGCGGGCAGGCAGGAGGAGGAGGGCGAGCGCTTTGCCTCCCTGCTCGTGCAGATGCTCGGGGTGAAGGAGAGTGCTGCCCTGGAGGAAGGCTTCGGGGTCTTCGTGCAGAATTTGCTGCCAGGCGGCCCGAGGGACCATGCGGGGGCCAATGGGAGAGCTGGAAGGCAGAATGTGGCAGAGGGGTTTGCATTTAAGGGGGGTTGCAGAGCACATGGGGGGGGATAGCCCGTTGGAGCAGTTTCTGGGAGCTGTGATGGGCATGATGGGCGGTGAGGGGTGTGTGGGGCCACAAGGCGTGATGGGAATGGGGGGAGGTGGTGGAGGCACGGAGGGGGAGGGAGACGCCACGATGATATGCATGCTGAAAGGGGCTGATGGGGTTGGAGGACAGGGGGAGAACGATCGTGAGAGCATGGATGAGGATGGGCAATGGAGGGAGCGGCTCAAGGGGCCTGTGTGGGAGAGGTATGTGGATGGCATGGCTTGCATTCTGGAGCATGGAGGGGGGGAAGGGAGGGAGTTCAGGTGCAGCCATTGCAGTGAGGGCAGCAGCAGCAGCAGCGGCGGCAATGGCAGCAGCAGGAGTGACAGCAGCAGCTGCGGCAGTGAAAGCAAGTGCAGGAATGTAAAAGGCAAGGGCGTCCCCAAGGGTATGTACGTGAGTGGCGTGGGTGCGACGGACGTGGCCATTGCAGTTGCAAATGTGTTCTCCAAGCCCGAGTTCCGCAAGCATGGGGACATGTTCTTCCTCGACCTCCACCACAATGTACTCAAGACAAGGGTGGAGGACGCGGCCATTGAGGCCGCCAGGCACAGGCTGCGAGGGGACATGGGTGAGAGGGGAGGAGCCGGTGGGGGGACGGGGGGAGCAGCCACAGGTACAGCAGCAGCAGTGCCATGGGCCGTAGTTCCGCAACTGCTGATAGCCACAGGTGCAGCAGCAGCACTGCAGCAAACAGCAGTGGCTGCAGTGCCATCAACAGTGGCAGCATTGCCGTCAGCAGTGTTTGTGCAGTTGCTGGTAGCCACCGCAGTAGCAACAGTGTTTTCCTCAGCAGTCGCAGCTGCTGCTCCAAGTGCTGCTGCCACAGCCAATAGTGCTCCCACTGCAACTTCTGCATCGGCTCACTGCAGCTCCATTCCCAACCCTAAACTCGTGCCTGTCAACACGAACCCTGTGGTTGCAGTCTTGACACATCGAGTTGCTTGCATCTTGCAGTGGGTCCGAATCTATGGCTCAGATTTCATCTCTGCAAGGGAGTGCTTCAAGGACAGCCCACAGGGCAAGGTATTGCCCATGCGCCACCCGCTTCGGGACCTACCGAGCCTGCTCAGGCTCGGCGCTATCCCCAAGCCTCAGGACCCGGGTAGCTTTCCCCTAGAGTGGGAGGAGTGGCCGGAGGGCGATGAAGCTGCTGTGAAGCTTCCTGATGATGGGAGTGTGAGATGTTTTCGGCTGGGGATTGTGCAAGAGAGTGGGACAGCGGAGGAGGGCAGGTGTGGTGTCTCTCCACCGGCTGATGGTCCTGCTGGGCACGCATCAAGGGCAGGAGGTACGGGCACGGCGACACGCGGCCGAGGAGGAGGAAGGGGGTCCGGCAGGGGCAGTGGTAGGAGAGGCGGAAGAGGCAGCGGGTCCGCGCCAAGGCGAGGAAGCGTGGAGGCATCTCTGGAAGGAGCCATGGCGCCGCCCAACAGAACACGGCCCATGGTGTGCTGCACGGCCGATGCGGAATTTCTGGTGGAGTTTGCGGGCAGCCTGATGGCCCCCCCAGCGTGCGCGCAGTGCAAGCAGTGCATTCAGCAGTTCATGCACCACTTCCCCTTCCTCGCGCTCGCCGCCAACTTCGCCTACCGCCCCGCCACCCTGCTCTTCAACCGCTTCGTGTCTGTGTTCCCACCGCACTCCACCGAGTTCAACCAGCTCGTGGGGCTGCTGCAGCTGGACCCGTTCCCCCGGGACGTGCCCGCGTTCTTCAACGTGCACGTGGTGCGCGAGTGCGCGGAGCAGCTGCCCCTGCTGTTCCTCATCGACGTGGCGCTCCACTGGCCCACGGCCGTGCTGCGCATGGACGAGCTCGAGGGCCTGGGCCAGAACGAGCGCAGCCCGGGCGAGCGGAGGTGCACGCGGAAAAAGGCCGAGAAGAAAGGGAGGAGGAGGGGCAGTGTGAAGGGCGGGGTTGGTGGGGGGGCAGAGGAAGAGGAGGAGGAGGAGGAGGAGGAAGATGGGGATGTGTGGGGGGAGGTGCGACACTGGTGCCTTGCGACGAACATTGCTTGGACAGAGGCGGTGGTGGAGCTCAGTGACACGTGCAAGGGCAGGCCGGAGGACGTCCCGCAGCCGTGTGATGTGAAGGTGGCTGCTGAGATGTGCCGACGGGCTGCACGCACCAGGTTCTCTGAGGACCTGTGCGATGGGCGAGTGGCTGACACTGGCGGTACCACTGCCGCGAGTACTGGCAGCAGCAACAGCAGCTGCGGCGGCAGCGGCAGTGGTGGGGAAGGTGGGGAGAAGAGGAAAGACAAGGTGCCAGCCTATTTGAAGCCGTGGCCGGGGGGGGTCAATCTGGTGGCATGTCTGCGAGAGATGCTGCTGGGGCAGCCATGCTACCGCCCTGCCCCCTGTGCTGCCTCTTCCTCCCCTGCTTCTGTAAACTCCATTGCTGAAGTGACCACTTGTGCTGCAACAAACAGTGCTAGTGAATCGAGCACTGCAGCTGCAGCCATCTCACACGTAGGAGCAACTTCCAACGCAAAAGACTGTGCTCCTGCGCCTTCCAAGGCACGTGTGTGTGGCTCTGCAGGGTGTGGGAAGGTGGAGGGTGGCGGAGTGAAGCTGAAGAGCTGCTCTGGGTGTGGCAAGGTGGCGTATTGCAGCAGAGACTGCCAAAAGGCGCACTGGCCCTCCCACAAGCTCGCATGCCCAGGCAGGGTCAATGGCAAGAGGATTAGGAAGGATGGTGGCAAAGATGGGGGCACGAGCAGTGGCCACACCAGTGGCAAGGTCAGTGGTGGGAGGAAGGTGAAGTGAAGGAATGAGGTATTGAATGCTGCAGCGGTGACTGCTAGGGACACTACTGCTGCATCCTGTCCTTGACACGTGAGGCTGCTTTCAGTACAGTGCAACAAGGTGTGAGGCTGCTGGTGTTGGGGTACTGGCTGGTGTACCTACTGCTGGGTGGGTTTGCTGGTGCGGTTATGGCTGATGTGTCTCCTGCTACCAGCTTGTCTCTCGTATGCCTGCATGCTGGCATTGACTCGCGTGGCCCCTGCCTGGATCATCACACATTAGGCTGAGCTTGTTCCATGGATGTTGTGCACTAGTTCCCCCCCTGCACTGTCTCCTTTCCCTGCATTGTCTCACTTGTGGTGCTCTCACTTGTTACTACCCACCTTTTCTCCTGGCAGGTCTGAAGACTTGTCACTTGGTTCTTCTTTCACCTGGCCTGTGAGGGATGTCCAAGCCGCTTGGTGCCTTACAGACATACGAGTTGCCACGTCATGTCCTGCCATCTTCATGGTGATGAACCTGGCGGCTGTGCAAGGCCATTGGTGGTGGTCACTGGGAGGGGCAGCAACATATGGATGACCACCATGAAATTCACTATACTCAAAGCCACAAGCAAATCGTCAACATGGCCTCTCTTGTTGCTGCTGATCCGGAGTCGGTACGACTGCTTGCCATTGGCCAGTCGGTCATACAAACCTGTTAAGAAAAAAAGGAGACTTAGATTCTCCTGATGCGCAGGCCCCAAATTGATATGGTGAAATGCTCCGATTACCCTGATTTTTATACTTAGTTTTGAATGGTGCTAATGTTCAAAGCTTCTCTTACCTTGATGTAAGAAGTTTCTAGGATTTTCCACCTCTTGGAAATCAGTGTTGCTTAGGTGCTAGCTCTGATTTTAGCGATGCTTGGTACTAGTACCAGAGGCTCAGATACCTTTTAGGCAGGCTGATTGCTCAGGCTTCCCATTCCGAGAGCCCATTTTTTTTTTGGGTTGCGGAGCAACCTATTGCGATCGATCGGGCTGGCTTTTTTTTTTTCCAAGTTCGTGGAATAAAAATCAAATGTTTGTTGTGATGGAAATAAATCATTTTATGTATAATAAAGTCTCATCATGAAATGCTCCGCAACCCAAAGACGATCTCGTCGCCTCTTGTGTTTTTGCATTCTGTGACGAACCAACGACGGTTTCTGAGGTGCTGCGAGGCTGTACCGGGCACCTTACAAAAGCCAAGTTCCACCCACGGTGTGAAACGTGTTCAGTTAAGCAAGGATCATTCATTGCATCCAGACGCCAACAGCATTCCCTGACCTGAGATAAATATTGAGGCTTGATGCGTATCAGAGGCGTCTCACCGCACACGAACCCTCTGCTCTCATGCCAGTTGCTTCCGGTGGCACTGAATGGCGAGGAACTCTCGGCTAAGTTCCAAGATCCATCCCCTCCGCGTTTACTAATAACCTTGGAGTTCAATTCCCACAACTCATGCAGCGTTTAGCGGCATTGCCAAAACGCACCCGATCGCTAGAATAAACTAAGCGTTTGTACTGGCCCTTTTATTTTTCGACCCTGTTTTTTTTTCGCAGCCGTGCCAAATTCTGGTTTCGAAGTTGCTGCTTTCTTGATCTGTCAAACCATAGGCACCTCACCAACTTCATCCCCTCAAAACCCTCGAACGTCTGAAAGCCTCGGAACCTTGCGTCACATTCAGTTCAGCTCTTGTGTCAGCCGTTCTCTTGAAACCCCAGTTTGCTGTTCAGAGCTCTTATTTCAACTTTCGTGACCAGTAACGCCACTCACTTTTCAGGTCGCAACTTTAGGCGACACAAGTCTCCAGCAGAAATTTGCTGAGTGACACAGCCTGCTTCGTGAAGATTATTGAAGAAATTTGCAACATGGAACCCCAGCCAGAGTCCAACACCCCCAGCCCTGAATCAGCTGCACCACAACCAGTGGAACAGGCCGCCGAAGCAGCCGAACCAGGTGAAGTCGCTGCTGATACTGAAGACACTGCTGGTCTTGAAAAAGGAGCAGTTGCTGCTGTTGAAAACACAGCAGCCATTGAAGGCTCAGCGGCTATTGAAGGCACAGAAGGCGCTCCTTCCAATACTCCTAGAGGCGATTCCGTCGGGACAGCAGGAGACGAAGGGACAGCTAACGCCAATCGCGGACATTGGAGAGAGGATGAGGTCGTGGAGCTTGTTAAAGCCCACGTCGAGCTGGATCCCGAGTACCACATCATGCGGGGAGTCCAAGGCTCGAATTACTACGGCGAATTGTACCGAATTCTGCGAGCGAAATTTCCCGCGTTCCGCCACACGGAGGGGTCCGTGAAGACGAAGCTCTTCCGTCTGAAAGGACAATACCTGCAGTTACGAGACCGGCTTGAACGGTCGGCTTCGGCTCCCCGAAATCTTCCGGAATGGTTCGTCCTCCTGGATACTGTCATGGTGAAAGAGTCTGGCAGTCGCCAGAATGCGATGGCGGCGAGCCAACCAGGATCTCGTTTCACGAATCCGTCGGCAAGCCCAGGTACGACCCTTTTTGGAATTAAATCGCCAGCGTCTGACAAGGCCTTGTTTGAAACACCGCAAGTTCATTTATACTCTTCAGACGATTTACGTTATGTGAAATAGGAAATTTCTTGTTTCGTTCTTCCCATTAGTCTGTTTCAGTAAGCCCAATGTTTGAATCCTCGTGTGCAGGTCGTATGACGGCCCTCTTGACAAGTGCTGGAGAAGGGAAGAAGCTTCTCTCAGCCGAGACGCCAGCGTACGCGTTTCCCGTCACGCCAACATGGCCAGACCCAGTAGGCCAAAGCGGCTCCATGAGGAACACCATGTTTCAAAATGTGGCTTCAACACCGACAGCAGTTCCAGGAGGGCCATCACCACTTCAACCGTTCACAGCCCCAGCAACAATTTCTCCATTTTCAGCTGGCGTATCAGGGAATTATCTGGCGTCCTTGCGTAACACCACCACTCCTGTTCCCATGCGCGACAATAGCAGGCTGAGGATGGGACCTGGTGGGTTGGGTGATGCACGGAAAAGGCGGGGATCGGGGGGAAGAGGGATGGATAAGTTAACAGGAGGTGCTGAGGCTTCCATTGCAGCAGCTATGAGTGAAAAGTTCACTGCTGCCATGGGTGCTGCTGTGAGAAACGCATGCTTCCAGTTTGAAGAGCTTACTCGAGAGGTGCTCGAGAATGCATGCTCTCAGTTTGAGGAGCTTTCCGGTCAATTGGCTGAAAATGCCTGTGCGCAGTTTGAAGACCTCGCAAGAGAGCTGGCTGGGTCGTTTGTGGCTGGGCAAGAAACCAAGCGACGTAGGAGGTAGCGACTTAGTTTGTTGGACGGCGATCGTGGGGTAAATGAAATGGGGAGGATGCAAGCAAGCAAACCTGAGAGTTGTTGATGTCTGTTGATGGCTGTGCTATTGCATGCTGACCATTTCCCAGTGGCCTGCCTAGCTGATCGTAATTGCCTTTTGTCTTTGTTACAGTTGATGAGTAGAAATCATGTACCTTCCACTTCATGCCGTTCATTCACATGAGATCACCCCAGAAACTGCCTATCTGACTAAGAAAGCAAGACCTTTGCCCAATCAGGAAATCTACACTGGTCCAGTACAAAACATGGACAGAGGAGTCCTATAACCACTTATTTCACAGTGAGACCTCCACTCCAGTCTTTCAGTACCTCCTGCGCCTCTTGTGATCCTGTCCAGCCTTCCATGCCTCTGAAAACTCTCTCGCGGCACTCCTAAACTGGAAGCATGCCTTTTCCGCCATCTCAGCCACAAGGCCCTCAAACTCAGCACACGCACTCTCCACCCACTCCTGGGTCATCCCTTGGAAATCAGCAAACGCGTTCTCCACTGCCTCGTCCATCGCAGCACCCAAGCTCTCAGCAGCTGTCATGTAGTCTGCATTGCCAGTCTCAGCATCGTCCCTCTCTCGCCATGCCCATCCCCGCCTGCCCCTCCACCCTGCGGGCCCACCTGCTGCCGCCACCCGCCTCCCTTCTTGGGCAGAAGAGGGAGGCATCCGTCCAGCGTTTCGGGCAGAGGAAGGAGTGACCAGCCTACCAGCAGAGGGGGGAGACATGCGCATACCATCTCGGGCAGAAGAGGGGGACATGCGTCTCTCATTCTGATTAGACGGGGGAGACACGAGCCTACCACCTTGGGCAGCAGGTGGGATGGTGGCGGCTCGCAGGGACTGCAAGTAGCTTCCTCCTGATTCGCCAGCTGCTGGTGAAGGAGCTGTCGCTGTTGCTGGTGCCATAACTGTTGCTGGAGCCAGAGCTTTCGATGCTGCTGGAGCGGGAGTGGTTGGCAAAGCAGCCACGGATCGTGCTGCAACTGACGTCGCAACTGCTGTGGTTGGTGCAGAAACTGAAGATGGTGCAGCAACAGTCGCTGGCGCAGCAGCTGTAGTCGCTGCATAGGTTGCTGATGACCCTCGAGCGGTTGGAGATGCATACCGCAGCGAGTTCGCGCCTGCTGCAGTTGGCAAGCTCGGAAGAGCTGGGAACGCATACGCTGGAGTGTCATTGGATGGAGCCAAGTCTTTGCCACTTGAATCACCTTTTGCACTCTCTTCCTTTGCTACTGCTGCTGCTGCTGCTGCTACAACACCTGTGAACGAAAGATACGGAGAAGGGGGCAGATGAAATGAGCTCTCCCATCACATGTCAAGAATACAACTAGAAGTTTTAAGAAACGCATTAAGACAACAAAAGATTTCAACACTATTGCACAACAAAAAGGTGTCCCCACCAGCACTCATAAACCCAATAAACTGAATAGACAACGCGGAGAAGACATTACTACAGCCCCGCTAAATGAAAATTCTCTCAAGGTCACAACGGATTTTTGCGCACACCAGGCAAGCCCTCGTACCTCTTGACCTCGACGGCAAAGCATGACGAGCTTCTAGTCGGTTCTCCCTCGCCGGGCCCATCGGAATGGCCTCCCTCCAGTTGTACGTATCCCTTTCCATCACCGAATCCATCATCACATACCACTCCGGCAATGGGTCAGTCCGACTAACGGCCGACCGTTCCAGCCGGTTCTGCAGCCGGTAGTAATTATTCTTCATTCGAAGGAGCTTCGATTTGACTGCACCCTGCGAGTGCCGGAAATCGGGATGCTTATGTACAATCAGGGAGTGCAATTCCCTGTAGTAGTTGGACCCATGGATGACTCGTCTGAGGTCGATCTCGCGGTCCAGCTCCACGAAAGCCCGAACGAGCTGCATGACCTCGGTGTCGGACCAGTGCGGTCGCACTCCGTTAACCGCTCGAGCTTCGTCGGCAACCGTTCTGGTTGAATTAACGATGTCCGTGCCATCGAGATCGTCGTCGTCAGCTGCAGCATCATGATAGCGCGAGACTAAGATAGGAACGTCCTGGTTTTCTGTTGGGAGATCTAGGCTGGGTGAGCGGGACTCATACTCGGATTGCATGCTTTCGTTCCGAGTGTGATTGCTGTTGCTGCCCGAACCAGAAGGGACTCGAACTACCCGATCTTCAACGTCAGGAAAAGCGTTCCTCGTTGCAATCTTCAGAGCTAGCCGAGCGTTGCTATCGAGTACGTACAACCAACCGGGAAACCTATGAGGAGCGTTTCTAGTTGCAAACCCCAACGGGATCTACAACGGTGGGCGTCAGTGCCAGTGAGTTCTGGTTTCAAAAAGTTTGCAGCACCTGATTGGGCGACTGAACCGATCTCTAACGTTTTAAAACGTTCTGTAAGCCGCTTCAACGTCTGGGACCCATTTCGGTCTCTTGAACTGGAGCTTGCTCCAAAATACTCAGCGTCTGGCTGGACGCCTGTGGGTGGGTCGTTTCCCTGACCAGCAGGGGTGGTGACTTCCTTGTGAATGGTCGTTTCCACAGTTTAAGTTCGCTTCGTGCCCAAGGCAGACCAGGCCGAAGCAGGGGTTTCAGCTGGTGCGGACGTTCGTAATGTTGGTAATAGAGTTACCAGAAAGACATCTCCTTCGGAATTGGCGGGAATAGGAGGGATGTGCAAACGGTCGCCATGCGCTCGTTTATTCGACAATCCACAACCGCGAAACTGAACTGAACTGTCGCTCAGGTTGGAAAAAACACCAGAGTCGCTCGCAAGCTCATTCGCGATGTCCACTGGCAGGATTGCGTGGAGGGGAGTCTTGCAGTGAAAATATCGTCGGTTGCCTGTAACCAGACAGCAGAACTCCACACCTTTCCGTCCTATCTCCAATGAACCTCGAAGTTCCTCCTCGCCATGGCTCCCACGACACTCTCTCCGAGTCGAACTCTTTTCAGCCTTAACCATGGCTTCTAACAATCGTGTGGTTACGCGCAAACGCCGGCGCGTGGACGACGATCCCACGACCCCGAAACCGGAACCCCCGTTTATCCGGTGGTTGAAGGAAAATCGAGCTGCTGACGTCACCCGCAGGTGGCTTGCTGATGATAGTACTGACCGGGAGCCAGCAGTTACTCTTGACCGACTTATCGGGGTTAGAACCGACCGGGAGATCGGGGTCAGTGACCGTTGGGAGGTGGTAGTACCTGGTAAGTGCGCTCGACGATCGACGACGGCAAGGACGGCTGCGACTCGTTGCGACGCGGACGACAACGAAGACGGCGACGAGGACGGCGACGACGAGTTGGACGGCGATGTGGACCTCGAGTCTGCAGACGACAACTTGGGTGGCTTCAACGAAGGAGCAGGAACGGATATAGAGCGCGGTGGAGCGGAAGCAGGTGAACGAAATGCAGGTAGTAACAGTACTCTCTGTAAAGTCGGCGCAGTGAAGGCGAATCGCGTGTGGAGCGACGCGGAGATGGCGGAGCTGGCAGCGGGGACCTCCTCCGGCAGTAGCGCGCACACGGCTCGCTGCAATGCTACAGGCGCTCGCTGCAATGCTACAGGCTCTCGCTGCAATGCTACAGGCGCTGGTTGCAATGCTACAGACGCTGGTTGCAATGCTACAGACGCTGGTTGCAATGCTACAGACGCTGGTTGCAATGCTACTGGCGCTGGTCGTAATGCTACAGGCGGCGCAGGGAAAAACCGCCTGTGCAGCGACGCAGACATGGTTCTTGAGTTTACTCTTAAGAAGCAGCGCCAGTGGAGCGATGGCGAGATGGCGGAGCTAGCGGCCGCCATGTGGATCACGCGCGGGGAGATCGTCCCCATGCGCGGAGGCATAAGCAGCCACTATTGGCGGAAGATCCGCTGCTTGATCCGGCAGGGGAACCCCGCGTGGTCGCGCCTGCCGGCGGCGATGGCGCGGCAGTGGAAGCGGATGAAGAAGAGGTACGATGGGGCCAGGCACGCTGAGCGGCGCCGGCAGCAGCAGCAGCAGCAGGGGGAGGGGAGAGCGGCTGATGCCGCGGATAGGCTGTTTGGTAACGCGCCGGTGGGGGAGGAGGGGGGAAGGGATGGGGGGAAGGAAGGCGGGGAGGAATGGGGGGAGGAAGAGGGGAAGCCGGAATGGCATGAGTATGTGAGGCTCTATTACTTGGCGGAGCAAAACTCGCCTGACGGTGGTGGTGGTGATGGTGTGGATGAGTGGGAAGACGAGGCAGACGCTACAGCAGCAGGGGGAGCAGGAGAGCCGCACGCAGCAGCAGCAGCAGCAGCAGCAGAGGGACAAAGGGAGACACCAGCATACGCGTTTCCAGAGATCCCAGCACCACTTTTTCCACCATCGCTCCTACCGCCCACAGCAATGGTACCAGCAGCAGCGCCGTTGCCGTTGCTACCTTTGATGGCTGCAGCACCTTGCAGGACTTCCGCATTCGCAACTGGTGGCCCCGACAGCTATCTGATGTCCCTGCGCAGCATGGTCACTCCCGTTACTCCTGTTGCTCCCGTTACTCCTGTTACTCCTGTTACTCCTGTTACTCCTGTTACCGCAGTTGCTGTTGCAGAGTTGGGGAACGGCTCTGAACGACAATGTATCGCAGCCGGCCAAGTCCAACAGAAGCACAGCCGAGAGCCAGAGCTCGTGGTAAGGGGGCGAGGGGCAAGATGGGGGCAGGAAGAGGGTGAAGAAGAAACGGATTCAGAGGAGGAGGAGGAAGAGTCAGGTGCAGGCCATACCTCCTCGGACTCATTGGATGAACGTGAAGCTGCTGCTGCTGGTGGGGGTGGTGGTGCAGGGGCAGGGAGGATGCGGACGAGCAGGCCGTGGAAAGAGGCGGAGTTGACCGAGCTGGCAGCGGCGGTGTGGTCTGCACGGCGCTGGGTGGTGGTGCAGAGGAAAGGGAAGAAGGGCAGGAACTACTGGCGGGAGATCCGGCACGTGATCCGGAGGGGGAACCCGGGGTGGAACCGCCTGCCGTCCGCCATGTCGCAGCAGTGGCACCGCTTGAAGGCCAGGTACCGCGCCCTGAGGGACGCCGACAGGCAGGAGAGAGATGCAGAGAAGGAGTGCGAGCAGGGGGAGAAAGGGTGTGGTAATGGCGTGATGGTGGCTGAGGTGGAGGCAGGCGGGCAGGCAGAGGGGAGGGCAGGAGGGTTGGCTGGGGGCAGGGCAGGGGGGAGGCCAGGGAGGAAGGCAGGGGTAAAAGCAGGGGGAAAGGAAGGGGTAAAACCAGAGTGGTATGAGTATGTGAGACTCTACTGTTTGGAGCGAAACACACCTGACGCGCATGCCGTTGACCATGGTGGGGATGGTGATGGTGGTGATGGTGTGTGGGATGAATGGGATGATGCAGCAGAGGACGTGTGGGATGGTGCACGAGGAAGTGGGCGGGAGGCTGCAGGCGCTGCAGCACCAATTATAGCACCGGATCCAGCAGCAGCAGCAGCAGCAGCAGCAGCGGTTCCAGCGCCATCACCACTTGTACCTTTGACGATCCCTGTGCTGCCAACTGCCTCTCCACTTGCAGCAAGGGGATCCGACAATTATCTCTTATCCCTTCGTAACAGGGTTGCTCCTGTTACCACAGCTCCTGCTCAAGGTCTTACAGAGGTTAGGGTGAGGGCGGCAGCACCCGGTGAGCTGATGGCACATGGGGGGGGAAGCAGAGAGAGAGGGTTGGCGGGGAGAGGAGGAACAGTGATGGGGGAGTCTGTATCTGAGGTGGCTCAAAGATTGTGGGCGGCAACAGCTGGTGGGATGGCGCATGCAGGGGTGAGGAGAGAGAGGGGGTCAGCAGGAGGAGGCACAGAGATGGGTGGGATGGGGGGGTTGGGGGGGATGGGGGGGGTGCGTATGGGACAGGTATTGACAGGTACAAGCGGGGAGAATGCACGGAACTTCCTTGCAGTGAGCATGGGTGAGAGGCTAACTGCTGCAATGGGCGCTGCTGTGAGAAACGCATGCTTTCAGGTGGAGCAGCACTCCCCAGAGGTGGCTCGAAACGTGTGTGCGCAGCTGGAGAGGCTCCGGGGAAAGCTTCTGGAGGATGCCTGCACTCAAGTCGAGCAACTCTCCACCCGACTGGCTGAGAACGCGCGCGGTCAGTTTGAGGGCCTTGTGAGAGAACTGGCTGGGTCTGAGGTGCCGGGCCGCCATGGCAAGAGGCGGAGGAGGTAGCAGTGTTGTGTAGAGGTTTGGATGGCAGTGGTGGTGGCCAGAGCTGGGGGAGTCTATTGAAGTAAACTGGAGTCTGAGTTGGTGGGTCAAGATGGCAAGAGAAAGAGGGGGTATGGTAGCGTTGTAGTTGATTTCATGGCAGAGGCGCATTCCTCCTGAGCTCCAGCCCCATGATACTACGACGAAATCATGCCACATGTGTCAATAACACTAAGTTGCTAATGATAGAATAAGCTACACATGGATACACCTGTAAACCTAACGCTACAGCACTAGGGATACCGCAGCAGGTACAATGCACTTCCATCAGTCTCACCACTGCCACATTCCCTCAACACATTCATCCCCCTCTCCTCCCATCTCTCCCACAACACCCTGCAAGCAGCGTGGAAAAAGGGGTGAGATCCGCCATGCACCTCTCACTAGCCCCCACCATCCATGCCATTCCACCACATGTTCTTTTCACCACCGGCCTGGGAATGCTGCTGCTTGCCTTTTCTGCCTGCCTCACTCACTCCACTCCACTCCCACCGCCTTACCCACGCCACGCCACCCTTCCCTGCACTGCTTGCCCGCCTAGGCTTGGGAATTTGAGACGCACTGCAGGCAGCAGCCGTTGATGCGCTTGCTGCATGCGCTGCTAGTACAGTGCCTGCTTCTCTTGCTGTCGCTGGCGTCTCTCCTGCTGCACCACAGCCAGCGTTAACACCACGACCACTTCACCACCACCAGCCACCACTTCACCACCACCGCTTCACCACAGCCAGCATCAACTGCCTTCACACCAGCAACTGCTTACACCCCAGCACCATCCTTCACCCCAACCACCAAACTTGAAGCGGATAAGACCATCTAGTCACTCCATACAACGCCACAGTCTACTACCCTCAATCCGTACATCATATCCACCCCAAGAGCCTACTTCGCGGGCAGTCTCTAAGGCTCAAAAACTGCAGCATTTTCAGGTCAGCCAGATCCTCTGGCAGTACCTGCAGCTGCAGACTGCCATCCAGTCTAAGACTCCTCAGCCTGCCCAATTGCGCAAACGCTGGAGGGAGACAGCGAAGGGCGGTCCGTTCAACCTGCAGCTCACGCAGGCAGGCGAGCTGGGTGAGAGAACCAGGCAGATGCTGCAGGGCCGGGCAGTCAAACAAGTACAGCTGGCGCAGCCTGGACAGCGCGCCAATGCTCTCAGGCAACTCTCTCAGCTCCCCCGCGCAGTGTACCTGCAGCTTCCTCAGCTGCTGCAGCGCCCACCCCATGTCGCCTGGGAGCCTCTGGAGCTTCGCTGCGCTCCAGATGACCAGGGAGTGCAGCCGTGGGAGCAGCGCCAGGGGGAAGGGCAGCTCCTCCGCATCATCCTGCAGGTGCAGCTCCAGGTGCTTCAGCTGAGGAAAGCTGCTGGTAACAGCCATTCTCTCCTCTGCGCCAACCAGCTTCAGGCACAGCTTCCTCAGCTTCGGCAGCAAGGACACGTCCAGCAGATCGGCCACATGGTAGCTGTTCCCCAGGCTGAGGATCTCGAGAGAGGGCGGCAGAAACGTAGGCGGCTCCGTCTGATCCATGCATCCAGTCAGCTCCAGCCATTTGAGCTTCCCAAGGCTGTCCAGCTTCCTGGGGACTGACGAGAGCTTGACACAGTCATCCACCATGAGGGTTTCAAGGCTCGAGAGGTTCGTCAGGGATTCCGGAAGCTTCTGGAGCAGAGGACAGGAATGGATGTGCAGCTCCTGCAGGCTAGTCAGGGCCCCCATGTCCTCGGGAAGCTCGCGAAGCATGCACATGCCCAGTTCAAGCCGCGTCAAGGACGGCAGCTGGGTGAACGAGGGCGGCAGTCGGCGCTGCTGGTACAGCCCGTTCAGGAAAACGGTCCGCAGCCGGGGCAGCTCGCCAATGTTCTCCGGAAGCGTCACTCGGGGCATCTTCACAATGCCAAGCGTTTCGAGCGCTGTGAGGGAGCAGAAAGCGGCGGGCAGCTGGAGGTCGTTTGGGTGGCTGGCGCACTCAATGAGGAGGAACGTTTCCAGGGCGGCGAGCTGGCAGAGCGAGTCAGGGAGGCCCTCGAGAGGCAGCTTGTGCAGCACCAGCGTTTTCAGCGCCAGCAGACAGCCCAGATCCTCAGGCAGGGTGAACAGGTGGTTGCACTCGGATAGGGTTAAGCTCTCCAGGAGAGGTAGAGAAGCGAGAGGCAGCGACGTGACGTGATCACGAAGGGAATGGGAAGATACGTATTGGCGAAAGGTCAGCTCGCGTAGGCACGGCAGGCGCTCGCCGAAGTCATCAGGGATTTGAGACAGGTACGTCTTTACAATGTCCAGCTGCTCCAGGCTGGTGCATGCCGACGCAGCAGGCAGCATGCGATCGAACCTCAGCGACTTGAGCAGAGGCAGCTGTGCGACGCCAAGCTCCGCAGAGGACTCATGGCCACGGCCAACGTAGGTTTCATCAGAAATTGAAAAGAGAGCAAGGTTTGGGAGGCGAGCGAGGCCAGCCACTTGCTGGGAAGGCATGTATTTGGAGACAACATGGAGGCTGGTAAGCGAGGTCAGGTTGGCAATTCTCGAATCTCCGAGCGGTGAGGCGTTTGTGAGGGCGAGAGTGTGCAGATGCGCGAGGGCGAAGAAGGATGCGGGGAGCTCAGCATCTTCATGGAGGCAGAACAGCGAGAGCTGCTCCAGTTGAGTACTCCGCAGAAAGAATCGCTCCAGGCCAGCGTCTGTGATAGGGTGCTCGCCCTTCCTGGGCGCCTCGACATAAGAACGACTATGCCCCGGCGCGATTCTGCTTCCCACGTGGAGAATCGCCAGCCTAGGGCATGACGACGCCAGGTGCGCGAGGAAGGCGTCGTCTAGAGTCTCCACGCTGCCGTCACACAGGTGCAGATGGGTGAGGTTCGGTAGAGAAGCGACGGCACTTGCGAGAGCTTGGCGAGAAACGGCGAGATTGTTTTCGACGAGAAGTGTGGAGATGTAACGGCGGGAGAGGCGGCGCCAGTGATGGCAGACGGCAGAGATGAGGAGGACGCGGTGCGCGCTGGCAGAGGGAGGAGGCGTCGGCAATGGCGTCTTCTTCTCCGGACGAATGGCGGTTTCGACTGAAAAGTTTAAAGAGATGTGCTTCGGGGCGGGACTCAAGGAAAGGGACTCCCACAAGGCGTCGCTGGCCGCTTTTTTAGGCACGCGCTGCTCGTAGTGCCAAAAGATCCTCGTGAGGATGTCGTCTGGCAGGTCGTGGATGTGCGTAAGAGGCTCCATGATCTGCTAAGGCGAGATGCTACGGGGGGAGGGTGATCACTATCTATCAGCGATCTTTGCGTCGTAAGATTCAACTGATCAGGGCTGACAAACCAGTGAGGGGTATTGAAAGACCGTCGGTGAGCCCTATTTCTGGCCGTACTACGAGCAGTAGCGGCGAGGGATAGACACTGGAGACTGCAGAACAGCGGATGGCTCACTGCATGAGAGGTGTCCCTAGATAACGAGCTCAGCAGCGGGTTCGCGGGGTGCAGGGAGCCGCGGAGAGTGGTGAGCGGGTTGAAACACGAGACGGGGAAACGGGGACGAAGGGGAGGAGTCTTGTGAGCACCAATCGCTACACAGAGATCCATGGCGTGAAAAGTGTGTAATACGCACCGGACCGCAAGGTAGGGATCGAATGGAGAGGCGCGGGACGGCAGGAACGGGGGTGTTGGCGAGAGGGAAGGGGGGGGGAAAGAACGTGAGCATGAATTTGGGGTCCGGGATTCGCGCTAGTCCGAAACAACTGGCAAAGAAAGACTAGCGGTTCGCTATTCACGTGGTGCCTACGGTTTCGGACTTCTGAAAGTCCGCACGGCCAGGGTGGTATAGCGATTTTAAAAGCGGTTCTGGTGTAACGCAATTAAATAATCGCGTGTTCCAGTGTGGTGTAAGTTCGGATGACAGGTGCAAGCATAGACGGACCTGCCTGAAGGCCGAACTCGGACGGGTCTAAAGTGTCATATTCCGGTAAACCTATAAGAACAAAATTAATATGAGAAATTTTTAATAATAAACCATTTACTGATTGTGATTCGACTAGAAGAGGAGTTTGCTGTAAAGGAGACAAACCCCTTCATCTATCGGCAGGTCTTTCAGACCTGCCACCTAATCTCATTTGCATTTTTCTGTTCCAACTTGCCCACCCTTCCCTCCCTCGCTTTGATAACTATGACCGCTCGCTCACCCTTGTTCCATTGCCATGTATTTGCCCTATCTAGTGTGCTGTATTATGGAGCTATGATATGCTATGACGATTGCACTGCACACTCCTCTGAGGTCGTGTCACGATTTCCGGTATCTCTGATGATGAGCTCCAATTCGCCCCAAAACAAACCTTCGTTCCTCCAGTTTCTTTAGTAGCAAGTGTCAAACATGTGTATCTCTAATGTTTGCATAGACTGTATAGGGTCACCCGTCCTAGCCGGCCCCACGCCCGTCCTACCTGGCCCCCGCGCCCGTCCTCGCCGGCCTGGCGCCCGCCGCTACTGGCCCCCGCGCCCGTTCTGCCAACCCCTGCGCGCGCCCTGCCCGTCGACCTCCGGCCCCGTGCTCACCTTCCCGCCGGACTGCCGCCGATCTGCGTGCGGCCCGCTCTTCGTGCCTGCTACTGCACTGCACCCTCCCTGGTACGGTTCTCCATCACCTTTCACTCCACTGCACCCCACTGCACCGCACAGCACCGCAATGCACCGCACTGTACCGCGCTGCACCGCACTGTACCGCATTGCACCGCACTGTACCGCACTGCACCGCACTGCATCGCCCTGTACCGCACTGCATCGTGCTGTATCGCACTGCACTGTACCGCGCTGCACTGCCTCACCTGGCCCTGCCCTGCACTGTTCCTGATGGCGGCGGAGCTTCGCTTCGACGCTGGAGGCCAGCCTCTGGAGTTCGAGGCGTGGCTAGCCGACCTCCGCCGCCACCTCACTGGTCAGCGGCAGGATGGCCACTCGCTCTCGGCACACCTTGACGGTACGCTTCCCTGCCCAGACCCCCTTGCTGTGCTGCCCGCTGACCCCACACCTGCTGAGCGCGAGTATACTGCGGCCGCTGCCCTCGCTCGCTCTATCTGGCTTTCCCCTGACGCTGTCGCACAGCTTGCCATTAGCAATGCCCTCCCCCCTTCTGAGCGCCCTCGCTTTAGGTCTATCACCACCGCCCAGGCTTTCTTAGATGCTGTTATCCGGCGCTATTCCGCCCCGCCTGCTGCCTCGGTGGGTCGCCTGATCCTACCAATGCTCTTTCCTGACCTTGCGTCTTTCCCCACTGTCGCTGACCTGGCTGCTCGCCTGCGCACGATAGATGAGACCTGGCGCGCTTCCTGCACTGACGCACAGCTTACAGCCCACCAGCCACCCCTTACCTCTACCCTCTACCTATTTGCCACCCGCCTCCCTGACCGCCTTGCCGCTGCTCGTGACCGCTTCCTTAGCATTCACCCATGTGACCTCACCCTCACAGACTTTGTAGACACCCTGACTGTTATTGAGACCCGCCACAGCTCTATCGCCCAGGCGAGCGGTACTGTGCCGGTCCCTATCTTTCAAGGTTGTGCTCCCGCTCAGTGCACCTTCTCCGATGGTTCTGCGGCTGTGGCTGAGACCGCCGCTGTAGCGCAGTTCCGTCCGGGGAAGGGCCGCCGCCCCAAGGCTGGGCGCGGCGGAGGAGGTGGGGGTGCAGGTGGAGGTGGTGGTGAAGTCGGGTCGTCTGGTGGTGGAGCGAACCCTTCTAGGTCCAGCTGAGCAGCCGCCCCAGCAGCAGCAGCAGCAGCAGCAGCCGCAACAGCCGCAGCAGCCGCCGCAGACGAGGCATGCGAGTGCCCTTCCTCCCGGATGGCCTGGCGCTGGTGGTGGTCGTGCGCGTGGTGGTGTTCCGGCTGGCGGTTCAGGAGGCGTGCGCTGTCAGTACCAGATCCAGATCGGTCCTCGCCGCGGCTTCGTTTGCGGTAAGATCGGTCACGCCACTGCCCGTTGTTTTCGTCGCCTGGACGACCTGTTTCGTCAGCGCTTCGGCCCGTCGCCCGACCTCCCGGACTGGCACAGTTTGCTTAGTCGTAGAGTTCAGATTTTTCACATAGACATGGATGCTATTGTTTCTGCCCTGCATGTGATGTATGCTGATGACTCTAGTGTGCTCCCCTCTTATTACTCCTTGTCGCCTAGTGTAGGTGTGCCTAGCTTAGCCTCCCCTGCTGCGTCAGGCATAGGAGCTCCTGCTTTGTTTAGCCTTGGTGCTTCTACCGTCGCCCGGTCGCCAGACGCCACTACTTCGCTTTCCTTCACCTTGGACTCTGGCGCTTCCTGGTGTTTCTTCCGCGACTCCATTACGCTAACGCCGCGTCTTGTTCTTGCTGCAGTTTCTCTTGCTGACCCCTCCGGCTGTCCAGTAGTCGCCCGCAGTTCCACCACCCTTCCCTGTCCGGCGGTTCCTTCGGGCTCTCTTACAGCTCTGCATATCCCCTCGTTCTTCAGGAACCTAGTTGGTGTTGGCTGCCTCCAGGACCTTGGCGTCACCATTACGTTCCCTGGTCACGAGCGGTATGCTGTCTGTACCGAGGCCGCCACTGGTGCCCCCCTGTCCACGTTCCCCCGGGACCCGGTGTCCGGCCTGTTCACTCTGGACACCGTGACCCCCCCGGCTGGGGCGCCCCTTCAGTTGGCTGCGTCTACCCAGGTTGCTGCTGCCTGCTCCTGTCGGTCCCTCACTCACCCGACTCTCCTTTGGCACCACCACCTAGGTCACCCTACGCTCCCGCGTCTGCGTCACATGTCCCAGCACGGTCTCGTCCTTGGTCTCCCTAATTCGTTCCCCGCTTTTCCCTCCTCCCCCGCCCCACCTTGCACGCCTTGTGTCGAGGGTCGGCTTCGCCGTGCCCCTCACTCCTCCTCATTTCCCCCTACCGCCGCGCCGCTGCAGACCTTGCACATGGACGTCTGGGGCCCCGCCCTCGTCCATGGGCCGCGTCGAGAGCGCTACTTCCTCGTGCTTGTCGATGACTTCACTCGCTACACCACTGTCTTTCCCCTGGAGCGCAAGGCCGACGTGCCTGACGCTCTCATCCCCTGGCTTGTCTCTGCCCGTGTCTACCGAGGTCTCCCTGTCTTGCGTCTTCACTCCGGCCGTGGTGGCGAGTTTGCCTCAGGTGTCCTTGGTCGCTTCTGTCGTGCGGAGGGCATCACCCAGACGTTCACCCTGCCGGACTCCCCACAGCAGAATGGGGTCGCTGAGCGATGCATCGGTTTGATCATGGAGGTGGCTCGCACCTCCATGATCCATGCCGGTGCACCCCATTTTCTGTGGCCGTTCGCTGTGCGCTACGCTGCTCACCAGCTCAACCTGTGGCCGCACCCCCAGCAGCCACAGGTTTCGCCAACCCTTCTTTGGACCGGGTCTCCTGGTGACGCGTCTGCGGCGTCCCGTCTACGGCCTGCGGCAGGCTACTCGTAAGTCGCACGACATGCTGCATGCTACCCTTGCTGACCTCCAGTTCTTTCCGTCCTCGGCAGACCCCTCACTCTTCGTTCGTGCTGGCCAAACCCCGTTCTACATCCTTGTGTACATGGAGGATCTGGTCTTCGCCACAGCAGACAGGGACGCACAGGCCTCCGTGAAGGCAGAGCTGCTGAAGAGACACACTTGCACTGACCTTGGAGAACTGCGCCGTTACCTTGGCTTGCAGATCTCCAGGGACATAGCAGCGCGCACCATTACCTTGACTCAGTCACACTTGGTGCGCCAGGCCCTTCAGAGGTTCGGCCTTCAGTTCTCCTCTGCACAGCCCACCCCTCTGCCTGTAGACCACAGACTCTCCGCTCCAGTTCCTGAGCAGTCAGTAGAGCCCAGTAGTCCTTACGTTGAGCTGGTGGGTTGCCTCATGTACCTGATGACTTGCACTCGCCCAGATCTCGCATACCCTCTCTGCATCCTGGCTCGCTTTGTGGCCACAGGTAGACATCGACCGCAGCACTGGTCTGCCGCTAAGATGGTTTTGCGTTACCTTGCAAGTACATCAGGCATGGGGTTAGTGCTAGGAGGACGCAGGTCAGTGGTCCTTACTGGACACACAGACGCTTCTTGGGCAGACGACGTTGAGACACTCGGGTCTTCCCAGGGCTACTGCTTCAACCTTGGTTCAGGTGCCGTCTCGTGGAGAGCTACCCGCTCCTCGTCTGTTGCCCAGTCTAGCTGTGAGGCCGAGATCTACGCCGGTGCCATGGCGGCTCAGGAGCTCCGCTGGCTGACCTTCTTGCTCACTGACTTAGGTGAGCGGCCTAGCTCTGCCCCGGTCCTGTACGCTGACAACAGGGCCATGATCCTCCTGTGTCAGGAGCCTCGACTCGAGAGCAGAGCGAAGCATATCCTGCTGCGGTACTTCCTCCTGCGCGAGCTACAGCAGCGCCGCTAGGCTCGCGTAGTACACTTGGCCTCCGGTACCAACACAGCTGATATCTTTACGAAGGCGCTTGCGCCTAAAGATCATCAGCGGCACTGTGTACAGCCCGGTCTAGTTCCTGTAGCCTCTCACTTGCTAGGGCCTTGAATTTGTACTGTCCTATATATCTATACGTACTCAGACTGGACTTGTGTC